ATACTAGCTTGGAGCGTCCGATAACATCCCTCCCACTAGGATCCTCCTCCTCCCCAAAATAAGAAAATAAGCAAGGCAAAGATGTAAGCGATATGCGTTGTCAAATTTCGAAAATTTTCCACGTTTTGCCATCGTTTGCGGATTGGATCTCGTGCGTTTGAAGTCAAGCGCTAAGATCCCAAAACTTTTGGTCTTTAAGCCCTTCCGCTGAAATTCAGCTTCGTGCTTGGATTTGCATTCTTCAAATTTCGAAAATTCTCCACGTTTTGCTGTCGTTTTGGGATTGAATTTCGTGCGTTTGAAGCGCTAAACCCCCAAAATTTTTGATTTTAAGCCCTCTCCCTGGGATTCAATTTCTTGGATTTGCATTCTTCAAAATTCGAAAACTTTCCACATTTTGCCGCCGTTTTCGGGTTGAATTCCGTGCGTTTGAGGTGCTAAGATCGCAAAATTTTTGATTTTAAGCCCTTTCTCTCGAATTTAATTCCTTGGATTCGCGTTTTTTCAAATTTCGAAGATATTTTGAACCCTTTCCCTGGGATTCAATCTCTTGGCGTCGCGTTTTTCAAATTTCGAAAGTTTTCCACCTTTTTCGTCATTTTGCGAGTGAGTCCTTTGATTTTGAAGAGCTAAGACCCTAAAACTTTTGATTTTAAGCCCTTTCCCTGGAATTTAATTCCTTGGGTTCGCGTTTTTCAAATTTCGAAAATTTTCCACGTTTTGCCGTCGTTTTGAGATAGAGCCGCGTGAGTTTGAAGCGTTAAGATCCTAAAATTTTTGATTTTAAGCCCTTTCCCCCGAAATTCAATCCCGTGGCTTCGTGGTTTCGTGGTTTCGTGGTTTCGTGGTTTCATGGTTTCATGGTTTCGTGGTTTCGTGGTTTCGTGGTTTCGTGGTTTCGTGGTTTCGTGGTTTCATGGTTTCGTGGTTTCATGGTTTCCTGGTTTCCTGGTTTCTTGGTTTCCTGGTTTCCTGGTTTCCTGGTTTCCTGGTTTCCTGGTTTCCTGGTTTCCTGGTTTCCTGGTTTCTTGGTTTCCTGGTTTCCTGGTTTCCTGGTTTCCTGGTTTCCTGGTTTCGTGGTTTCCTGGTTTCGTGGTTTCATGGTTTCATGGTTTCATGGTTTCATGGTTTCATGGTTTCATGGTTTCATGGTTTCATGGTTTCCTGGTTTCGTGGTCTCGTGGTTTCATGGTTTCCTGGTTTCGTGGTTTCCTGGTTTCCTGGTTTCCTGGTTTCCTGGTTTCCTGGTTTCCTGGTTTCGTGGTTTCATGGTTTCATGGTTTCCTGGTTTCGTGGTTTCCTGGTTTCCTGGTTTCCTGGTTTCCTGGTTTCCTGGTTTCCTGGTTTCGTGGGTTCGTGGGTTCGTGGGTTCCTGGTTTCGTGGGTTCGTGGGTTCGTGGGTTCGTGGGTTCGTGGGTTCGTGGGTTCGTGGGTTCGTGGGTTCATGGGTTCATGGGTTCATGGGTTCATGGGTTCATGGGTTCATGGGTTCGTGGGTTCATGGGTTCATGGGTTCATGGGTTCATGGGTTCATGGGTTTGGGGTTTGGGGTTTGTTTGTTTTTGTGTCGGAGGTTTTGGGTTCGGGTGTTGGAGGTTTTGGGTTTGGGTGTTGGAGGTTGAGGTTTCCGAAGGGATGTGTTTGCAAAGTTTTATTGCTCTTAATATTCCTCAACCCCTCCACCGACCCTTAGCCTTTTTTTCTTCTTACTTACATAGTTAGCAGGAGCTTTTGGATGAATTTTGAATGAAAAGACTGATAGATGTAATATGAGTCCTCAATGGAAAGGTGAAAAAAGTGAGCGAGGATCCAACACGTGGATTCTCCTTACTTTGTCTGTCTGTCTTCAGTTAAGTAACTTTATTTGAAAGGTCGTGGCATCAAAAATAAATCGGAAATGTTTGAAAACGACGAAAACACTACCTAAAAAAACCTGTAGATACCCTAAAAAAACCTGTACCTGCGTGCTCGTTTCTAAACAATACGATCCTTGAATGGTTTGCTGGTTTCCTTGCTAAACGCCGTCTAGAAGTCCGCTCATCATTATTATTTGAAAGGTGGCATGAGTACGTAGATGTCTGAAATTTTTAAAGATTTTCAACAAAGATGATACCTGAAATTACCTTGATTACATTGAAATTTTAAAATCATGACGAACTACGCCAACACCAACATGGATATCAGAAGTGGTCCCGCATCTAACAGGAGCGCCGTTGTCTCTGGCGCAGAAAGCGACTCGAACCTAGGAGATAACGACAACATGGGAGAAAATTACCACACCTCTTCATCAACTATCGCACAAACAAGTAGTAGTACAAAAGCGAGGAGTAGACGAAAGTGCTGCTTTTGCTGCAGCAGGTCCTCCTCCTCGTCCTCGTCAAGCTGTAGTTTCTGTTGTAGTATCCCAGGCAGAATCAGAGGTCCTCGTGCGAGGATTCTTTTCTCTTGCTTGGTTGTCAGCATTTTCGCATTGCTATTGCACTTCGCAAACTTAGTCCACAACAAGTGCGTGATCGATGAACACCAGTATCAAAAGAACGACACGATTGTTATGAAGGAGAATATCAGAGTAGAATCGCGATGATTGGAACATCAATTATTACTTATGATTATTATCTTTATTTTATCATCTCATCTGTGCAATATGTTCTCCCAGTATCTAAGGTTGACACAGTTCTTATTTTGTTTCACATGTTTCAGTTTCAGTTCTTCGGCTGGTGGGAAGAAAAGTTGCAAAGTAGGCTTATGCAGCTATCAATCATGACCGGCAGTATCATTCAGAACGGCATAAACATCTTTGCCTCTCTTCACATCCTTCATCCCCACACTCCACTATCCCCTTTCATCCTCCTGGGCGCTTGGCTCGCTGTGCATCCTCGGTGCTTGTTTTACAAGATTGTGATTCCCTTTTTCTATGCCAGGGATTCAATGAGACCGCCGTTCATGTTAAGGCTTACGTACTTAAATATTCATCTTAGTAAGAGGCATCTTTGAAGACGTGCTTTCAAGGAGGTGAAAATCTCGTCTGAAGATGCGGTCCTCTCAGATGAATATAACTGGTAAGTAGGTCTAATTATGCGTGGCCCGATTCGACAGGCTATGCGAGACTTCTGCGAGGCTGACTACAATTTCTTCCGCAATCCGTGGCTCTGGTCTTATCCGGAAAAGAGAACGAAAAAGCACATCCTGAAGGGGAGCACTAACACTGATGCTGAAGAGGTCGGAAGACGACCTAGTCGTGCACGTGGTGGTGTATCTTCTTCTAGCTTTTCCAGTCGTGGTCCTAGCTCATCTAGGTCTTCTACTCCTAGCCTACCTACAACACCCTCATCTGGTACTTTTTCGTCCTCAACAACACAAGATCGCCGGACGACCGATCTTCATAGACCAATGTCAGCAGCACCACCAGGACTATTAACGGAATGGGTTGGCCCTCAGCTTTCTATGACGTATACTTCGAGACTTTGTCCAGGGAACATAGTGGACTTCTGGCGAAACAAGGTGGGAGAAGTGTGGGCGAAAAGAATTGCATCGAAATTGACATCTTCATCTTCTGGCTCTGGTGGTAGTAGTAGTAGTACAGCTACAGGCACTAGTACAGGTATAAGTTACAGGTCAACTACAGGAGTATCATCAACGTCATCTACTAGTACTAGTTCTAGTACAACAGTCCACCGCCTTCCTGTGATAAGTTTTTTTTCTTCCGGACAACTGGAAACGCAAAAGTTTTCCTCAAAACAACTAGCTCTTCGTCGAGACAAGGAGAAGAACGACAACAAGGAGATGAACACGCGGCGGTCGCCTTTTCTGATGCCCGTTTCTGAATTTACCCCGCAAATGGAGCTGGCTGCTTCGGGACATTTCTGGCAGCGTCTCTTCGGAGTCCTAGAGGAATTTGGTGTGGAATACGTAGCTGGGAGCGGCTCCCTTATGGGACCAGAGAGGCACGGGACACTGTTATCCCCGCACGATCACGATTTCGACTTGGCTGTTCTGGAGAGCTCGAAACCCAAATTGTTCAAAGCTTTCCAATTTTTAGAGAGGGAAGAAGCCGAACGCAGAGAAGAGGGGAGAAGAAGATTGAAACTTATGACTTGTTTATGTTATCATGTTATGTTACAACTTGAGTTTATGTTATGATGTTAAAAATTGAAACTGATGTTGTCTTGTTTATGTTACAACGTTATGCTCCTAGAAGCTACTATGAAAATTTTGTGCTTTCGGTCTTCCAGCATTTTCGTCCTCCAGCATCTTGATTGTCTCATCTTCTAGCTTTCTTGGACCTGTATAACAAAGACGGTAGAAATATCATTTCCTTTTTTGTTGGTTCTTATTTCATTAGCATCTTTTTCTTTGACCCGGAAGTAAGAACTAGAACTAAGTACTTCATTTGCATCGTCCACCCTCTAACGGCCAACCCGGCGTGGTGCTCGACCTAGGGAAGACATCAGATTTCCTTCTAGCCATCGACCGGAATGTGGATGTACAGTGCACGTGGAGTGGAGTTCGTTTTGCTATTCATCTCACGTTTTTCGAAGGATTGAAGTCTATCGCGTTGTACGCAGATTTTTGGTCTATGTACGAATACAAAGCATTCTGGTGGAATGGGGGTCAAGATTATGAAGATGCCAAACTCAAGAACAAACTTTGTAGTTACTAGATTTTTAGCGTATCATGATGAAGAAGTTGGCTTCAGAATGACGTGATCTTCATCAATCAGAAACACTAGAAGTACAAGTTAGTAGTTGGAAAAAGTATGTTCCTCCTTTCGGTCAAACTCTGATGTCCTGAACAAGATCATTTTCATTATCATTGAAGATACTACTTATTTTCCTAGTTTTTAGGTTGCTGTTGGCTCCACCCATAGTATTATCATTGATGAAGATACTAGTAGAAGTTGCATCACTTCGTCCACATCTTCGTTCTTCTAAAATCCGTACTTGCTAGCACACGAAGCCCCCATCTTCTTCACACGGCCACAAGGATTTTGGCCTTTACGGTTGCTGCAAGTGCCCTACTTTGAGGAGCTCCAATTAGGAGGAGGTGGTGATCCGAATACGGCAACGGCAGAAGCAGCGCAAGGTTCATCCAGATCCAAGAGACCACAGCGAACGTGGATGTTAGACGATAACATTGGTGTAATCACGCTTCGGCGACCTTTTACCTCACAAATGGTCGATGCCGAGTATGCGCGGTTAGATGGGACGTGGATAGCCCCTGAAGAGTACACGGTAGAAGAAAGAGACGAGCAAACTCGTCTCGTTGATCCCAGTACCGGAAAGGAGAAAGACAATCGTTTCTGGCGACAAAATTGTGGACCCTTAGCGCGACCTCCGAGCACCAGTGGTACTCCACCGTCGAGTAGTAGTACTAGCTCCGGCACTAGCAGTGCCAGTTCCTCATCTTCTGGAGCAGGCGCACTTGTAGTTACATCAACATCAACATCTTTACGTCCGCGGCCACCACAAGTACCACCGCCACCGCCAACAGTTGCAAGCACTCGGTGTCGAACGAAGTATGAAGCTGGCCTAGTAAACTTCGCGAAGGTTCTCTCACTCCCCATGAATGAATTCGTAACCAGATTTTTTCATAGGTCGTCGGACAGAAGTATCAGTACAACTGGTGCTGGTGGTAGTTCATCTGAAGATAGTAGTACAACAACAACTAGAAGAACTAGAAGTAGTAGTACAACTGGTCGTTCATCTGAAGATAGTAGTACAACAACAACTAGAAGAACTAGAAGTAGTACAACTGGTAGTTCATGGGTGCATCTCACAGCCTCAATGCTGCGGGACCCGGAAAGCGGTAAGGACATGCTTCAGCAGTTCTTACTCGATGTTGCGATTCCTAACAGTGAGAATGTTGTTAAGGCCGCTAATAGAAGAATTATTTGCTTACTTAGCTAACGACAACGACAAGGTCTTTTGAATTACGTAAATGTGCTCCGATCATCAAGAATGCCGTGTCTACAATCATGACGAGTATAAGTAGCATATTATGCTCTCAGAGCACTCCTCGTCTGGTGCTTTTGTCTCCCACGAGTCAGCAGAGTCCCTTCTTCCATCACATCATTGAAACTGCAAACCCAACAGTCTTCTCCTCTAAACTCGCTTCCTCTTCCTGTGCCTTGATCTTGAAATGCGAAGAAGTGGGATCGACGTCTTGCATACCTGGAGATGATTTTTTTGCAGAAATGCGGTATTCTTGGGAATTAGGTTTTGCCCAAGACACAAAAATGTACAAAGACAATGCGAGATTTTTTACTGATAGTGGTGGTCCTATTAAACGAGGAGGCAGTACTACCGGAGCATCTGGAGGTAGCGACGAGAATAAGTTGGCAACAAGTGGAAGTGGGATAAGAAACTACTTTAGATCATCTTCCATTAAGGCTACAGCAAATCCATCTTCCGCAGCATCATGATGCCGCTTTCTAAGGGAGAAGAAGCATCAAGATGTTTTTGTAGATGGATTTCTCCTAGTAGTTCTAAAAATTTTACTTCATCTACAGCATCTGGTGCCTCCTTATTTCCGGACGATGCTCATGCGGTATGGTTTGTAGTGCTCCTCAGTGTTGCATTGTCCTTATTCCTGTTTCGACTTTTTGTTCGTTTCCTCTGTCCATTAAGTGAATCATCTGGACCTACCTCTACGCGCGCGTTAGAGTTGTATCCAACAAGTGTATCATCTGGACCTACCTCTACGCGCGCGTTAGAATAACAAAAAAAGTGCAAGAACTTAGCTTCTTGTTTGACCGAGTGCAAGAACATAGTTAATTAAGTCCTGAACTGACACCTCATGCTAGGTAAATGAATGAATGAATGAATCTTCTTCTTTTCTTACAAGTCTAAGAAAGAAACCAGCTGAACAGTTAGCCCAAGTAGTAGGTAGCGGCTGGTACTACGAAAGTACTAGGCGGCGGGTGTGTGGGTTTTTTGATTTTTTAAAGGTTTGCCCAACTAAAGACTAGTTTGTAACTGGAAGTAGTTAGTCAAGCTCTCCAGGCCTCGTGCGCTGGTTTGTAAAAAAAAAGTGGTCTCTCAAATCTTTGTCTTGCTCCTTTTCTGTCCATCAAGGTAAGTGTTTAAGTTGTTAGTTTTAGCCTCCCAAGTTGGTGCTGTTTAGTAGGCTAGGTTCGTTTAAAGCTGTGACTTGCTAGACGTCATGCAAGCGTTTGTGCTGTTTATGCCAAAGATACTGTTTAAGTGTAAAAGAAGTTATCAGCTCCCCTCTCAGATCTAATAATCATATTCACAATTTTTTCTCTCAAAAATAACAGGGCAAGTAGGCTAATCACGACTCGTACAGAAAAGCGTCTTCGATCTTCTCCTAACCTGCTCAAGATGAAGAGGTACAGGGGGAACAGTAACAGCTACAATATTCGCCCACACGACCCAATGTTCGGTGATGGAGTGGCGATCTTCTCCTAACCTATTCATGATTTTACATACCCAATGTTCAATATTTATTATAGTGGTGCAGCCAACCTAACTAAGAGGGTAAAAGATCAATAGCATGAAGAGTAGTGTAAAAGAAGTTATCAACTCCCCTCTCAGATCGGTGCCGCTTCGAATTAGTAGCTTAATCTCTTGTGTGAAGTAACAATGACGTGACGAAACACTACGGCGCCCGTAAGGCAGTCTGCAGTGAACTACTTTGTGCGAGATTTATTGTATTGTATTGCGTTGTATCTATCGTATTGTATTGTACTATTGTAATATTGTATTGTATTGTATTGTATTGTATTGTATTGTATTGTATACATAGTGCTACCCGACCCCCATTGGTGAAATTTTAAAACACCCTCCCCATGTTGTAAACATCTTCAATGAAATTTTTCACATATTTTTCAATCATGCGTTTCTAACAAGTAAGCAAACGAAGACAGAGGCATGGCGTCAACTCATGATTACTGGATCAGGACTGAGACTGACACATTGTTTCTTGCTTTCTTCCAGCCGGATGCTGGATGAAACAGATGAGATCCCCGGAAGCTGAATTAAATCATCAACCTCGTCGGTCACGTTCTGCTGTGCATCAGCATCCAGAGCCATGAAAAGCTCCTCACAGAGTCGCTGATTCAGAGAGTGCTAACAAAAATGAAAGAGAAAGAGACCACAAGATCATAACACACAAGAGGATCGGTTACGCATGTAGTTGTCATCATCGTGCGCAGTTGTGCCTCTAGTAGTGTTTTACTGTAGAGCTTCAGAGTAGCATATTATAGTCGCATTCTTGCCCTGCTTCCGTGTATACTACATCTTTTTCTTTGAAATAAAACCTTACAGGATCAGTGTTGTCAAGATCCAGCTTTATCTCTGCCATAATCATACCAAGGAAAGTAAAAGTACAGCTATAATTTTCCATGAAACTAAACACAAAAAATACGCTTTGCCGAGAACACTGAGAATTTTCTATCGATATTTTTCTAATCTATTATCACTTGTTGATTGGTTGAAAGGGAAAGACCATATCCACTGCTTTTCTGTCGTTTGATGTCTCTCTTTCTGCCTGCTCTTCTTATCTACACCCACCACAACTTCACCTTCAGGATGAAGGTGACGGTTGACAGGGAAGCTCGAACCAAGAACTTGTGAAAATTTCATCTAGAAAAGGTTCAAAAAATGGCATTTTTATGCATTCATATCTTGCGAAGGACTCCACCAGACGAGGCGGTTGAATTTGTTCTCTCATTATATACATTGCCCCCAGGTGTCCTCACCAGCTTGATAATATAATCTTCAAAAGTTGTGTATCTATAATGTTTCGCTGTCGGTGCTTTGTGTCCTCGTCTTTTGATTTTCATCTGTTCCTCGATCGGTCCTAGTGAGGTGACTTTTGCTTTGTGTTGTTTTCGAGCTGTTCCGTATCGGTTGACACTCGATGACAAACATCCTCGTACAGAAAGCATGTCTTTATCTTAACCCGAAACTCCCCTAAGACCAACCCTGAAACCAAAATATTTCTGACACCGATGGCACAAAAACAGGTGGTAGCTTCGAATGAAAACCGACTTGTTGACAATAAATTGAGAAAAATATAGGACGGAAAACGAGCATTGTCTAGTACTAAATCGCAGTTACAAAAACTATGGTGCTTTTCTCTTCGTTATCTTCTTTCTTTCACAACCCGTCGTTGCTCGAAAGTGGTGGTGTAGCTACCGCCTCATCAGACGCACAGGAGTTGCACACGACCACTAATGTCTTCGCTGGAGCTGCAAAAACAAAGATGAACTCGTCATCTTCTTCTTTCCTAGCAAATGCACCTGAGCAGGAAAGCAGTACAGCAGGAGCAGCATCATCTTCTTCGGGCGGAGGAGCGGGTAAGAAGAAACGAAAAGGCCACTCTACTTCGTCAAAGATAGCATCCTCTTCATCCTCAAAGTTAGGTGGACGAGGTGGCAAAAAGCATCATGGATCTGGAGGAGGTCATCACGATAAAGCTCTAAAGCAAACTGTAGATAATCAGAAGGACGAGAAGACATCTACACGAGCGGGGGCAACGGAGGAGGCAGACGCAGATAGAGATCATCATGGCTCGTCTGGTGCGGGTGCTGACACAGACACAGTCGAACAACAAGATATCTCTTCATCGCTTGATGCGGCAAGAAAATCCCAGGTGCGAGAAAATCTCGGAAAGCTACTCGATTCTCTGGATACGCGGAGTTTATCACGCGAAGACTTGAAGCGAGTATTGTTATGAAGGTTATAATCAAGGATAAGGATGTCTTCCTCGATTATAAATACATCAATTTCATCGTGATTATCCAGCTGCAGCATAAGATCGATGAAGAAGGACAACATTAGTCGAGCCCAGGAAGAACTTCTAGCTCCCCTCCTCCACTTCAGTCTTCACCTTCTCTCCTCCTCTTCTAACCCAAGCAGCCGGTGAACGCATAGCTCAAAGGGAAGACGTTTTAACAACTTTGTCACAGAGTGACACATGGAGAGACATACATGACTTGTTTCAGACGAACTCTCCGGATCTCAAGGACCCGGATGTAATTCGAGATCTACAATTGCTAGCAGGCGAAAGTAAAGTGGCGGGGGAGATGGTACTACTACTTCATCTTCAACAAGATGAATTCATCGCAAAAATGGATGAAAGTTTCAGTTTCTTGCTGAGTTGTACCTGCTAGACATTTTCATTTTTCGAGGACATGAGCTGGCTCCATCTCCGTCTCTATCTCAACTCGACAAAAGTAAAGGTGGTGGTAAGAAGGGTACATTTTCATTGTACAGCTGGCTCCATCTCCGTCTCTATCTCAACTACAGCACTTCGTACATCTACTACTATATTTATCCAAATCCAGTTCCACGAAGCTCACGAAGCAGTAGGAAATATCCTTGCGAAATTACATCTGTCTCCCGAGGAAACGTCTGCATATCTGGACGACGTGAAATATGCTTCAACGGCGCTTCTCGGAGAGCATGCACAGGAGAACATGGACCTTGTGCAGAAATTTCTATAGAAATGCCAAGCATTCTTGGAATCGACGATTTGTTTCTCGTGTTTTATTTTTATCCTATAAAAAGATTGGATCATGACGAGTTATTTGTTCAAGATGAATTCATTGACTCCTTGTTACCGAAGTCTTTTAGCAGAACTGGTTTGTTATGACTTCATTTGGCATCATAAGATTAACAATGTGACACCGACATGCGCATCTGCCGAGGCAGAAGATGGGAACGGCACAATGTGTCGAATAGCCGTCGATTCGTTTTATTTACTCGCTCCTCGATCCTCTCCTGTATATCGATCCAAGATTTCCATCGTCGAACTCGAATAGCCTCGTCTAGAGCTAGACAAGAAACGCCGTATGATCGATATTTCAGCTGCAATGTCCATCCTCTTCAAGTAGAACTTGAATTTTTCAAGAGCGCGAAACTTAAAAAGAACGTAAAATACTAGTAGTACTACTAGAACCTCTCACGGGTGGTGGTGGAGACTAATACCAGTAGTTAAGGGTTTCCGAATTACATCCCTCACTACCATCCTTGGCTCCTTTTCAAGGGGAAAATGGGCCAAGGATGTTCTGAAGAATGCAACTCGGCAACCTCTAAAGTAGCGACTTACTTGAAGAAATAGATAAGAACGTATTATTTAAGTACTAATATTAGTAGATAATGGCGCCGCATTACTCCAAGCCTGTGAGTCAGGGGCAGACAACCAGGCATCACGTTCCAGACGCCAGTCTATCAAAAAGCGAGCTGAATCTTCTTGGGAAGAATGGCAAGAATTTCACCAGTGAGGAGCGCGTTCGAATCGCTCTTCTTCAACTGCGCTTTGCTGCTAAAGCCCATATTACGTCTTCATCTTTTAAGGGTAGGTTAAAGGTGCTTTTGTTACCGGTTGTTACGGCTCTCCTAAGACGGACAGCCATAACAAGCGGGATAAACGAACACCAAAAGCCTACCTCTACTAAGTCTTCTCCCGGTGGAGAACAAGACAACGGTCGTGAAGGCTCTTTTGCCTACAACTACAGCGCTTCTTCAGGAGAGGACACAGAGTCCATCTTCTCGCTTCTCTGGGATTCAGTAGGCGAACTCTTTCATGCTTTGAAAATCTTAGCTAAAGCAGTTTTGTCCGAAGTGAAAGAGGCAGCAGCGGAGCTGAGCTGGTTCTTCTTTCGCAAATGCGTCGACTTGTTGGAACTTTTGTGTGACCTAAGAGGAAAAAGGAGTAAAGAACACAATGGAGCTAGTCCTGAGACAACTAATGCACCTCCTACTCCGCTTGCGCAGATGATATTCGCGTGCTTCGTTGCACTCATTTCAGGTACAACTAAAGTCACCAGTTGTATAATTCACGTAGACAATTGGATCATGTACATGTTTGTGCTTTGAGGACGGGGAAGATGCTATTGCTAATTTTGGTAGAAAACCTATGAGCCATATGCTTATCTTTCATCAAAAACAAGGTCGGAACATGTCATGATCAAATACAAAGACAATCTTCTCTGTCCAAATCCACCTCCAGGCATGCTCTATTTCGCCTTTTCCGAGTACTGTCGCCTTCTCGCCGCATCCCCAATCCTGCTCCGCGCTTCCGGTATTCGAAATATCAACTCTTTGAGGATTGTCTTTCATATCCTTTTCGGCCTTGGCGCAGTTGCCTATGCCAAAGGAGTGGTTACGGATCCCGGTTACGTGGCAGAAGAGGACCCACACGAATGTGCCAAATGGAAATCCGAACTGCATGCTTTGAGGGAAGCCCATGAGCGGAAACGGACTGTGTATACGGAAGTTGAAGCTGAGAAATTGCGCGAAGATCTTCTGGAGGTTGGTTTGCGTGAAGATGAGGAGAGTAAGAATCTTCTTCATCTTGTTCGTAGAGGAGGCGGTGTTATATTAAGGGTTTCGACATTGCATTCTTCACTACCATCCTTCACCCGTTTTCCAGTAGGAAAAGGGCCAAGGATGTTCTGAAGAATGTAATTCCGTAACCTCTAATTATAGCTAAAGGAGCTAGCGCTACAACCTCCGCATCCACGACGTCATACTCCGAAGTAGCTCGTCTAGCAGGCTTGCGGTTTTGTCAGGAAGAGCGCATCTTCAAGCCTGACCGTGCTCACTTTTGTCGTGTGGCCAACAAGAACATTATGCGGATGGACCATCATTGCCCGTGGCTGCTGAACACCGTAGGCTTGAAGAATCACAAGTTCTTTTATCTCTTTGTGCTGTATTCGACGCTGACGTGCGATTTACTCGCTTTGCTACTTTCGCCGTCCGCCTTAGCCGCGACCACAGGAGGAGCAGCTAAGTTGCTTGGAGGCGCAAAACTTGCAGCCGCCGCAACCATGATCCCCAGTTCGAGTTGGTTAGTTTTGACACAAGGCGCTGTCTTGTCCTCAGTTCTGGCTGCGGCTATGAATCCCTTTCTAGTTTTGCACACCTATCTGATGTGCAAGAACATGACAACTCTGGAGTTCTTCGAGAAGTATTGGGGGGCAGACGAAGAGGCAAAGCCAAAGGTGGAGGATGAGAATAGTACTACTGCATTGGAAGGAGAAGGCAGGGCAAATAGAAATAACCAGGAGGATAGAAGAGATAGAGTCGTGAGATTACACGATACACGAGGCGGTTTAGATTTGAGTGTCGCTTCATCAAGAAGAACAACTACTGCAGGTGGTGCTGTTGAACACTCATCGACTTCATTTGCCGCTGATTTCCTACTCGGCAGTACCGCAGCTATGGGTGTGCCTCTACTATCACTAGGAGATGTTGACGATGAAGAAAAGAAGACATCTCTTCAAGAACAATCTCACCAACCTACAACTCGTAGAACAAACATAAAGAATCCTAATCCTTACGATTTAGGCATCTTCTCCAACATAGCGCAGGTGATGGGCACTCACAACGTGCTAGTTTGGCCTCTGCCTTTCGTCAACAGCTACAACGAGAGAGCGGAGCAGATCGGGTACAGATATCCTAGAAACGACGATGAAGATCGAGAAGATAAACAGAAAAGAGTAAGAGAGGGATCATCTTCATCTTTATCTTCGAAGAACAAGAACTACAACATGATGATGCCGTTTTCTTTCTATCCTGGTGGTGAAGGTGAAGAGGGAGATCAAGAGCAAGACTCTCTCTCTCGTGGATTAGACCTCCATGATGAGGATAATTCTTCTACTTTGTGGGTACCAACTTCCGATGGACGAGGTCGCATGGCACATGTAGGAAGGCGATCCCTTGTTGCACCAGGTCAAGACGAGGATGATAGCGAAGATGATGATCATGATCAGTATGTTGAACAAGAACTTGAACAAGATCATGAGAAACAACTGCAATTACATCAAATGTTAAATAAAAAGAGTTCACTTCCAGATACGAAGACCGCGCTCTATCTTGTTGAGAATAGTACCACGACTCGTACAGGAACGAAAGCACGACCAGCACCTCCGCGACTATCCTCGAAGCAGATGAGGAGACCACCAATTAGGCCCAACAGGAACAGAAGTAGAACCACAGCGAATCTGAACAAGAGTAGAAATAATCAATCCAGTGCTGGTCTTGAAGAGAAGCCGGACCCGGACACGAGTGTCAACATGTATTACAACCAAAGTTCTTTGTTAGGTGAGGAAGACTCCGATGAGGAGGATGAAGAAGAGCAGTTTGGAGCACAGTCGCGGCATCTTCCAGCATCACACTGTGCTATTCTTGAGACCAGCATCACAACTCCAAGAGATTTCATCTTCACGCGGATTAGCAAAGAACAGAAGAAAAAGGCTGGAGAGCAGGAAAAGACGCGACATTCCAGAAGTACTTCTGCTCGAGCTAAACGAGGAGGAGCGAGTAAACCTGTTCGTGAAGATCCTTCAGACGATGAGGCTTCCGCAACTCCTGCTATGAGTGAACAGGCACTAGCGTGGATAGGTGATAAAGTTGATGATGTTATGGTTGGTGGCGAATATTTGTGGGATATGCTCACAAGATTTTGACTACAATGACTATAGACTACAACAATGTGAATGTCTATGGTGCTGGTGTATAGAACAAGAACTGCAGGCTTCTCCGAAATTTGAATGAAATGAATCCGCAAGAACATAACGTTGGGAACCCATATGCGAGCACCATCAGCAAGATAGGCCGCTTTAGGTCTGTTCCTTCTACAGTCATGTTCGTTGTGACAAAAACGAAGAAAATGGATCTAACTGTGGTTCGGTTCCATGTCAAGGTGTTGTTGTTGTCGTGATCATCTGAATCTGTTGGTTTTGTCGAAGAGGTTGTTCCTCTGACTGATAATATCGTGACGCCAGGATCTGATTCTCATTGTTGCTGACGGGTTGGAGATAATCCCTGCTCTGATCAAATCTTCTACTCTTCGAAAAAAGGGATGCTTTAGCATTAGCGATATAGCAAAGCTACCGGGCACTTCCACTTCCTTTCTAAATGAAGACGGTTTAAAATGAAAATCTCAGCACACTAGAGTCTTAACCAAATGGAAATTGAAATCGAATTCGAAATCCATAGACCACAACATGTAGTTACAAGAATTTTTATAGACGTCTTTATTATCCACCGCCACCCACCTAATTTTTCCTTTGAGCAGGTCGCTGCGGGATTAACGTGAAAAAATAGCTAAAGGAGGCGGAATGGGTAAGTATGGATTTGTTCCATGAGTAGTACCCTGTGTTTAATATAGTCGTATGAAATTGAAAATCTATGATTCTTGGTTTCCCTGCTTTGCCTTTCCTTCTTTTTCTTTCCAGCATCAATAGAAAAAGATGACGGACAACAAGGTTTTCGTTGGGAACGTACCCCATTACGTTCCCGAGGAGTATTTGAAGAACAAATTTGGCGAACATGGTAACGTGCGAGACATGTACTATTGTCCTGACTTGCTTGGAGCAGACAGAGGATGGGCTACTATTACCTACATGTCGCCGGAAGAAGCCGCAACAGCAGTGGGCATAGAACATGGCATGCCAGACCCCTTTCCGGGATGCGAGAGGCCACTCCATGTCAAATTCTTTAACACGCCATTGACAGAAAGAGCAGGGAGTGTGTTCGACTTGAGGCCGAAGACACAGAAGGTACTTATATATAAGTACAACCACTAGTTTTCGATGTGTTATACTTAATTCCTAGAGACGAAAGATGACGATCGATGGCTTGTCAATATATTAAATTGACCAGGAAGATTTTACCAGTACAACTACCACAACAGGTGCTCACACCCTGGGTCGGCATGAAAGACGAAGGGACAGGAAATATGTACTACGTGAATGAGCTCACAGAGGAAACTACGTGGGAAAGGCCAGCGGAGATGGACCAGGTCGTGGTGAATCCTAGTGGAGCAAACGTCTTAGTCGGAGATGTTGGCTTGATGGATAATGATGGAGGTACAACTGAAACTTTCTTTAGTAAGCTCTGTATAGAACAAATGTACTTCTTAGTTCACAGTAGTTGTAAGCCATGTATTATACATAGAAATGTTGTACTTCTTAGTATTAGTTCACCGTGTTGAAGATACATCATCTAGATCTGGTGCAGGGAGGAGAACTAATATTTATCTACTCTCTTGTTTACAACAATCAAGAACACGACAACTGTTCTTAGCAAACAATCAAAACTAGTAGCCCCGACCCAACCAACCACCCACCCACAGATGACGACGGCGCCGCTCCTTTGGTCGTTGGTTGCACTGACACTGGGCCAATGGGCGCCAACCTCTTCATTCACGGCAATCTTGGTGGGGTCTCAGACAAAATGCTCTACGAGGTTTTCGTTGGCTATGGCGAATTAGTAGGCTGCAAGATTCATGTCGCCAACGAATTCGGTGGCTTCGGCTACGTCTCCTACCGAACCTGCGAGGAATGCACGAACGCCTTGAGGGAATTGAACCTCACCGATGCATTTGGAACGGGGACGACGATTAAGATCATGTTAAAGAAGGGAGAAGAGATGGCGAACCCAGAAGCAGCGGCATTGGTTGAGAAGGCGATGGTCAGTGGTATGCGAGAAAGCCACGGGAAAGCGGCTTTGGGGTTGTAGTAACTCTATTTTATCATCACAGAGACAGAGGTGGCTGCAGAACAATAACATTCCACTACACTCCTGCTCGCACCTGCAAGGCCAAAGAACATTCTTCGTCACATCCTCCCCCTTCTGCCCTTAAAAACCTCCTCCTGCTCCTTCCGCGAACATTTCTTGGCCCCGAAACTTGACGAAGGATGTTGAAACAAAAATAACGATCTTCATCATCAAGTTCAAGAGCGACCTTCACCCAGCTCTCACCACTTGACTGGTGTCAAGGATTATAGTGCATGTGTTCAAAAGCAGACGATATAGCCCTCTGTGAATTTGACTTGAGCTCATAACGAGTGTAGCTTGAAATGATATCCGAGTGCTTGTTGAAACGATCTCTGTCTTCCATTTCTCTGTGTCACCACATCATTCTACAAATAATAAGTGAGTAGTTCTATCATCGTCGATGACAATATAATTATATGTTGAGGGAGTAGAGCCATTCAATGGCTGCCATTGTGACAAGGTCTTCGTGGTCATCCACTTATTCTAATTGAACCGACGAGCGGACTACAAACATTATCCATGCACTGAACTTTGTGCGACGAGATTAATTGTATTGTATTGCATTGTATGCGTAGCAACGCACAAGGAAACGAGAACCTTGTTACGAACACGATCATGACAGACAAGGAAACGAGTAAGAAACGAGGACGATTCTCTTGAAGATTTATGTATATACATGAAATTGATTTAGCACCTCCTTTATGATCCTTACCACGATTACGCGCTTCGGCAACTCCCTTTGTAATCAGGATCAAGGATGAAAAAGGCTGTCACTATCCTGATCGTTGAAGAGGTGAAAAGAACTCCCTGAGCTCTTATTTGATTGGATTCTTAATGTAGATACCTAAATGCTCGTGGTAACTACTGAGGTGATGTAGATTTTGGAAAATTATCTTTTTCCGTGCTTAGCCTACGTGTAAGTGTAGGTGCAACATAAAAAGGCTAATAGATAAAAGCCAGAAGTCTCAGAGCAGCGGGCCGAGTCCAAATAAGGGCGGGTCAGTCTGTTCAGACTTCCGACACTGTATTTGTTTTTCCTGTATTGTTAGTTATTTCAGTTTAAAAGCTCTTTGTGTTGACTGGTGTGAGTGTTGGTGACAAAATAATATTGCATGATCTTGAACCTTCATCTTCTAAGCTTCTCGTGCTGACTGGTGTGAGTGTTGGTGACAAAATAATATTGCATGATCTTGAGTTTTCAAATTGCTCATCTCCGATATTAGCATCAAGTACCTCAAAGATAGAAATTCTTCAAATAGTTCATCTCGCCAAGTATTACCTCAAGAAATTGTTTGATCAATAAAGATGTCATCCTCAACATCCTCGAGCAAGCTTCGCGTGAATGAAGGTGGCACCTTCTATGTGGATGATGGGGAGACGAGTGTACTCCCCAACGGCTATGACCTCCCTGTCAAAGAATGTGGCTGCGACGGCGTGGCTATGTGTGATGTGAAAGGTACTGCTCGCAGCTATGCATTTTTTAATTTTAGTTAGTACATCGACTGACATCTTCACCAACTGCATCTTTACGTGCTCTTGAAAACCATAATTGCTCCACAGGCAACTGCCGTCTCCCTTCCACGAACAAGGACGCCAAAAGCTTAGTGCCCTCTATGGACCATTCTGTCGTCCCCGCTGGCTTCTTCACACGCTCTCTTTAAGGCTTCACTCAATCCATCTTGTCTTACTTTTAGCTCATCTGTGACCTCCTGCTTTCAAGTTGTTCAAAAATAGACGGACACGACAGATGAGACAAAAGAGGGAAGATTGTAGTGGGTTCTAATCTCTAGTTGGTCCTGTCAGTCGCGCAGTCATAGATATTTCCGATGAAACACAACAAGGATTGGCCAGTTCTAGTATTGGTTCCGGTGCTGCTGGAGAACATATGAAGCTGATCAAGAAACAGCGTAAAAACCGGAACAAGTTTTTCCGTACTGTGAAGGCGTTGCAGCACGAACACGAACTGTGGACTAAGGATCCGAGAAGTGCCGATTATGATGCTAATGGTGGAAAAAGTAAAGGTGAAGATGATGCGTCCTTTCGCTCTCGTGCCACGATTGGCGTTCACCGCGAAGCCCCGTCCTTAAAAGATTCTGAACAAAGCACCTCCGCTAGCGCGACAAAGGGAAAGTTCTTGAAAGAGAAGCTGAAGAAGAAAGACACGACTCGTCGGAGCAACAAAAAGAGCAACAGACTCGAGACCAAGAAGACCAGTGTTCCGGAGAAAAAGGAGACGAAGGAGGTTTCCACAGGTAATAAAGACTCGTCTTCCAAAGCCGATTTACGCAAAATCAAGTTAGTCCGCGTACCTCTCCTGCATTCCAAGTTGATTGGTCCCGATAATTTCTTTGGGCCTTTGCAAGACGGGGGCTATCGTTTTGACCTGGCGGGTCGCAAGCAGACTCCAATTGATGAGGATCTTGTGAAACACCAATTGATGAAGATTTTCCACGCCTGGAGCAATGGTGGAGATGCTTCCTTCCCTTTAGCTCCTGTGGCTGATAGTTCGATGACACAACTTGTTGTAGTTGGACGTGGTCCTTCAAAGGTATTTGATGGATCTTCTCCAGCAAGAAAGTCCTCAGTCCACAACAAGGCAGCTCGCCACACACCTCCGGGAGATCTCTTCCGTCTTCGTGACAAGAAGAATAATCGTGGTCCAAAAGCAATCGTCCGAAGTGTGCCTGAGGAACCATTGCTGAAGAAACAGTTTTCTCCAGGTGCCATTCGAGGGGAAAATTTCGTCGTTTTCAATTACGATTTGGCTATGGATACGGATGGAGGAGCTGCGGTGAGGTTTTCTAGACGAGGCAATAAAAGAGCAGGGAGAACATCAAGTACTAATACTATTAAAAAAGACAGGCCGCCAGGAAGCTTGACTGGTGCTGGGACGTCTAGAAGAAGAAAGAGCCGCGGACGAGGACGTGAGTATCCACAAAGCATGTCAACGCCTGTATTGAGTTCTGGTTCGAGTGTCGGGCTAGAGCATCTCTATAATAGAGGGGGAAGTGCGGGATTCGATGTCCTCGACACCTATATGCCTTCTGGTTCAACTGCATCCCTGTTTGGTGGGCTTGGTAAAGCTGGTCAAATGGATGGCTCCCTCGGATCGCCGAATGAGGGAGGCCTGCCGTTTGTGTTAGTTGTCATCCTCTTAGCCGCCGTTTTCAGACTGTATTTTCCGTTTTTCAAGCGCCACCATCATACCCCACATGGAAGCAACGTGCACCACGATGCAAGCGTGATGCAGAATAGCAATGCAAACGGGAGTGGAGGTCCGAAAAATATGTCGAAAAAAAAGAAACCTGGAAGTCCGCAATTTGCGTTGAAATTCTCCAACGATGCAGCCCACTTGAACCAAGATGGGCAAGAGCACAAGTTTTTTTCCTCAACCACGAAGAACACAGGGAATAATGCTTCATCTACCTATTTCAACATCAAAGATCACAATCCTTTTGATGTGCAGGAAATCTCGGGGTCAGGCCCGTCCTCCACTGCGCCTTCGTCGTCGTTGTCTCGTCCGGCTAGTGGAATCTCAACACTGACGACACCACCTGGGAGTCCGCGTGGAGGTGATGGCGTGAACAACGCTGAAGAAGGGAACGGTGATGGAGATGAACCTGCTAGTGGAGCAAGTGGGAATCGAAAGAAACGGAATCGCAACAGAAACAAGAAGAACGCTGCTCTGACGCCTACCTCGTCGACTGGAAGTACTAAAGAGCTGTCAAATCCTACAACATCCGAAGAGCAGTTTGAAGATGGATTTGCATTGGCGAAGAACAACAACAACGCGTTGTTGAATTCTCCTAAGAATTCTCCTTCTAAAGAACAAGAAGGAGTAGCAGGAGTTCAAGGACCACGAGCTCGACAAGTTCAACAACAAGCTCTTCAAAAGCAACGCCCACAACAACAAGTGAAAAATGATGAAGTTGTAGATGCAGAATTGGATGACATTCGGGATGCATTCACTGCGGGCTTGAAGATGTTGAACTCGAAGAAGAAATAGAAGATTTGGATAATTATAGTACTAGTTTATTTAGTAAGTTAAGCTTAAGAAAGAAGTGTATCTCGTCCTGTAAAAAGGAATTTTTGGAAATTAGGATCCTTGTCTTCGATGGAATTTTTTACGTCATGAGAAATGAAGAGAGAAATCTTGAAGATAGAAAAAAAATCACGGATGAATGATTCGAAATACCAATGTTTTTTCTCCTGATGAATGAAAGTGAACAAAGTATACCTTCTGTGCAGTTAGTTAGGCAAGCAATAGTTGAGCAAGAATGAATTAACGATCATGTCAAATCAAGAGGAATTTCTGCGCGCATAACAATCATCAAAAACGTATCAGTTACTAGTCAGTATGTCTGTGTACAGAAAAATACAACAAAACGAAGATAGTGAAAATGTAGCTCTCGAGCTGCAATATCGAACATGAAGGTACTCATCATGGGATGTTTGAGTATTGTCGCGACCTATTGGCTTTTTGCATTTAAAAAGTAGCAAAAATGGGGAACAGAACTAGACATAGTATTTTTGGGTCGTGGGTGATGTCGCACATGTACTACAAATATTTCCAATGGTCCGTTTCACATCATTACTAGTTTTTTGGAAAAGTTGGAAAATTATCTTCTCTTCTTCGAATTTGGTTGCAATCAATGGTGGCAACCACGCCAAGCAATGCGAAGGAGAGTATAAATCCTGCTTGGTCTTGACAAGATAAAGATGAAACGAAAAATGAAAGAAAGTACAGATCGACATCAATGCAAATGAACATCGTGATCTAACAAAGTGAAAGTGCTTTCTAGAAAAATAACAACAAGCATGGATTATATGCGAGATCCCCCATCGAAGGTTTGCGAGGTCTTTTCATAGTCGTGTTCCTTTTCCACATTTGGTCCTTGGTCGCTTCAATCACGAACGATCTTTATTTGCTAAGCGAGTTCTCCTGTGAAACCTGTATGGAGATCCTGATCACGCAACGCGACGTCATTCTGACAATCGATCTTGAAGATCCTGACTACGGATCACCAGTCTATCACTCTCTTACTTTTGACCGAATTACAACAGGATCGAGTTGACCTTGACGTTCCTATTTTAGTGCATTACTGGTGATAGTTTGGCATGCCAAACAACTGTACTTTAAGTACATATTTGTACACGACACTAGTAGACCAACATCAAGATGGTGACAACTCCTGTCGCCACACCCAGCACCGGAAAAATGAAGCAGGTGGGTGGACACAACAAGATGAACAATAAAAATCCTCGTCCTCCAAAGATGAAAGGGAAGGGCAAGGGTAAAGGAAAGCGTCCGGCCAAGAAGACTCCTCCCACCAAGCAACAATTATCACCCTCAACGACGTCATCAACGCGACCCTCTGGCTCCAACCTGGAGCCAACTAAGCGACAAAAGAAGGAACGTGTTTTCCAGCTCAATAAACGACTGGCTGCAATGGCTAAACGCAAAGAGCGACTAACCGAGATAGAGGAAGTCTTCAGCTGTTTTCAGACGGAAGATTTGACACCAAGCGACCACACTGTTTCCTGTATGGTCAATGCTTATGTCAGGGTTGGTTTAGTCCAGAAAGCCAAGGAGTTTTACTTCTCGCACCTCAAGGCACCAGCGGCCTCCTGTTCTTCTGAGACGAAGAGGAACGAGCCAGCTTTAACGGCATTGCTTAAGGGCTTGCTCGTAGAAGAAGGAAATCTGAAAGCGACACAAGAATTATTGGAAAAATGCCTTCATCATCCAGTTGCATCTTCATCATCGACTTCGACTTGTTGTTCGACAGGAGGAGCACCACAGCAAGCGGACACACATCAACTCTTAGCAAACGAGCGTTTTGTTTCGACTTTTTTCCGTGGCTGTCTACGATGGGGATATGTCGACTTCGCTTTTGAACAGTACTCCAAGTGGACAAAGCAGGTTGATCGATTTCGGCTTCCAGATGCGGCGCTTCTTTACCTGGTTAAACTTGCGTGTCAAGCCTTGAGGCTGCAGACTGTAAAGGAGTTATTGATGAGTCATGGGAAGAAAAGACTCCTGCTCAACACTAGCTCCTCAACATCAAAAAAAAACGCTCCTCAACAGCTGTCTCTATCCGAAGTGCAAATGTTGGTGGCGATTGGACGTGCGCGTCTCTTGTTGGACCAGTCGGACAAATTCGAGACGGTGATAGGAAAAGCGGAGTCAGGGTTAAGAGCTTTGTTTGCTGAGAGGCGGGAAATGAGGAAAACGAAAGGTTCTGCGACGACGAGGGAGGAAGGCAGTACTGAGAAGAAGATGGAGGTTCTTGAGGGCGACGCCAAGATGGAGGTCGATGAAGAGGAGGACTCAGAGGAGGACTCAGAGGACGAAGAGCACTCCGACGACGGTCGCGATGATGTCGCTGATGCACAGACTTCGAAAGTAGTAGACGCCCTAGACGACCCAGCTGCTACCCTTCAGCCAGGAATCTTCCAACTTCACGTGATGAAGGACTTGGATGCTGAAATAAAGCGGTTGCGATTCTTTCTTAAAAAGAGCTCAACAGAGAACATTAAGCGGGAAGACTTCTATTCGCAGTTTGCGTATCTTCATAGTGCAGCTAGTGTTAGCGACGAAGGTGAGCAGGACCAGGCTGGTGCTGATCCCCGTGCTTTGCGAACTATTGGCTACAGAGGCGACCGCGTAGTGGAGCCAGAGCTACGAAACGTGAGTGACCTGATCAGCGTCAAAAGAAACGAAGTAGACAAAGACCCTTCTAGTGCCAAGAAAATTACCAAGATCGAGTTAGGTCCTGGTCTCGGAGAATGGGTCCTACAGAAAGCCACCTCAGAACCCGACACTTTGTTCGTAGCTTGCGAACTAAGACATGAACGCTGTGTGCGAATATGGCAGGACTGTGTGCTTCAAGGCCTGAAAAATGTCATAGTGCTCGGTGGAGATGCGACGAAAACACTTGAGGCATTGAAGATCTCCGCATCCGCTGGTGGAAGTCAGCAGGTAGACCTTGTCGTGAGCAATTTTCCACAGCCGCCGACATGGCATCAGAAGAGTGCGATGTTTTCCTCCTCAACAGAGGAACAAGACGGTCAACATCTTTTAACTGCTGACTTCATCAACACCCAAGTTTATGCGTTGCTGGGTCGTCCCGCCGAAAGCGAAAGTGCTGGGACTTTCTTGGTTTTTAGCGACAACAGAGAATATCTGAACTGGATGGCAAGGGAAGTCTTCAACAAGAAAGTCGACTACACCGGGCGGCGGTGTAGTTGGGCCGATGCAGGAGCAGTACTACTAGACGAGGACAAGAAATCATCCAAAAAGGATGCCTCCTCTTCCACCATAAAAGTCCACACCGGTCGCCCAACCGAGTGTGAGATGGAGGAAAAAACGTATTTTGATCGCATGTGGTCGCAAGGGAAGAAAAAAGATCGATGCTTTATTCGGGTGCGTAGGGCGCCGGACCTTGCAGGTCCTCGTGCTTGAATTTTTCATGATCATGATAGAGGATGATGTCATTGCCACTGGAACAAGCACCACAAGAACCAAGTTCCTTTCAACAGCACTTTCTCGTCTTCGCATTATCACTCATGTGTATGCGCAAAAATTGTTAAGACACCGTGTCCGTGCTGTCCCACGAACAGCACCGCCTCGGACTCCATGCAGTAATTTCTGGTCAACATGATGCCAGCACTTTTGTGTTCACCAAAGTAGACGTGCTCTCTCTCGTTGTCCTGTTAGGATCGGAAGCTTAGACCAAATCCAGATCCATATCTTCGGTCCTCGTTCAAAATGGAAATTTTTCAGGTTCTAGTATGTACTTTCAGGAGATCCAAGCTCCTAGAGTTGTCGAGGTTAAAGATATGAGTAGGCTTTGTGGTAATCTTGAATCTACGAACTTGGATCGTCTCGTCCATGTTCATAGTATACTCAGAAAAAGTGCCTTCGTTGGTTCTCATTTTCCTGAAGACGATCTTCAATGTTGAAAAGGAAATTCAAGCCAACTTGTTGAAATTCACAAATTATAAGTCCTCAGGCGAAGCCAGGTATGATAAATAGAAGTAACTTGTCGATGTCGTGGCATTTTTCATTATGAAATGATTTCGATTTTTGTACAGCTTCCGCTGTTCTCGGAAACGAGGTGACTTGAAGATTCATAATTTTAGCGACTACAGCATCAACAATCATGGCTTCCTCGTCTTCGTCCGCCCCTGATCATGGGCGGAAAATGCGTCAGGCACCTGCTGCCTCAGCAGACTTCTTCGGAGAAAACAAGCCTGAAGAGGAGGAGGAGAAAGAAGACGTGCCACTAACTGGAAGCAAGAAAGCAGAGCAAATGAAGCCTGATGTGGAGATGATCTTGGTGGCAGGAGAATTGATACCCGTGAGCAAAGAACACAAGGTTCAAGACGAGGACGACAATGCAGTCGTGATAAACCGAGTACACAACTATCACGGGAGTACGGCAGGTACTGAAAAGACTAGAAGAAGATGGATATTTATTTTTGTGGCTGATTGTTATCTCTTTTTTTTGGGTAACGCCGGCCAATATTAAGCCTCCTACTGCAGATGCTACGGAGACTCGATGGCAGTCCAACTTACAAATTTACTCCATAGAAATGCTGACTTTGAAACGTCCTAGGTAAATCTCAATATTAAGCCTCCTGTACAAACATGCATCCATCAATTTTAATACACGGAACATCCAAGAAGAAGAACCCAATCCCAAAGCCATTATCAATCTTCATAGGATACCTTAGAAGTTTCATCAATCATCATAGGATATTCCCTCAGTCGTTCTCCTCTGTGAATCTCATCTACACACTCGGATCCCCACACCACAATCGCAGCCGCCGGAAGTGATTTTTTTCACATGTACCAGAAAACGAGGGGTCGGGAATTGGAGAGGCTAGAAAAATTAGACGCGGACCATGACGCAAAGCTCGAAACCCTAGCCTTTCAGCAGAAGAGGATAAACAATTTCCACAAAGATCAGGAGAAATTGGAGAAAAACCGCGCAAAACGGCAGAAGAAGAAGGAAAGACAGAGGATAAATAAAGCGAAGAGGAAGAAAGGTATTCTTACTTCTAAAAGCTGAGTTAAGATGTTGACTCGTCTTGGATGACCAGATAGACGAGATTTTTTGATATTGGTAGTGTACTAGAATTATATATTTGATCGACCTTGCTCTTGCAGGCCGTACTAGACGTCGTATTGTCATTCTTAAACTAGTCGATCAAAAACATCATTGTTTCCACCGACGACTTTCTTCGTCTTCTCGTTCAGGTGACAAAGACGAGAGCAGCGATGAGGAGGTAGACGAAGAACAGAATGTCAAGTTCAGACGTATTGCTTCTACTGTTGCAGCAAACGATGAAGAGCAAGAACCTGACGAACCTGGAGCTAACCATCCTTCAACGACTTCTAGAGGTGCACCACGTCAAGTGGGCAGAACAGCAGGTAGCGCGACATCCGGTCTAGGCAAAACTACTCTTCCAGCAGGATCACCAAATCAAACGTCATCAGGTGCAGGGGCTTTGGGTGGAGTTCTTGACTTTGCAGACTTGGCCGCGCAAGTACAAAAAAGCAACGACTATGGTGGTAGACCTACGTCGGAGACCACACTTTCGCTAGCGACTTCCACAACAGACGACGCTGATGGAGCTAAACAGCCTGAGGTAAAGAGGATGCAACAACAGAACTTAATTTTGCGAGAAGATTTCGATATCTAGTTGAGATGATTTGCTTCACTCTTGGAAGGGAATGTTCTACACAAACATTTTAGTCACTTTCAGGACCTGATAATTTCCGCGCCGCCCGCCCTATGAAACACGACGACAACATTTCCTGTACTACCCGTTGTATTGTTTCTACTACTCCGTTCCGACCACAGAGATTGAACGAGCTTCTAATAAGCGTGGGCGTTACCTGCTGTCACTCTCGCTGTGTCTGCTATCAATCATTTCGTGTTCAAATCAGGTTGAAAAATGCAAGCAACGACCGAACTTGTAGTCCTCTGAGCGAGGTGGAAGGATGAAAAATGATAACGAATAAGACGAGAGATGGTCAGGACCGAACTGTGTAGAGCGTGAGATAGAGGTACAACTAGAACGTTCTCAAACTAAAACTTTGTTGTGACTCTACCTAATAAAAGAAAAAAATGATCGTGTCCCCCGCCGGCGCACTTCGTTGCTCTTCTCGCCCACGTCGAGCGATCGCGCTCGCGTCGCGTACTCCCAGGAGCTTTTCGAGCACAGCATCGCTAAGGCCTTCATCAACATCATTGCAAGAGCGTGCAAGGCCAGATGAGGTGAGAAACCTAACGAATGAGGAGTCGTCTCTTCCTCTAAATGAGCATGCTTTGCTCATTTTTAGTAGTGGTCTCCCACCAATATCATCGAGCTCGAAAAGGACGAGGACGATTGCAAGAGGAGATGGTGACAAGAATGAAGGCGTGGAGGATCCAGAGGCAGCTGCCGTCGCCTCCGCTGCAGCGTCTGGAAAGCTAGTTTATGCTCTTGCAGGAAGAGGCCAAGGAGGATCAGCGTCTTCATCGAGTCCAGTTGTCCTCGAAGGTGCGCCAACTTTTGCAGCGTTTACATCCAAAGAGGTCACCTTGGCCCTCGCAACGTTGAACGACCCAGGTCGAAAGCAAGAAACAATAGCTATCATTCGCAGCTTGGCAAAAGCCGCCACTCAAGAAACCTCGATAATCCAAACTGGTGGTGGAGGACAGGAGGTTTCTGTTTCTAGAGCGGATTTACTCATACGACTGTGCAAAATCGGGAATGCGATTCAATTCTCGTCTCCAGGTTCATCATGGTCAGCACAGGACATCCTAGCTTGCTTACGACTCTACTCGGAAGCGGGATGCCTATGCGTACCGCTTTTTCGGAAGGCTATGATGCAGTTTCTGCGGATGGATAGGATAGAGAGAGAACAATCGTGGGAAGAAGCATATAGTTCTTCAAGTTCTTCTGGTTCATCTTCTACTGCTGATCTTGTTCCAGCAGAGGCCGAACATCATATTAAGGCTCAAAACAATTAATTTCTACAAGTTTTTTCTTGCAGTTTCCTTCTTGGGATTCTGAAAAAATGCAGGCAAGAAATGAATCGTTTTGAGCTCTAATCATACCACCTGTCGTGAAACAGCAACAAGTGCAACAAGTTCCTCATCGACAACAACTTTGACCAGCATAGACCAAGAAGATCCTGAAGCCCTTCTCTATCGACGATTTTCAGCACCGTATTATCGTCGATATTTCAGCGTGAACGAACGCGTTGCACTGCTGCGAGCATTAGCAAGACAGCGGGCCCGCGTACTAGTGCCACGTCTAGCAAGGGAGTTTTTTCCACCAGCTCTTGTAGAGACATCTTCTAGTGCAGATTCAGACATAATATCATCTGCTTCATCTGCAGAAGTTGGCCTCTCTGTGGACCAAGCAGTCTCAATCCTCGAGTCTTGCTCATTCTTGAGGATGCCATTGCCTGTAAGTGCGCAAAAACGAGTCATGAATGAGGTAGAGAGGATTCGTGTTCGTGAGCTGGATGAAAGCATAGTCGATAGAAACTATGATGCGGGAAAAGGCACATCTTCTTCTTCAGACGACGCTTTCCTCATAGATGTTATGTATCACACACTAACGAGCTACCATTCCCAACCAGGTATGAACGACCTGCCGAATACAGAGAGAGTGCCTCTTAGACGTAGGGCACAACAACATCAACTTCCCGCTGCTGCTCATCATGCTCAACTACACGAACTTCTGAGTGTCGAATACATTTTCGATACTGTTCTCCCGACGTTTGCTAGAAGATGCGCCATTATACCAGAACAACTAGTACCTGAAGAAGGAACTCCATCGACATCGTCTGCATCTCCACTTGCCAGTCTTTCTCATCTTTCTCTGCGTCGCGCAAATGTAGTCCGAAGCATCATAAGGTACCTGCACCCTGAGTTTTTGCAAGAGATGACGAACAACATGATGAAGCAGGACCACGAAGGAGGACTGAAGGAAGGACGAGGAGAAACAGCGGCAGACCGTGGAGCATATCTTCATGTTGAGAATAATATGCAGGTTATAGAACAGGCCTTGAAGCGAATACATGAAGCCTGTAGTGATGCTGATAGGTCGAGCAATGCTACTTCGACTTCCGCTAGTGAGTCAGAGTCCATATCCGCGAAAACCTCCAGAAGCTGCAATAGCAAAATGGAACTGAATTTCAAGCAGCAAGTAGTTCCAGGACCCCGTTTCTTGTCGACTGTGGATTGGTCACTGACAAAGCTTCGTATCGCTCATAGCGTGTCTCATCGGAAAGGACCCTTTTTAAGACTCATCGGAATGAAAAACAAAAAGTTCTTCAAGTACTTATAATTTTTCGATGTTTATTAGTTGTTTATAATGAAGTAGAAGATTTTGTGTTCCAACTACTGGACTAGGCTTTTCTACAACTACCTTCTTGTCTTACTGAGTAGATGAAGTTGTTTGAGGCAGAAGAATAAGTAAGAGGATAAGATGGAAGAACGATCATGAGTATCTCTGTGTAATTGGACAATGGGCTGGTGAGATAATCAAGATATTTCTTGTCCTCATTTGTCAAGTAAGCATGTGAAAGCAAAGACGGGCAGCATGGAAAAAGGTTCCGACGCATTCTAAGGGTTATTGTCGACTTCGTCGAGCGAGATCGTCGTTGCGTCTACCGCTGCCTACGACAGGATCAGTGGCTGGCAGAGTCACTGCGTTTTACGATTGCGCCGAAAGTCGTAGAGGAAAAGACGCTGAAGGCGATGGGTTACCGCGTAATCAACATACCCTACTGGCATTGGAACAAACTGCAACTTCTTATGTTGATGAGAGGAAAATCATTTTTGATGTTTTTTTATCAATTTCATCATCTTCAAACATGATAGAAGTACTACTAGTAGTACGACAAGAGATTCTTCAGATTAAGTACTTATGCTGTACTAGAGGGATCAAGCATGATTTTTCTGCAAGTAGCTGATTGTATGTAAGAAAAGACTCAATCTATATCTAAGTACTTGATGAGAAGATACAACCTTAACCAAGTAGAACGCCTTTCTCCTCAACGAGGACCCTCTTCATATCCCGCAAAACGCGCATAGAATATCTTCGCATGAGCCGATATCTCGCGTTGATGGATCCTAGAGGTCGGGACGGGCTATTGCAAGAGCGGTCTTACGTCGGTGAATTCTTTGGGCCTCGTGACGTTCCTAAAACACCCATGGGTTGGTTTAAACCCAAGGAAGCTAGGCCGTTGGCGGAGTAGATGACGAAGTCACTGTCACTCAATGGAGCAGATCGACAGCATTGATGCAGACTTCTCTGTGATTATATCTAATGAAGAGGCAAAATTTCTTGCAAAAATGAAAATCTTCTCTGAAAAATTTACTGTATAGGATGTTACCAATGTAGTTGTTCTTCTACCTTTCAAGCTCCCTGCCATCAACAAGGTCGTCAACAAGATGCTGATAGAAGACGACGACCTCCTAGATCTTACTGATATTTATATAATATAAGTAATTACACAAGTGGTCTAAAGATCCCATAAGATGAAGATCTGTGGTAAAAAAATGTTGAGGGAGGTCTTCATCATGAACAAGATCCACTCGTGGTTTACGAGGTAAGGAATACGAGACTCGGTTGAAAATAGTGGAGGATGATGATCTGGCTGGTTTTTCTGACAACTGCGTCCTTTTTACTGGGACTTCAAAACACCAGAGGAGCATCAACAAACATCGGAACTTTTTTATTCTCTGATGTAATTGTAACTACTATCTTCATCTTCAAATGTGTTTCCAACTCAACAGGCTATGATCCAAGGCATTTCGCCGTAAGCGTCCTCTTGACGTTGGTCGTTAACGATTTCTAGTATAATTTAGGATACTTTATTATAGAACGGATGAAGAGAGAAAGCTGGAAGGAAGTTGATTAATTCTTACTCAAGAAGTTAATTAACTGTCATCTAACCGACGTCCTCTACGCCTACAGCCTAGATGAAACTTCATCACTAGGGCTTGACTGATGAAAAAAAGACCTACGAAAGTAGCCCGCACGGCACCGCCTACTGTGGGCGGGTCTATAATTGTAGTCATAGGACTGGGACCATGAATGAGTGCATGAACATTGTCTAGCTACATATACTTCTTTGCATAATTTTGAGTTTTACAAAAACTGCCTTTAACTTCAAAAGACTAAACAAGTGTGATGAAAGAATTTTCTGTCCGTCTACGCCACTTGTGTTTCCTCAACTACTAGTACTAGCTCGCATTAAGATTATTATTACTTCTGCTTCCCGTTAGTTACCTAATTTGGTGATGAATAACTTATTCTTATAAATATATAACTACCGACGTTGTATGTACCAACGAGTGAAAACTTAGGATTTTTCTATTTTTTGTTGCTTTGTAGTAGAATCCATCTAAACTTCTTCATCATCTGTTACTAGCTACATTTAATAATATTTGTCTGTGAAAACGAATATCTTCATCTCGTCCTCACGTACCTACTTGTACTTAGTACTATACAGACCGCTGAGGTGAAAAGGTCAACAGTTACAGTCGCCATTGAGTCCTCTTTCGTCTACTTAGCGTTAGAACAAGTCCTAGCGCATAGACGCACCTAAGCACCTGCAGCTGCTACTTACATACTATATTTTCATTCATCATCGTCGATAGGGTCGCGCGCGAACATAAATAATAAATGATAATGATTAATTATAATGATGATCCTCGCTCTTTTGTTGGACTTCTAGTATCTATCCTGCTAGAGGAGACCTCGGTGAGGTTTTCATCATTCAAAGAAGAGTAAGAGAACCACATCCATAACAAACTAGTGGCGCAACATCTTGAAACAAAATTACGCTATCAACAACATAGCATAAGCCATAAGACTTGCAAGAAGATGGCGCTATCAGCTTCACGCTCAAAAGGGAAGATGTCTTCCGGTTCTACCAGGCTCTTTTTTTTTGAAATTATTATTTGTTTCCTCCAGCTTGTGGAAGTTTGTGGGCGATCCTCAACACTCGGTGGAGGAGCTTCTGGCTCATCAACATACGGTGGAGGAGCTTCTGGCTCATCAACATACGGTGGAGGAGCTTCTGGCTCATCATATTATGGTCGTCAAACTACAGGGGCTGGCGCTGGCGTGTCTTCACGTTCACCATGGCCTGCTTCACGGGAGAGCACGAGAGACCGAGCGGGGCCGCCTACACCTAGCGGAGCACCAACGTGGCCTGCAGCTCCGTCATCGGGAACGTCGCCAATGATACCGTCTTCAGTATTGCCATCTGCTTCAAGAAGAGATGGCCATCTGCTGCATCGAGAATTACCAGCATCACCAATGATACCCCCGTCTTCAGATGAGTTACCATTTTCATCAGCTGCTGCTGCACAGGTGACATCTTCAAGAAGAGAAGTCCATCAAGAAGAAGAAGCTTACTCAATGAAGGATGAGGACGTAAAAAACTTGATAGAGTTGGCTCGTTGGCATGTGGTTGGTCCTCTCAAGGACTTCGCTTTTGCAGCAGCTGCAAGTAGTCACTCGTCTGCTGTCTCCTCTATATCTGAAGATGCCCAGTTTGATGCTGAAGACTTCGAACAACAGCAAAAACATGTAGTTCATCTCGAACACGACGAGGACCAGGAGAATGTGTCACGAGTACTAGGACAGCCACATGCTAAAGGTGTGGATGCAGAAGGTGTAGAAGGAGTGAAAGCAGACGAACAACAAGAACCAGGTCGAAGCGGAACAGTTGGTAAAGATACACTAGACGAAGATACTGGTGCTAGCGCAGTAGTAGTAGAGGACAGTGTGTTGGACTCCGATTTGCAGCCTTCTCGCCGCTCGTGGTGGACAAGTCTGCTTGGCAATACGAAAAATACGCTCGTCTCTGAAAGATTCCTTGAAAGAAAGAATAAGAGGCAACTACAACAAAAAATGGGGGTGGATCATAAACTTCAACAAGACAAAAGCAAAAAAATTCAACAGCAGGACATGTCCAATAGAAAACGTCGTGCTGAGTTATTCAAACGTGTTGGGCAAATGTTGTTAAAATCAGCAGTCTTCTTCCCCTACGGGTCCGCAATGGCGGGGATTGCTGGCCCAAATTCCGACCTCGATGTAGCTATGTTCCTTCCGCTGGAGGCACAAAGAGAACTCCGACAAATCATCAAAGGATCTGGTCTGCAAGTGAAGTTACCACCTAAAAAACAAGCACCGACACCGTCTGCAAAGAGAGATGCTAGATCTTCTGGCGTTGATAGAGAAGGGGCGACGAATCCCTCACTCGAAGGAGACAACAGTACGCCTGACACTGGTACAGCACGTGGAGAGGTACAAAAAGGTCAACATCAACAAGGTCAACATCAACAAGCTCATAGTCTGAATCAACAAGGAGCTTTTGCTGGACAACAAGGACAGCTATCACAGGAAGGCGAGGAGCTTCTCCTAGATCGGGAAGCCGTTGCCTGGTTACTTCTGAAGGTGGTTTTGCCGATTCTAAAGAGCCATATCCTCAAGGATATGAAACCAAAAGAATTCGCTGAAATCACAGGACAGGAACATCAACAGGACGAGGAGTTTTTGCGATTCCACGGAGAACAAAGGGAAGGCGGGGACCCAAGCATGTTTCGACATAAAAGCTCTTTTGTGGTAGGGAATTCCGGAGCGAGGACCTCCACAGGGGAACATCTTCAAGATCACAGCACTTACCACACGTATTTAGCAGCCAGGATGATGGAAAAAGAAGAAGAAAGAGCAGCAGCAGGAGGAGATCACGATGGTCAATTGAAGCGAGATGGACAATTTCTCTTTCCGCCGGCTCGGGCTGATACTTTTCTTCTATCAAGAGAAGAAGAACGCCGAGCATCTCCTACGTCTGTATTGCGATCTGCCTCTGTTCCAGCTATCATTGAACGCAACTTTTTTCGCCAAGATGCTGGAGCTCCTGCATCAAGTAGAACAACTCGTGAACAAGTAGATCTAGGAGCAGGGTCGTTACCGCTGGGAGTAACATCAGAAAGTAGACCACGGCCTCGTCGTCCTAGGAAGCATATCGACGTACTCGCACATGACGATGAAGAGCTGACTCAGGAGAAGGAGAAGGAGCAAAGCAGAGATGAAGCAGAAAGAGGAGAAGAAGACTCATCATCTTCGCGGTACGAAAAAACAACTGATCGCCTGATGGAGATTCATATCTCCACAGAGAAGATCTATGCTTCTGTTCCCTGCGTAGAGATCACATTTGGATTTCTCTCGCTGACTGGAGCTTTGCGCAAATTGGAACTTTGTTTGCACTTTCAAGACACCGGCGCGTTTCTGAACACCTTAGCTGCACGCCACCTGGCCAGAAGCTGGAACGATGAAGTCCATGCAACCTTTACCTACGTTAGTTAAGGGTAGGTAGTTAATAAAGGTGTTCCTGCTGTTACCGTTTGTTACGGCTCTCCACCTAAGGGAGACCACAGCCATAACAATCGGGAGAAGCGAACACCAAAATAAGCCTACCTCTAAGTTTGGCACTTGGCGCAACGCGTGAAGCTCGCGGAACCAGCACATCCTTATTCGGCGATAACCTCTCACTGGCTCTTCTACTTCTTTCAGATTTATTTGTGGACTGGAGTTCCACAAGCAGGAGGAAGGTTGAGCAGGAGCACAGAGGGAGGACCAGCTGCACATCTAGGAGGAAATCCAGGATCGTCAACATTTCATCCAGGAAAGATGAACGGAGGAGCACAAAAGCTACCCCTTCAACATCTTGTTCAACAACAAGAAGTTCTTGTGTCATCTCCTTCTCCAGCAGGAGCAGGAGAAGACCTTAGTAGAAGTTCTTCGTCTACTGGTACTGCCTCATCACCGTCACGTCGTCGAGGTCGATCATCTGCTGCCTCATCACGTCGATCACCTTTTGCAGCTTCGTCTTCTACAACTTCATCTTTACTCCCTTGGGGGAACCATCCGGAGGCTCCGCACCACGTTTCTTTTTTTTACGCCTGTGATCAGACTCCATCGCGGAGAGCGAGCTTTTTTGAAAACTGGATTCGATCCATTCGGAACCAAGCCCCTGAGTTTTCAGTCTATGGCATATTACAGCCTTGGCATGATATGCATGGTCATGGTGTAGCTGAAGCCAAATCCTACGACGACAGCTCCTGGAAGCCAGTCCTCAGCAGCCAGCAACCGGAACTGGCTACGAGGAAAAGTGATGCTGGACGAGGTGCTACTTACTTATTTATTCGATGATGCTCTTCTTAGTTCCTGTAAAAAGTTACTTTTTACAGGAACTGCTTCTGTGTTTCTAGAACGTTTCGTCGGCGGAAAAACTTCAGTAGAGTCTACTAGGCGAATAATGGCGACAACGCGACGCATCTACGCGCCCGCCGAAGTCAGCAGGCCACCGCCTTCCACTTTGCTCGCGCTGTCCAATCGGGCTGAGGGTGTGCGCAATCGCTAGAACTACAACGCGGGCGCCCCGCGGTAGGGTTGACCTTTGGGGGGTGCTGCCCAGCCCCCAACTCAACGAACCTCCGCCGGCCTCGATTGACACGCGCCGGGCCGCGTCTGTAGCGGCGCCTTTGTGCTGGACCGGTGCGCCGGCTCCCGTGTTGCCCCTGGCGCGGCGGGTGCGTGGACGGTGTCACGCGGCGTGGCGCACGCGCCTGGTCATGGTCTGGGCCGGACGGGGTGGCCGTGCAGTGCTTCTTAGCGCCGGGGTGGATACGTGGATCCGTCGTGAGGCACGCAGACAGCCACAGGGTGCTGCCCCGCACCCCAGGCCTTGGGGTCGATTTGCCTAAGCTGTGACTAGCAGAGGAGCGGCAAGTCTCAGGAAAATCTCAGTTCTGAGACTGAAAAAAGTCTGGCGTTCGAGCTCGAACGCCAGGATTTGAGAACCTTCGACGACGACCATGCATGGCCAAGATCTGGGACTGTTCAAAAGTCTGGCGTTCGAGTCGAGCCCCAGGGGTTTTGCCTGTCCAAGGACTGACGCAGCAGGGGACACTCGGTCGGCTTGTGGACAGGAAAACACGCTGGCGTTCGACTCGAACGCCAGACTTTTGCCTCCTCTCAGAAATCTAAGGAGCCTGGCATCGGGGGTTTTGAAGTCCTGGCGTTCGAGCTCGAACGCCAGACTTTTTGCAGTCGCGGGACTGAGAATTGTCGGAGTTGAGGGGGTGCTTCGCTCGGGCTTGGAAGTTGGTGGCGCAGGCTCTGTTCTGTGTTTTTGCGGGATGCGATGGGCAATAGCAGTCGGCCTCTCATTGTCGTCCAGGGTTGGGGAGCTGAATTTCGTTGCGGCGTAGCGCGCTTGTTTCTGCTTGCTCGGGGAATGGGAGTAGCTGCTGGAGGGGTACGCGCCGTCCTGACTGCTGGCCGTGTGCTCTGGGTGTGCTCTGGGGTTCGGGGATCATGCTAGGGGCCACATGCTGGGGGGGCTCTTTATCGTGTGGCGCGATGACGCTCGCCGGGGCGGGGCGTCGGCATATTGATCCCTTTGCAGCCCTGGCGCCTTGTTAGGGTGTCTGTGCAGCGCCGTCCATGGAGTCGCTGCCGTGCCCCTTCGGACCTTGTTGGTCTGGTTGCGGCTGGGTGGTTCTTCTAGTTTCCGATGTTTGAAGGTAAAAACTCTTCGGTTGATATGACTGAAGTTTTTCCGCCGAAATTAGGCGCTACTCCACGAGTCATTCTATGTAGTATTTTGATTTTTTTAGAACAAATATATATATTAATATTTTTTCATCTTGGACATGGACTTGGTATTGGATTCGGAGTAAAACTTCTAGAAGTTCAAGAACTCACTCGTAGTTGGAAAATGAAGGGAAATCGCTGTCGAAGTACTTTTTATGTACCTCCGTGTATGACTGTAAATGCGAACCTCTAGGACTGCTGCTGACTGTTTTTATAGCTATCAAATTCTTTATGAAATCGTGTCTCTCTTCAGATTGAGTCTACTTCATCTTTTCTCTCTTCGTCAGATGTACTACCCGCCCACCAACAAGTTAGCGGAAAAGAAGGCTTCATACGACCAAGAACAGTATCCCAAGAGGAAGATGCTTATGCCACACTATCGAAGAGTATTGGGCTACCGACTCGCCATCGATCTCCGTACGAGGTGAATCAAATTGCAGATTTTTTCACCGGGACAGGGAGAGGGCTTGACTATGTAAATCTCTTGCTTGGAGGTAGACGCTTCTTTTTCGACCATGCCGAGGACGAGGACGACACTAATCGTCTGCACCGTAAAGAAGCTGACAGACTGTTAGACTCTTTTTTACTAGGGACAAAACGTCGCGGCTCCAGTACCAGTAGTGCTGTGGTGATGGAATTAGCAGAAGGCTTTCTTGATTGGTTGGAGCAAAAGCTGTTCCATGAAAGGAAAGTAGTGCAAGTCTTCGATCCAAGCGGTGTGTATCGAATCTTCAATTTTTCCGGTCTGGGAGTCGAAGACGGTGTGCCACGTTATCTCGTGGGGGATCGTGAAAACCCTCGGATGGGCCGTAAACGAGGAGAATTTGCAAGATCCAAACTACAGAAGATTCGAGAGTTGATGATGAAAAAGAAGGCTGAGGTCGAAGAAGCGCAAGAACAGCTGCAAAAGGTCGAGGAAGAAAGAGCAACACAAGAACTAGAGCAGCTGGTGCGACGTGCTGATGATCCTGCTTCAAGTAGAACATCCCCAGATCAAGTGGGATCTCTAGTACAGCAAGAACGTGACCAGCATAAAAATTCCCTACAAGAACTACCAAATATGCAGCAACAGGTGGACCACGGACCACGTGATGAAGAAACTTCACAACAACAAGTGGCGCAGGAAGGGCGTGAAGAGGCTTTACACCCACCTGGTCGGTTACCACGTGGAACGCGAGTGCGGAACTTTCTTGATGATAGGGCCCCACTTCCGGACCAAGAAGAAGGACATGATCAACAAGAGCAAGCGGCTTCATCTCGACCACAACATTATCATGGATATGATCAACAAGAGCAGCAGCACGCGGCTTTTCGACCACAACATTATCATGGACATGATCAACAAGAGCGCGCGGCTTCATCTCAACCACAACATTATCATGCATATGATCAACAAGAGCACGCGGCTTCTCGACCACAGCATTATTATGGACATGATCAACAAGAGCACGCGGCTTCTCGACCACAGCATTATTATGGACATGATCAACAAGAGCGCGCGGCTTCATCTCAACCACAACATTATCATGGACATGATCAACAAGAGCACGCGGCTTCTCGACCACAGTATTATTATGGACATGATCAACAAGAGCGCGCGGCTTTTCGACCACAGCATTATTATGGACATGATCAACAAGAGCGCGCGGCTTTTCGACCACAGCATTATCATGGACATGATCAACGAGAGCACGCGGCTTTTCGACCACAGCATTATTATGAACATGATCAACAAGAGCAGCAGCACGCGGCTTTTCGACCACAACATTTTCATGGACATGATCAACAAGAGCAAGCGGCTTTTCGACCACAACATTATCATGGACATGATCAAGAACATGGACGAGATCCACCACGGATACCAGGATATCAAGGAAATGGGCAGGATCATTATCATACACAAAGGTGGTCCTTTGATCAAGAGGGTTGTGCTCCAGCACAAGGATTCTACCACAAGTGGCCAGCTTCACAAGACAAGTATGCTGTTAAAGACGTTCAACATCTTCCACGAACCCAACAGCCTCCGCCACTGCACGAACAGTGCCTCTCGCATCTCAGACAAGAAAGAGAGATCAGGGACGCAGCTGCTGCTATGACCAACATTGCTCCGGATCATTGGCAACCAGGACAACAGCCTGCGGAAGAAGAAGAAAAAGATGCATATCTGACAGATGACCTACAGGATATTCGGATGGCGAATAATCTGGCACCTGATAAGCCTTATCGTGATCTGGTCCATCCACGCTCTTCTTCTAGTCAGCAGATGGGCAGCTACTCATACTCATCATCGTCTGCTGTAGGCCATCAACGAGCTGGACATGAGGAGCAACATCAATATTATCAACTGCATCTGTGTAATCTTCTTCATGGAAATAATGACCCAAGAACAAGAACTACACCAGAACCAGAACAACGTGGACAATCTCGTGCGGCTGCAGGCTTACCCCGTCCAAAATCACCAGGCGGAGAAGGAAAACGAAAGGCAAAAGAACGTCCCGAGAATCACAGTGGACCTGGAGGAGTGCAGCCTCAGGCTCAGAGTTACCACCTCCAGCCAACGCCTCCTCAACCACAACAACAACAACAACAACAGCCAACTACGTCTCCTGTGTTTATGTTTTCTTTGCCTTCAGAATGCTGGGGACCACGAGCAGATGGAACGTCGTCTTATGAACAAAAACACCAGACTCAGACTCATGATCAACATGATTTTTATGTTGAACAAGGACATTGCCAAGCTCAGAGCCAGAACGGAGGACACCAGACTCAAACTCACCAGCAGCACCAGCATCCAACGACGTATGCTGGTGCTCCGCTCCATGATGATCAGCAAAGAGGATATGACCATGATGAACATCCAGGCCAACTACATCAAGAAGGAGCTGCTTCACCTTCAGCTTGTTTCAGCCCATATAGTGCTGGATACCATCTTCAAGGAACAGGAACACTCAGCCCATATTATAATGCTGGATACAACTACCTCCACCATGGACCACCTCCACAACCAGCATATGGAGGCTCATCGCAAGAACATGACTGGACATATCCTGGAGGAGCCCTTCCACCTCAACCACATCCGCGAGGACCTTATGCTCTATGCCCACCGCTTGACGAAGCTGTCGCTGCTCACGAGGCTTTTGAACCAAAGTTGCCTGCACAAGTACAAGAACTGGCAAATTATAGTACTAACAAGAAACTACATCACGTAGGAATTGTGAAACAACCAAGTGGAAAATCTAGGAACAAGTCGCCTACAACTACTACTACTTCTCTTCCTAGAGGTGAGTTTGAAGGAGAAGGAGGTCGAGACCTCCTACGAGTTAGGAAAGAGGTCGTCGTGCGGGGACAAGAGCCACCAGTTGTACCAGAAGCTCAAATGCGACACCAGAACGGCCAGCCGCAAGCTCATCTTCCATCTAGAAGCAGTCTGGACAATCCTGCTCCCCCAGGCACGGACGCGGTGCCAATCCCTACCTTTTTAAAGAGTGCTAAAAAACTACGAAGTTGTAAAGATATGGAACAAGATGATTGTGGAACGGCAGCAGTTGTTGATGTAGATCTACTTCTTGGAAAAGAGGATCGCGCTGGGCCCTTGCCACCTGGGCTCGTGCAACGAGGCACTAGTACAGGACCGACTACTATCGCCAATACTGGAAGAAGTTCAAGCTGTGTTGATCATGGTCATTGTTGCGAATAAGACGAATCCAATTGTTGCACCATGAAGATGAAAGAACAAGAAGATCCAACAAGAAAGCCAAGGCATGAAGTCGCAAGATGTTCGAAGCACGTGAGTGCAATACTCTGCAAGTTTCTGAATATGAACACGATCAAGCACATAAGCGAGCGAGAAAGTTAACACCCGAAGAATAAGAGCATGAGCATCAAACTAATGCCATGCAATTTACCACCTTGCACATGAGTGCCAAAATATTGATTGAACAACTTAGGCCTTGAGTCATATGCATGCGTCTTGTTTTGTGTCTTGAATCACCCCAGTAATACAATCAATGCCGCTGCGATTTCCGCTATTACTGTTCAACCGAAGACCAGAAAAAGTATCCATCTGCATCGGTTGCCTCGTGCTCTCTTTTGTCTTCTCGTGATCTCTGTTTTAACAGAGTTATGAGCCCAAAACGCAGCTTGGTTACGTTTCTACAGCAACAAAGAACCATGGGAAAAGCAAAAGAGGAGCAAGCAGCTAGTGGCGGTGCTATGCCCAGTTTCGCAGCTACCACTGGTTTAACAAAAAAGCAACGAAAGAAATTGGAGAAGGAGAAGCAAAAGAATCCTACCCCTAGTGGTGTTGCAACATCTTCAACCGCGAAAGCCGATGGGCCTGCAGATGCTGCACCTGATACCGATTCAGTTACTGCAGGAGCCGCATCCGATATGACGGACGTTAAGAAGGGGTCAGCAGAAGGCGCCCCAGTGTTCGAAGAAAAGGAGGCCAGTGACGATTTTAATCAGAATGGCCAAGTGTTCGCTAGCGAAGCAGGCGCGTCAAAGCCTGCTAGCACCAAGAAAAACAAGAAGAAGAAAGATGCTGAAGTAGACCTTCCAGACCTACTTTCAACATCTGAAGACATGTCCGTCGACGAAAGTTCATCATCCGACTCGGACTCTGATAGTGAAAGTTCTAGCTCATCATCTGAAGAAGATTCATCATCTGCCTCCGAATCAGAAGAAGGCGATGAGGATCCGAAGAAGAGCCTAAAAGGCAAGAAGAACAAGAAGAAGAGTAAAACTTCTTCCAAGAAAAAGAAGGGTAAAAAGTCATCTTCATCTCACAAGAAGGTGCTCATATCCGCCAAGATCTTGAAGCAACTCATGAAGAGAACGGCCAAGAAGAAAAGCCACAAGAAGAAGAAGGGCAAAAGTTCATCTGCTAGCAACAAGGACAACAACATGAGCAAGATCCCACCGTACAAATCGTCCGCACTATCATTCGGGCGATATTTAGCTCTAGCAGCCAAGAAGTATCACGCTTCCAAAGTCTTGGATTGTATCGAAGGCAAAATCGAAGTAGCGGATATTCTCCAAAAATATACGGAGATCAAGGAGCGAGAAGAAGTCACTTGTATACGATCACACAAAGACAAGCTGACGAAGATCGTCTATCTCTACCGTAGTGAGAACGAGTCAGAGGAGATGCAGCGCACGGACCTCGAAGGGACAAAACAAGGCAGAAACGAGCGACCATCTGCTTGGTTCAAGAGGTTCCAAAGGGCACAGTGCGTAATGCAGCCTGGTGTGATCAATGACGCCGAACTTTGTCGTATGGCTCAGCGCCAAACTTGTGGTGTAGCGAAAACGATGATCATCCAAGATAATCCATCTTCAATGTCGAAATTGGCTGAAGCGGTTAGTAAAGCAGAAAAGTTGTGTACTGGAGAGCCTCCGGCAGCATCTGATACCGCATTAGATGTCAACGATCACAATGTGTATTCGAACTTCGCATCATCTAGTGCGTATTTTAGTGGTGGCAAAAATCAGCAGCCATATCAGCAGAAAGGTGGCAAGTAAAGCAAGAACCACCATAACCACAAGGGTGGAAAAGGCAAGGAGACTCGCACATGTCACATTTGCCAAAAGTCAGGCCATATTTCGATCAACTGCAGGTGGAATCCAAATTCTCAAAATTATGCCGGTGTTCAGTGGAATGGTGGCAAAGGTGGAAATCAGCACAATCAGCACCCACCTAACAACCACTTCCAGCAACCAGCGTTCTGGAATCAGCCGTACCAAAGTCCCGCTATGATGAATGCGAATCCGCCCCAAGTGTTCTATGCAAATCAGCAGCAGCAACATCATCAAAGTGTTCAGCAACAGCAACAGGCACAGCAACCTGTAGCGCAACAACAAGGTCACCAGCAGCAGCAGCATGCTAACTATGTGAACCAGAGTGAAGCATACGACTGGAGTCAGCATGTAAGTGCCAATATGGGATCAGGACAGCAATCCTTCAATGGTCTCATCTTCGAGTCTACGACAGACAACCCATTGGCAACACCTAGTACTACTACGCCGTTAGCTGGTAGCGCTTTCAACGTGAACGACAACAGAACGCCCACAACTACAACCGAAAACGGTGCGCAACTTCGATGGTGTATCATCGATTCAGGCGCAAGCAAGCACATGTGTGGAGATTCTAGCTTGTTGTTTGACAAAGCGTTCGAGCTACGACAGTTTCAAACGGCTGGCGTGGATCCGGTCGAATCTCGCCAAAAGGGATTGATGCGTGGACCGTGTTTCAAGTTTTCGAACGTTTGTCACGTGCCATCCTTGGGACCAAAGATCCTGATCAGCATGTCGCTATGCCTCATGAATGGGATCCCGATTGATCTTACGCACAATAAGTTCATGAATAACTATCGGATGGAGATAAGGGAAGGCGTGCTACAAGTACAGCTGCCGTTCTACACGACAAGTGAGATGCAGGATACTGTCTTGGTCACAACCGCAGCCGAGTTCCTGGAAAATCTCTGGTGCTTATCCTATGATAGATTTGGTTGTAAAGTTGGACTAAACTTGGAAGAGAGATTATCTTACTATGAAGTAGACTTGGATAATCTCACAGAGCAAGAGATTATAAACGAAGTAGTCCATAATAGGAAGAAGAAGGTCGTCTTGCTGTTCTCGAACTTCTCAGATGAGGTGGAAAGGAAAGTCAGAATCCTCTCCACTTATCTCGATGAAGGAGTCTCAGTTCAAGACGGACCTGATGAGAACCCTCTGTGGAGGACGTTTGAGATAACTGGTGAAGAGATAAAAGAAGCGAAAGAGAAAACTCTACTGATGGATGAAGTGAAGAGCACGGGCCTACTGGATACAGTCAACTTCGGAAACGATAATGACTGCAGTAGTGTCGGCGTAGCTCAAAAAGAAGAAGGTGAAGAAGAAGACTACGATCTTGATGATGAAGTTGAAAATGAAGTAGAAGAAGAAGAAGAAGACGAAGTGGTAGATGACACTGGTTATGAAGGGATAGAGCTGGAGAGCACTAATGAGCAAGAAGGCTCAAATGAAGAAGGAAAAAGTAACAAGAAGAAGAAGAAGAAGCCAAAGAAAAAGAGAAGAGCCAACGTGAGTAGTGACTCGGGCACTAAAAGGATACGACCAGCGGTGAAGCGTCGAAAGTTGGACCCACCTGCGGTCTATCCTAAGCCGAAGATCAGCTACGAGTATATCTGCAACATAGGGGCTAGTTTAGTCTTTCCGACATTTCAGAAACTGTGGGAAGTCGTCAGGACAATCGATAACTCTCCACAAGCTAAAGCTTGGGTTGTTCACTTCTGTAGACATAACCTTAACAGGCTAAAAACACACGCGTTTCCGCACCACAGGTCAGGAGGAATCGACGCAGCAAGTCTGCACGATTGGACCTCTTTTGACACGTTCTTTCCCCTCGGTAAGGATTATGCTGTCTTGCACGGTATTAACTTGTTCAGTCGGGCTAGTGTAACTAAAACCTTGTCTAGAAGTGGTGTCAAGGGAAAGGACACAGTAGAGTTCCTAGAGACGTGCAAAACTCGAGGATTCTTAGGACGTAACATTCTGTGCGACCAGGGTAAGGAGTTTGACAATCATGAGGTAAGGGAGTATTGTCAACTGAATAGTATTGGCCTATTCCTAATCCCTAAATCTAGTTGGGTTAACGGTATCTGTGAACGTCGACACAGATATTTCCGCGGAGTTTTGCACAAGCTCTACTACATATATGGACAGAGAGCCAGCATAATCCCGAGGCTAGTTGAACAAACGGCAAACGCGATTAACGCTACTCCTACTAAGTCACTTCAAGGGTTATGTCCTTATATGGTTCAGTGGGCTACAAACCCTTGGAAGATGGAGTTAGACTGTCCTGAAGATATGACGACCCAGCAACTGGTCTTGTTAGATAAACTAGACCCCGAAGCAGATCAGATTATAAGGATGAAGGCAAGGCAAGAAGTTGAAGCCTGGAAATACGACAAGAAGACCATCGAAGAGATGAAGAAGTTGGCTGAGAGACAGCGTAATGCCTATCCAGAGTCGGCTTGTCTGGAAGTTGGACATCTGGTAGACATTTACGACAAGGACAAGCAAGCATGGATGGGACCTGCAAAGTTGATCTTCAGACAAGTGAACAAGGATAGTCTGACATTTATAGTCGACTACGATGGATGCTTCAAGCGAGTGCATGAATCTCATGTGAGACAGCACCTAACGCTTGATGAGATGAGCTTTCCTCCGCAACTTCTCCGCGTACTGTACAAGACTCACAATGTTCCACCAAGTGAGCAGAAGGAAACCAGAAATGGCGAGTTTGTTGAACAAGCCATCCAAATGAAGATTGGAAAAGACGGGCCACATTCACCTGTGTGCCCCGATGAAGAAAAAGGTTTAGAGTTTTTTGAAGAAGCAGATCATGTCGAACGGGTGCCGGGTGAGAACCCGAATCCTACTCCACATGATGGGTCGGCTGAGGATGTCGATTCTGGCGGGGATAAGGGCACTATTCCTTCGCAACGCGAGCAAGATGAAGTCTTGCCATCAAAAAGGTTCAGGCTGACGAAAAGCTACACAGACAAAGTCTTTGAGGACTTGAAAGTGAAAGAAGCTAAAAAGCTAAGAGAAGTGCGGGAGAAGGAGGAAGTGCCATCAGGAGTAAGAGGCGCTTGGAAGAAGAAGAAAGAAGCGCGAGAGAGTGCTCTTGAGCAAATCCGGAATATCATCATGGCGCAGCCAGAGTATTCGGATCTCAAGAAGCAACAACTCGAAAAAGTAGCGTCGAGTGTGTATGAAAAAGTGAAGAACAGTGACGACTTGAAGAAGACAATCCACAACGAGCTTGGACTGCTTGCAGTCGTTGCCCCGCTCGTTTGTGATGATTGGGAGCCAGGTGAGAAAGTATTCAAAGCTGTGGCTATCCCAGACCATGAGTCCGGCTTTGACACTTCTACACCAGAATGGCAAGAAGCTATTATGAAAGAGTTGAAAGCACACTCCCATGTGTTTGGAAGAGCAACAGACGAAGATCTGAGAAACTGGAAGAAAACAGGAAGCAGAAACGTCCCTTGTAAGATGCTACTAAGTGTGAAGAGATGTGGCAGGAAAAAAGCACGGATCGTGTGTCTTGGTTTCTTGGACAAAATGTCCGGCAACGCAGATAAGTATGCCTCTGTGCCTGATCTAGCGATCTTGCGCATGCTCGTTGCTATGAAGTGCCAAAGTCCATCGATTTTCGTCTTTCCTTCCGATGCCACAAGTGCACTTCTCCAAGCTCCGTATCCCGTGCCAGTTGTCATCGAACTAGACCACAGGTTAGAAGAACTCCTTGGATACAAGTTAGGAAAAGTCAAGTATGCTATGAACGGGTTGAGATTGTCTTCTAAAGCCTGGGAAACGCATCGAGATAAAACTCTCACGCAGTTTGGCTGGAAACAAAACCCACTAGAGAGCACACTTTGGACTAAGCGAGGAGTTTTACTGTGTGTCTTTGTGGATAACTTCTATTTCTTTGGAAAGAAGGAAGAAGTCATGGTCGTACATAATGAGACGCAGTCCGCACTTAAGCTTCAACCAGAGCCAGTGCGGGAGACTGCTACTCGTAGGATCTTTGACATTCTCGGAATAGAGTTGCATGAGTGCAAACGAAGTGGTAACGTAACACTATCCCAAGACGCCTACGTAAGCAAACTACTTGAGCGCTTTGGCGGGGATAGTGGAAAGAAGGTGAGCACACCAATGGAAAGCGCTCCAAGTATTGGCTTACCTGAAGTGCCTAGCCTGTTGAAGGCTAAGCAGGAACCTACGGGAAGTTTACAATACTTGTGTCTAACAAGATTAGACATCGTAGTGCCATTGAAGATGTGCGCGAAAGTGAAAGCAACTGAAGAAAGCGTAGCAAGCTTGAAAAGGATTATCAGATACTTGCGAACCCGAAGAGCTTTGATGTATAAAAACCGTTCACATGAGTTCAAAGGAAAGCTCATCCTTACAGCTTGGTCAGACAGCGACTGGGCATCCTTTGGTGATAGACGCTCAATTTCAGGCATAGTGATCAATCTCAACGGGAACCCTATTGCCTGGAAAAGCGCTAGTCAGCATAGTGCTGCTAGTAGTGTCAGCGAAGCTGAGCTGTATGGGATGTCAGAAGCCGCGAAGATGGCTATGAGGTTTCGCTACGTCTTGACAAGTTTGAGATCATTCTGGATTCAATTCTTTGATGAATCATCTATAGTGCTACCTGTTGAGTTAGGATGTGACAACTCTGGATCGATCAAATATTCAGAGAACAAAACCGGAGTTGCTAGTCGATTGAAACATATCGACATCAGGGATGCTATGATTAAGGACTTCTGTACTAGACGACTCATAAAACCAATTTGGCACAGTACCAAATTGAACAAGTCAAACGGACTCACTAAAGTAACTACTGGTGCAGATTTCTTTGATTTCTTGAGACTCAACCAAGTGATTGAGATTTAAGGTCTCCTAGTGTTCCCTTCCATTTAGGACGAAGCTACAGTTCTTATTTAAGAAGAAACTACAGTTTTTATTTAAGAAAGTTGAAGATTCTAGTTGAGAAAAGTATAACAACCTTTCCGACCAAAAACACCCCAACCCTACAACTACAGAGTATCCCTCAGTACGTGACGAAAGCAGAAGAAGCCGTTAGGAAAGTAAGACGAATCCGAAGAGACGAGCTTAACGACGGACTCAGAAACTTTGGAGTATGGGGAGGCTGTTGCGAATAAGACGAATCCAATTGTTGCACCATGAAGATGAAAGAACAAGAAGATCAAACAAGACAGCCAAGGCATTGAAGTCGCAAGATGTTCGAAGCACGTGAATGCAATACTCTGCAAGTTTCTGAATATGAACATGATCAAGCACAACAGCGAGCGAGAAAGTTAACACCCGAAGAATAAGAGCATGAGCATCAAACTAATGCCATGCAATTTACCACCTTGCACATGAGTGCCAAAATATTGATTGAACAACTTAGGCCTTGAGTCATATGCATGCATCTTGTTTTGTGTCTTGAATCACCCCAATAATACAATCAATACCGCTGCGATTTCCGCTATTACTGTTCAACCGAAGACCAGAAAAAGTATCCATCTGCATCGGTTGCCTCGTGCTCTCTTTTGTCTTCTCATGATCTCTGTTTTAACAGTCATGGAGCAGCCGCGCAAACTGCTGCACCTCCACGAGATGAAGTTGTGCAACTACTAGATGAGCAAGCTGAAGCGCAGAGCAGGACTCTGGCTCAACCATATGCTTGCGCAGATGCCGAGCGAGAAGCTTCTGTAGTAGAAGACCCTACGTTAGAAGCAAGAACTGGTGGTGTATCATTACCTGTAGAGGCTATTGTCGAGAAGCTGCGAGAAGAGTTGAAAAAAAACCTTGAGAATCTCGATTTCATGGCTTCTAAAGAACTTGCGAGGATAGAGCAACTACAGGAGGAGCCGCATGATGGGGCTCCTGATATTTCACAAGAAGTCGCGAAAGCACTAGAGCAGTGGGAATTTCTATCACAGAGCGCACGCAGCCTTCAGCGTGAGCTGTGTCAATTATTGGAAGGAGTTGAACATCACGACAACCTTCACAAACCAGCACTTGATGATGGAGGTCCACATCATAAGCCACCAGAGGCAGTCGACGTCGAGGGCCGGGCCGCGGCCCCACCCACGATGATCTACTACATCAATAAGAACGTAGAAGACCAGGAGCAACAAGCAACACGATCACCTCCAACATGTTGCGCGAAGGAGGTACTGAACCTGAAACTGAATGAAACTGAAACAAGAACAGAAGAAGTGCGAAATGATCCTTCGGAGCACAAGAGGAGGGTTTCATCCTTGTTACAACGACAGTCGGATGAGAATCTTCGAAAGCTAGAAATGTGCCTCAATCAGCGTAGCAGGCTGGAAGAACATGCGCGACACGGAGGACATGCGTATGTTGATCCACGTCGCGAGACACGTATAGATGAGGAGCTAAAAATAGAGGAGTTGTCATACCTACGGCAGAACGCTCAAAGGCTTGAACAGGAAGTACAAGAGGCTTCTATGCGGATTGGCATTCAGGGACCACGTTCAGATCCTGCAAGAAGAACTATTCAAGACCAAGTAGAAGCTGCTCCTGGGACGAAAACGACACCTGAATTACCTGTTGTAGTTGTTGCTATTGCTCATGTAGAACAGCAGCCTTGTTCACGTGATGAAGGTTTTTGTTCTCCGTCTTCGAGCACGACCGTGAAGCAAGGCGAAGGCTTGTTGTTTCCTGCGGCGACGTATCAAACCACGGTTGCAAAGTGGAAGGCACAGATTCCGGTTTTGCGTACTTCTAGCCAAGGTCTTCGCTATCTTCTTGGAAAAGTCGAGCATCATGAGCACAAGGTGCATGTGCGACAGAAGAAGAGCAGATTTGCGGATTACGCAGAATACGCTTTCTATCCTGCTCGTCAGCCACGAACTTCTGAGACGACTGAAATTACGATTCCCGTGAATTTTAGAGTGGCGATGCAATTTGAATACTCGTTGACCTCTCAGCAACCGGAAGATTTCTTTGCTTTCCATATCAAATCTGACCCACTTCTTCTGGAAGAGAGTGGACTGCTGCTCATCAACAAAGACCTTCTAGAAGGACTAGGAGATGAAGCGGATGTGGACCCAGAACTAGAGGAACGGCTTCGTTTTCTTCAACAACAAAAAGAAGATTGGAAATACATACAGCAGCAAGTAGAGGAATCACTCCAACAGCTCACAGCCCGACGAAAGGAACTTTCACAAGCCAGGCCAGTGCCAGAACAAGGGTCGTTTTTATCGCGAAGCAGGAAAATAGTGGAGTTTTGGGACATCCAAAAGGAAATAGGACGGTTGTCGTCATTTAAGGAACGACTGGAGCGAGAACTGAAGAAGACCTCGGAGGAGCTGGACCGAGCAAGGCAAAAACAGCATGAAGAACGCGGGACGCTTCGACGTGGAGCATACGTCGTGAGAGCTGTCTTTCGAGTTCATTTATTCGAGTTTCAAGAATCTCCAGCTCCTGTGGTTGTGGAGGTCGATTTTTCTCTTCTGGAGTTAGTGAGAGGACTGGAGTTAAGGCTACCGCTGGACCATATCCTGAATATCATCCTTGGCCCTTTTTTCAAGGAGAAAAAGGGACCAGGGAGGTTCTCGGGGATGCGAGCGCGGTAGCTCTAATGGAGAGAAGGGACATCTACGTGCCAATTCCGGAAGAGTGGATCGTGTCTGGGGCTCTAAACCGATCAAACGTCGGAGGTCCTCCAGATATTACTCTATGCTACGAGGAGGTTGAATTCACAGAAATCCAATCTACTCACCAATTATACCTCCAACAAGTAAACCCTCGGTCTAAAGATTTGTGAAGAATGTATTTCTTCCTCTTCGTGTTTCAAGCAGTCTTTTTAATATTATCCCAAAAATCGAGTGTGAAAGTGAGTGCGTCGATGTTTCACGTAACGGTAACAAGAGTAAAGGACCTTTTATTTTCTCGATGTCGATCTACCTCATGCTAGCTACGTGGTACACGAATGAATATTAAGTTATGATCTTCATAGGACCTGTTTTTTTTATCAACCACCATTTTTTTTTCTGTACCTGCTTGTGACCTAATTATCATTATCTATCATTTTTTTTTATTCAAAGGAATTTATTGATGAGAAGATATGATATTTTTTAATCAAGATCAACTGCTCACTGTCTATTGTCTAAGTGTAAACACACGGAAAGTAGAGAAAGTATGTTTATGAAAACTATTACTCTAGGCTACGAGGAGGCTGAATTCACAGGAATCTAATCTACTCACCAACTGTACCTCCAACAAGTAAACCCTCGGTCTAAAGATTTGTGAAGAGTGTACTTCTTCCTCTTCGTGTTTCAAGCAGTCTTTTTAATATGACCTCAAAAATCGAATGTGAAAGTGAGTGCGTCGATGTTTCGCGTAACGGTAACAAGAGTCAGGGACCTTTTATTTTCTCGATGTCGATCTACCTCATGCTAGGTACGTGGTACACGAATGAGTATTAAGTTATGATCTTCATAGGGCTTGATGTTTTTTTTTTTCAACCACCAACATTTTTTTTTTCTGTACCTGCTTGTGTTTGTGACCTCCTAATTATATATAATTTTTTTTCATTCAAAGCAATTTATTGATGAGAAGATATGATATTTTTTAATCAACTGCTCACTGTCTAGTGTAAACACACGGAAAGTAGAGAAAGTATGTTTATGAAAACTACAAGAGAAAGAAAAAGGTGGACCAATAGAATTCGAACAAGAAGATTCTTCACCTACAGCCATACTATCATGAAGATTTTTCTGCGTGGGGATGCGCGTACTGGTGGAAAAACGGTAGTAGAAGCACATGCTCAGGCACCACTGTTTTTTCAGAGTCATGATTTTGTTTCCACCCGACGAGAATTACCCGACGAGGGTGCCCTGCGGGGTGACGTACTACACGGAGAGCAGTTGTCGGAATGAAGATGAATTTTTGAAAAAAAGTGAATAATGATAATATATAAATGATTATATGATCTGCTAAGGCCTGCCTTCGAAGGTGAGACCTCTGAGGCTGACAGGACCACGACAGGGCCGGCGCTTAGTTAGTAGATGTAGATAAGTACTTGCCCGGCCTGCTTTCAATTTTTTTTGTTTTTGTTTTTTCTAGTTAGGTCTGCTCCAGCACAAACATATAAAAATGATTTTATCTACTAAGCGTAACAAGCCGCCCTGAAAACAGAATTGTAAGGCTTCTTCTTGATTGTGATCTTGATGATGAAGGTTCGGATTCATCGCTAACCGAATATGATGAAACTTTGTGAGTATGAGTAATCATCGTGACGAAACACTATGACGCCGTGCGGCAGGCTGCGCCGAATTCTGTGCGAGATTAATTGTATTGCAACTAAGCTCGCTCTACTACTTAATAAAAGTGGACAAGATGCCGCCACAAGAACGCTCTGCTCGCGCTCCAACAACTCATGAAATAAAAAACCAAGATGCATGGAGCTGGTCTTCTCGGTATCAGGTGTTGTATTTGACCTATTAGGGACTTCGATAGTACGTGTACGTCGAACTCCTGAATGAATCATGTGTGTTCTACTTTCTGTGCTGGTTCTTCGGGGTAGACATCAACAACTGTTCATCGACGAAGAAATGACTGGGGAAGATAAAAATGAGTCGTCAACAAAATGGAAATCTTCAACACTGCACTTCGGGACCTCGTCGTCTTGTGAATACGAATATGCAAATGTAGTTCATGATCGTTCTCAACGAACGAGTGCAACAATTCCAATTCCGAACTCATGAAGACCTGTCTCCCAGCACGCACAAGGATCCTCCACCTTCCAGGGAGTTAGAAGATGAATCATTGATGAATTCAAAGATGAAAATGAGGTGGATCATTTAAGTCATCTTCTAGCAGTTCTTGTCATCTACATCTTGTTCATCTTTGTCTGTTGCCTGCGAAATGCACTGTCTCCCACGCTGAGACTGTCTGAGAAATCAAAAAAAAAACACATGGCCCCTGAAATCAAGCCAGAAATCTTCTATAATTCTAATTCTAATGATCATGTTGAAATGTAGAAATTGAAATACTCTACGACAAGTGGAAATTGAAATACAAGACCGTTCATCTTGTTTTCCCAACAAGTACTGCGAATCAATCATCAATAGACCCATTTGAGTAATTGCGCCCGCCCGCTTGCCCGATTCAATAAGAGCCGCTGCATTTCGATATGGATAAAACGTTCATGGATGGTAGTACTCTCTGAAGACTGTCGTACATGTAATTAAACAAGTTTTATTTACTTGACGAGGAGATTAGCGGTACGAGAATCAGCAAGAAGTAGTTGAAGTTGATGTATTTTCGTGGCATCATTGTTTCAACGAAAACTAGGCTAATTTTGTTGCATGTGCTTTTTTCTTCTCAAATAAGCCAGGTGGTTGGATGTAGAATTATACATAGTATCTCCAACTACAAGTACAATCACTTCTACAACACGACAACTCTTCTCTGTGATATTACCCTTAGAAGAAGGAACACTAATATCCTGTTTCTCAGAAGAAGGAACAGCAAGTGTTGGCTTAGTTTCTTGTCACTGAAAGAAGTATGTTGAGTGCAACTACTACTACCTTCTTTTTTCGTTTTTTTCTCAAGAATACGTCTAGGTCTACATCGGAAGATTAAAAATCATGGTGTCTTCTTCTAGTGGACAGGCCTGACGCGGAGGACGAGGTACAGCTACAGATAGTACAGAACTGCCTTTAGTCCTGATTCTCGTCCTCATCATGATAGATGATGATCATACTAGAACATTGAACATACGTAGAAGCAATAAGAATCGAGAGCATGATCTTCATAGAGCAGCAGTGCATGATCAACTCAGGATGATTGCCGCTCTTTTGAGCAGAAAGCTATCAAAATTTCAAATTTTCACGACACTTCAGGTGATCTTCAACTCTAACGCTGCTTTTTGTGTCTTGCATACTTACTCGAGCGGGAGCTATTTCCGAGCCTGCTGGCAAGCGAGATTCGTGCATAAGCAGACTTCCGTCGAAATTAGAAGAAGGCCGCATTGAAGACTTCATTTTTACTCTCCTACTTCTTCATTTTCTCGAGTACAACTACCTCCAGTTTCTTCTATACCTGCCTCTACTCCTTCTTCAGGACGAGTCCTTCACTAGCAGTCGACAACCCTCTTCTACTAGTACTACAAAAATTCCTCAAGCAAGGAAGAAATGGAGGGTTCTTCTGCAGAGGAGCACGCTGCAGCAGCTGGCGCTGAAGACGCTGCCTTAGAAGTTATCAGTTCCATCGATGAGACGATGAAGGACGTGGAGCAACTAAAGATGGAGGCTCAACAAGACCCCGCAGCTGCATTCGCCGCCGCTGCCGCGGCTCGTGGTGCCCGTGCTCCCAACAAAGCACTCACGCATTTGACCATGAAGCAAGTGGAGGAACTAGCTAAAGCGGAAGTAGATGGAGGGGGAATCTCCAGAGTACAGTCTGGTGATGGTGAACAGACAAGCGGAGCAGAAGGTGGGAACCCTTTTGGAGGAAAGGTTGCTCTAGGTGGTGATGATCAAGATATGGTGTCTCAGGCTGAACTTGACGCTCTAGTCGGGATTGAGAGTTTCAAAGTCACCAAAACCGCAGCTCCTAAGGGCACTGGCGCAAACTCTGTTGGACTCGGTGGCGCAGCAGCAGTGAGACCGCTGTTCTCGGGAGGTCCTGCCATTAATCCAGCATTTCAACGTCAACAGCAAGCGGGCGCTTGGAACTTCGCTGGTGGAAACAAAGGTGGAAATAACGGAGGAGGTGCAGCTGGTAGTGGTAACAACCAACAACAAGGAGCTCCTGTTCCTGGTGCTGGAGGCGGTGGTAGCTCACTTCAACAAGCTGGTGGTGGCAGCAACCCGGCTATCACGCATCACCACAATCCGTGTGAACTCTTTGTGGGTAACCTGATCAAGGAGTCGTTGCATGGCGTATTGCATAACGAAGACAAATTGATGGAATTCTTCTTGCAGTTCGGCGCCATTCGTGAAGTGGAAGTGAAACGACAATGGAATGGTATTTTCAACAATGTTGCTACAACATTCTTGTATGGTTCTGGTATTTGGCAACCTTGAACCTTGTAACCTGAATTTGATCCTAAGGGTTCTCTTCTTGTTTTTCCTTAGGATCAAACTCAGGCTATACCAAAAATACCAGAACCATTCAATTCTACTCTACTCTAGTACTCTCGTTGATGGAATTTTAGATGATCACTTTTACGAGCAAAAAATTTTGGTTTTCAATCAATAAGGTTGTAGTTGTCAATCTTCAACAATAAATGTAGGTGGAACAACATCAAGAAGAATTTTCCAATGTCTTCTACTGAAGCAAGACCCTGCTCAATCCAGATCCACCTACTCCTTTGAAACTCACCTACACATTCATCCTCAGGTACCGGCAAAGGTTATGCTTTTGTGCGTTTCGAACATCCGGACAGTGTTGAGTTGGCCATTGCGAATGCGCGCCAAAATTTCATCGCTGGTCATTGGTTGGACTGCAAGCGCTCGATCAATCGTATACCTCCAAACCAGCAACAAGCTTGGGCCGAACAACAAGGCAAGAACGGAGGAGGAGGTGCGTCGCAGTTTGCTGGCTCTGGCCTCATGCCTCCCGGTGAGATGCTGCATGGCAAAGGCGGTAAGAAAGGCAAGTGGAACATGATGAAAGTTAAGAGTAAGACTTCATCCGGAAATCTCCTTCCATTTTGAGAAGAAGCTGCATCTTGGACCCCCCGTCCCGTGTAAGGGGGAAACGGGGGATCCAAGATGACTTATAATTTCAAGATGGAAAAATCCCGGAAGGAGAAGGTCTAAGAAAGGTGGCCAACAAATGCAGATGATGCAAAATCGTTTTGTTCCTCAAGGAGGCATGCCCCGACCGGGACAGATGGGGAATCAACAAGGTGCTGCTGGAGCTGGTGGTTTGACTAATGGCGCTGAAGGTAACAGCATGATGATGAAGGGTGGCGCTGCAGGACGAGGCCTCCCAGGTGCTGCTGGCTTACAGCCTTTGGGTACTGGCGCTAATGCTGTTGGCGTTGGAGGAGGTGTCGTGCAGAACAAATCTATCAACCCCAACTATCCTCCTGTTCCCCTCACTGCTCAACAGGCCTCGTCAATGATGAAGTCGTCCCGCGATGTTGACCCAAAACTCGCACCTCCGCCATCCAGTCCGCCTACCGGTTCCCCGCTTCCGGCTGGATCTCCTCTTCAAGGAAGTACTGTTGCGAAGGCTGAAGGGCTTGCTCCTCTGGGTACGACCAGTGGTGATCATGGAGGACAGCATCAATACAATCAGCACGGACATCAAATGTACGCGACCCAACAAGGACATGAGCCAGGTCGTGGTGCTCCGCAATACTATGGTGTTCTTCCCCAACATCAAGGTGGGCAACAACATCCTTACCACAACCTGGTGAAGAAACGCAGCAAGCGCAATCGGCATATGGGCAATCAACAGCTGAATCCGTTTTCGGGGAACAAGGACTCGCAACATTCTCCGCCTACTGCCTACCTCAATAACCAATTCGACGACGACGAATCGGAGTCGGAAGAGGATGACATCATCAAAGAGATTCTGCATAGCGATCAGACGGGTGCTGCTCAGAGGATGGGTCCCGGTCAACACCAACACCAATCTTCGGGTAATTCCGTCGACATTTTGTTAAGGCTCCATGCAACAACTTTCACTTCATCCAGTCGTGGTGAAGAACATGTATTTCTTCTGTAGTTTCCTTCTTAAGTAGGATTCTGAAGAAATGACGGCATAATTCATTTCTTCGTTCTGTAGTTTTCTTCGTCTTAGGACAGTTCCGAGGAAATGACGGCATCGGCATTCTGCAAGAGATGAATTGTTTTGAGCTCTAATCTTAGGTGTTGGATCCGGCGACAACCTGGGTATTTTGCCTGACAACAACAAACCTGACACGTTCGACATGTTCGATGCTATGGTTGAGTCTGGCGATCTCGAAGCTGACGCAGATGGTAATTTCAAACTCGCTTCTGACGTCGAAGTCCCGGACGACTGGGAAAAACGAGCTTTCAACCCTTTTGACGACACCGCAGAACCTCCTATCGACGACGTACTAGATCCTCTAGTGGTTGCAGCGAACAAGAAAGCCTCCACGACCGGTAGCACTGGTGTCTTAGGAATCCCGGCTCCTAGCAATGTCGCTACTGGTGGTGGAGCGGGTGCTCCTGGTGCAAGCGGGAGCAACTTTATCGCGACTGCAGGTCCCCTCCGCAACGCGAATGCTGGACCATTTAACCAAGGACCACCTGCTGGTACAACTTTTGACAAAGCAGTATTGAAGATAAGTAAGTATTTATAAATATAATTGAACACAACATTTTTACACATACACAAGCATACTTATTTTCGTTTTTCCTGAAAGAGTTCTGATTTCTTGGTGATAAAAAGTAGAACTCATAATATAATATCATCCACATGCGCAATCTCAAACTTCTACATGTTTCTTCACAGGTACTAACTACCACGTTAAAGGCGGGGGAGGACCACAACACCACGTGGGTCCTTTCCAGCTTTTCTCAAACCAAGGACCTCCTCAAGGACCTCCTGGAGGGTTCGGCGCTCCTCCACCAGGTCCTCCCGGCCAAGGGTTCGGCGTTCCAGGAGCTCCGTTTCCGCCTCCACCGGGAGCTCCGTTTCCGCCGATGCAGGGCAACAACTCTATGGTAGTTACGGCTTCCGGGAAAGGGAATCCATCTTCAGTAGAAGCATCATCTTGGAGCACCCTCATCTAAGGGATGAAAAAGAGACCCAAGATGACTGCTCTGAAGATGGTGGATCTTCTAAGGTTGGTGGACCGCCACCGCCGATGTTCCAGCAAGGACCTGGCCCTATGATGCAGCAGCAGCAAGGACCTCCAGGAGCCCCGCCTATGATGCAGCAGCAAGGACCTCCGATGGGACCGCCACTGGGACAACCACAGCGTCAAGGACCTCCTTTCGCCGGGATGCCTCCACAGCAACAGCCGATTGTGCCTCTGCCTCAACAGCCTCAACAGTTCAGTGGACACCAAGGTCCAAAGCAAGGACAGCCATTCATCGCCTCTTCTTCTGGCACAACACTCACAGCTCCGCAGTACGGGAACAAGCAAGCACCACCTCCTCCGGCCCACAATCAAGGACAGCCTACGCAGAGAACCAATCCTCTTCAGCCCTTTGTGGCGACCGCTGGACCTATTGCGGGGGCTCCTCTGCCGGGACCTGGTACTTCTGGTGCTCCGGGAGCATCTACAGGAGTTACTTCGGCGACTCAACAGCAGTGGAACGCTGCTGCCAGTATTCAGCAGGTGCTCTACAGTCAGCCTCGTGGCCCGATCAGCCGGAAGCACATGGTCAGCGTGCCTATGCCGGATGGCAGCCATCAACTCTTCATGCCTGTTGACCGTATTGAAGGCGACGTGTACAAATTCCAGCCGACTGTCCCAGGAGCTTCCGTCGTGATCATCGATCGCCTAACTCTCGGTACCGAAGCTATGGCCAATGATGAGGTCAAGAAAGGTTGCTACCAGCTCAACGACGAAGGTGAGAAGTTTTACTACAATCCGCACCCTCTGGGCCGTAAAGCTGTTGATATCCCTCATTCTGCACCTCCAGCAAACACCACAATCACCTCCACGATCTCCAAACGGAGACTGTCTTCTTATTCCATGATGTGCGCGGATAAAAATCTTGGTGAAAAAATCGACATCGAGAACTTCGAAGAAGAACCTTTGGACTACGTCACGACCGAAGAACGCGATCCTTTAACGGAAGACCCCATGGCCGACTTCATCTATTACCTCTATGAGGAAGATCTGCCGCAAGAAAACCCGTTTGACGTGGACATCGAACTGGCCAAGGACGAATTGATGTTATGCCCGCTTTTTACCTTATTTAATTGACCTCTTATTGTAAAAACAACACCGCTTTTATTTAATACCTTTACCTTCATTCAAATGTTAAATTGTACTAAGAAGGCAAACTCTTTGACGACGTGCTTTCTTCATGAATATGAAATTCAAGGGAATAAATATTAAACTACATCAGCACAGCACTCTTCTACATCAAAGATCATCCACAGCACTCTTCTACATACAAGTAGATGCTGCACTCGAAGATTATAATATAGTAAATTTGAGATAGATCATGAAACTACATCTTCAAGTCCTCTATTTCCATCAAGAGTATGAATTAGATCATGAAACTACATCTTCAAGTCCTCTCTCACTATCAGGTCCTCTTCCAATCACTATGATCAACATCAAGTCCTCTTCAATCACTATGATCTATCACTATCAAGTCCTCTTCAATCATTATCAAGTCCTCTTCCTCTAATGATGCGGTTAGAAGAGGAAGGCAAGACCGCTGAGAACCGTCGTAATTGGCGCACCATCGAGCAAGTAGAAGGCGACTTACGCGCAGAAGGTGTCGAAATGAAGTCTGCGGCTCAGATTGAGGCGGAAGCAGCAGCTGTGGATGTCGGGGATGGAGTGATGTTATGCCGTTTTTCCATTTTCGTTTTCCTCCAGAGAGGGTCTGGGTCTTCTTTATTTTTTTATTAATTTGTTTTTTCGCCCGGTTAGTTTTTACCTCTAAAAGAACTTAGGCTTATCCCATGCTACAATATTTAATTTTTGTAAAAGATCTCTTATTCTTTGAACTATTTTATTTATTTGATAGTAAAAGATCTCTCATTCTTTGATGAGATGGACTCTTAGGTTCAGGTGTATGTAGAGGTACTACATCGTTACCTCAAGTAGGAGAGCATGCTGTTACTATTTTTATTCAAAGATCATGTTGATAAAGAACAAACCACGACGACCTCCCAGCGCCCCCACAACCGCCTTCTAATCCTCCGCATGATGCGCGACGATGAGGTGATGGATCAGACACTCAAAGAGTACAACGACTTGCTTTTAGCCGCTGAGAAAGAGCGCGCGGCTGCTGGTTTCAAGGCCAACGACAGTTCGAAGCCGATTCGTCTCGACCACAATGGTGAAGTGATTGATGACGACGCCGTTGATGACCAAGGCATGTTCAAGCTCAAGTTTGAGGATGATGAGATTAAGGCTAGTACTACAAGAAATCCATCTTCACATGTTGAGGCTTCTCGATCCCATTTTTAAGGGGAAACGGGGACCCAAGATGCTGCTGAAGATGGACTTCGCCTAGTTGGTTCTAATGAGAAAAAACGCCAAGCAATGCTGGCTGGCGCTGCTGGTGGTGTCGCGCCAGGCTCAGCCGTGGCAGCAGCACAAGCAGCCCAACGAGCACAAGCGGCAGGAGTGGACGGAACAGGCATGCACTCTCAACGTGCCATGGCTCTGATGATGCACAATTTGACCGCTGAACAACGTGAGGCTCTGGAAAAACGTAGTCTCGAACAGAAGGACGCTTCTAAGAATTCTGAGGAAGTTGCTGCTAATCCAAACGACGAGTTAGATGACCGTGCCATCCGAAAAAAGATGGAAGACGCTTTTCTAGCGGGGAGACCAGGTACTCTCTTATGTTGCTGTTACAACTCCTTGTACTACTACTGTCTAGCGGGAAATATACAAAAAACTAACATGAAGTATGTACGAACTTGTGCAGTTTATTCTAGTCGTTGAACATTGTTTTTGTTCATCTTCATGGTTTCAGCAACATGAAAAATGTCAATCTCCATCAGTTGTCGACGACCGAAGCAGTATCAAGTACCAAATGCAACAAGCTGCGAAAGCTAACAACAAGGAGCATCAACAGCAACAACATGCAGTAGAGCAGCAAGAGCAAGAAGAGGAAGCACAACAAGGACATCAGGAGGAAGAGCAAGAAGAGTATCAACAAGGTGAAGATGAAGAAGAGCTAGAGCAACGCCGTCGGGAGGAAGAGAGCGAAGATGAGCGTGAGAAGGAAAAAGCTGCGAAGATGGAGGCTCGCCGCAAGTACCTGAAGGAGAAGGAAGCTAAGCTCAAAGCCGCTGCCGCAGAGAAAGAGAAAGCAGAGAAAGAGAAAGCTCGTCGTGCCAAGGAGGATAAGGAAAAGAGTAACCCTTTTGAGAAGGAAAAAGAGGAAAAAAAGCGTGCTGAACTAGGAGCCGTCGTAGGTTTAAGGGTAGGTTAAAGGTGCTTTTCTTACCGCTTTTTATGCCTCTCCTAAGGGAGAAAGGCATAAAAAGCGGGGTAAGCGAGCACCAAAAACCTACCTCTAATAGGTGGCATTCCTCCGAAAAAGCGTCGTGTCAGTGCTGCACCGCCTACGGCCGCACCTGCTAAGATCAAGGCGATGGTGCGTGCTCGTGCCGGCAACTTCGATCCCTTGGATCAGGACGATTTGATTGGAGATGAAGATGACGTGGGCGCTGAAGCGGGCGAGCAGATCGACGAAGATGCTGCTGAAGATGCTAATGAAAGAGTTGAAATCGAAGATTTGAATGAACCCCAACAACTCTCCGATGCAGAACAAGAAGAGAACAACGTTGATTTTGGCGGACAAGAAGAACAACAAGCGGAACAACAAGATGATGAAGATGATGACATCTCTCAAATCTCCGGAAATGATAACAAACCAGCTTCATCAACCACGAAAAACATCCACGCCAACGCCGCTTCCAATGCACCCACAAGAACCACAAGGCAACCTCCGAAAGTCCAAGCTGGTTTGGGCGTGCCGGCCCCAATGATGCAGGACGATGACCGTGAGAAGGTGCGCGACCAAAGACGTGAGGCTGCAGAAGACCGTGACGAGAAGCGAATCGAAATGGAACGCGCTGAAGAGCGCGAAACCAGACGTGAATATGGTATCCCTCGTTCCAGTCCTCCACGTGCCAGTCCAGGTCGTGGCTCCGGAGGCAACACTCGAGGATCTTCGCGCGATCGTCGCCAAGCTCGCATGTCCACTCGTGGGGACGAACGTCGTGGAGATGATCGTCGACGTGACGATCGTGATCGACGTGATGACGAAAAAATCTCTAGACGCGAGAGCGACCGCGGCGGCCGGGACGACCGACGTGAACGTGATGATCGACGTGAGCGAGATGACCGCAGGGGAGAACGTGACGATCGCCGTGAACGCGATGTTGAACGTAGAGGTGCAGACCGCGATGAGCGCCCTCGGGAGCGTGACGAGCGCGACCGACGTGACGATCGCAGAGGAGGTGATCGCGATGAGCGTCCTCGGGAGCGTGACGAGCGGGACCGACGCGAAGATCGCGGTGACCGACGTGACGACAGGGACCGTGAGCGCGGACGTGAGGACCGTGCTGAACGTGGTGGACGTGAGGAACGTGGTGACCGTGAGCGCGGACGTGAGGAACGTGGAGGCGATCGCGACCGTGAACGCGGACGTGGAGATAGAGAAGGCCGTGACGACCGTCGCAGGGAGGAAAAAGAACGCGAGATGCGGGAACGGGCAGAAGAGCTGGAAAGAGAAAGAGAGGAAATCCTGCAGCTGGAACTCAGAGAACGTGAAGAGCATACCTACAATCTGCATGCAGGAGGCCCACGACCAGCAGAGGTAACGAAGACAAGGGATAGAACACGAAGACGGGGATGAAGATCTTCTGGCGGTCCTCGGGTGAAGAATCTTATTTGATAATTGTAGTTCTTGAGGATCTGGATGCTGGTGAAACAGACACGAGGAGGATTCGTGTTTCAGCTTCTTCTCTCCTAGATTCAAAACTACAAAGTACAACAACATGAAGATCATGATCTCATGTGATGAAATCAGAATTTGTTTATAGTTTACCCAACATTGTTTTCAACATCAAGATGAATGATATTGAAACAAAAAGCAGACGTCATAATTGCGATTCTTCGAAGAACCCGACAAAGAACATTTCATATCGTGATTCATATGCTAATGCTGGAATACTTCCCATATGTCAGCATGCTAAGAATTGTGTCTTTCATCTACTTCTACATATTCCCAACTTGGAACCAACCAGCAAATTCCAAGTCCTCTTACTGTAATACAAGTCAAGCTCAGCTAGTAGGTGTAGGAATACGATTTGTAGAAGCCAAATTCAAACTTGTTGTTGTTTCTGAATTTCACAACTCGTCCCACCTGTACTAAATATTTTGTGCATATTTTCCATCTACTAACGTTGGCGATTTGGCTGGTCAAGATCTGTTGATGTATCCTGATATTTTAAGCATAATATCCTTGGAGTCCGCTCTACTCGTTCTGTGGGCAAAAAAGAGGTTAAAAGAAAAATGAGGTTTAGGGCCGCTCTACTCGTTCTGTGAGCAAAAAAGAGGTTAAAAGAAAACAGCCCACTGAAGAACGAAATTTCCCGTGTTGTTGTCGAGGAGTGACAATTCAACGACAATAAAAGAACCCCCCAAATAGGTAGCTACAACTTCTATATATCAACGGACCATTGAACTTGAGCTTTGAAGCATGAGGATTCATTAAAATAAAACGACACAACGACCGGTTTTGTGAAAATCAGATTCTTCAAATAAAACGACACTACCAGCAGTTGTGTGAAAATCACTCTCATGCTTCACAACAAGACCTTCCTAGATGAATGAAAGCCGAAGTAATCTAATGAGTATGAGTTGCGCTTGATGCCTGAGCCTGACACATAACGAGAACAAGCAGGATGCACTTCATTTATCATGGAGTGTCCTCTTTTATGCAAGAAGCTGCAATATAGACATACTTAGAACAGGTGCATGGAGGTCCTCTATGAAGTAGACGCTCATCAACAAGGAGACTAATTTACATCATTTATTGCGAGGGGTTCGTTAAGGTAGTTCAAAATAATCTTTTAAAAGTAAGTAGGACTAGGAGTTGTTGTTGTAGTACCCTGCCCCCAACAGCGTCATTACCCTTAGAAGATGTAGATGATAAGATGTGGATGAGAAAAGCGCATTAATGATTCACTGTACTTGGCTCGTGGAGGAGGAGGCCTCATGATGTTGTTGTCAAGGAGTGACAGAAACTCATTTTTTTGTTCAATAAAACCCTGCCCAATGAAGATGAGCAATTCTATTACTGACCAACCACGCCAACCTCATGTTTCACATCAAGATCTTCAACTTTTTCTTGTACAAATGACGCTTCCTGGACTATTACGAACTCGCGGAGGAGGACGTTCTTGACGGCGTCCTCGACGACGACCTCGACACTTGGCAGTTGTAGAAGGAAGTAGTCTGTAGTGGTCTTTTCTACCCCTGGAGTGGGTACATTCATTCGCTCAACATTGTCGTCTTTTTACTTTTCGACCCATCCTGTTGTACCTCTAGAAGTAAAAACACTTCTGAAGATGTTTGAGGACCCATGGTCTACTTCTAAGACCTCGTGGTCCGTCGTGGTCTCATATCTCGGTTTGAGTGATGATTGATGCCTCACTTTGACTGATTTGTGATGAAAAAGAATCTGTCGTAAAAACATCGATTTCGGATTCGGTTGCATTGGTCGGATGTACATGATGAAGATGAGCGCGATTTTCGGTTTAACTATACCCAGGTCCTCCTGCCTCTTCCATATACCTTATTCCCTAAATAGGCCTTAATAAATCCCTTAGAACCAGAACCAAGAGTACGCATAGCCGCATACGAGTTGTTGAACAAATAAACTCACAACTAGGGAACAAATAGGGCATTTCCACTCCACCCGCACAACAAATGAACTGCTCACAACTTACTGCTTAGAACTTACTGCTTAGAACTAGCAGCTTCATTACCAGCTGTGGAAGAAACATCATCAATTCCTTGAACAAATAAAGAAAACATGATGGCGAGTGGTACTCTGGGTCGGGTCGACTTCTTATACGACGGTCATCTCAACAACATGATCAGCGCACAAAACGGAGCTCCGACGGAGATATTAAAGCAAAAACAAGTAGTTGTAGGTCTCTCCACCCCAGCCGACGCCATTCCTGCGATTCTCAACAGCGTTCACAAAGCCTGGCAGGACTTTCTGGTGCAACGAAACCAAGTGAGACATGTGGGACAAGGAGAACTGAAGGAGAACGAGCAATTCGTTTTCACGGATGCAAATTTCTATCGGAGTGGGAATTATGGCTTTCGCTTTCTCTACTATAATTGATTCTACTTAGCTGCTTTTCAGGTGCTGCGAGCTTGCTTATTTACTGCTGCTTTCAGCCAGAAGCTGCATATAATCCTTGAATATATGTTCTCGCTCATGGTCTACTTCACGGCGGTCCAACTCCACCAAGGATAATTTTTGTTCTTGCTCCTACTTTCAATCAACATGATGCATTTATTTAATTTTTATGTCGATAACGTACAGGAGTCTTCAAGTAGAACATGATTGTTCTGCTCTCTAAGTGAAAGAACGCGAGCAAAGCCTGGATAAGGTGATAGAGGAGTTCGAGAATGAACGTGGTCGTGGAACCGAGCGACCTGAAGCCAGGGTCACTACCACGATAGTACGACAAGGGGAACCACCAGAACGATTTGAAGCAGACGGAACACGGAAGATACTGAATCCACCTGGACTTAAAGATAAGGGAAACTACGATGGCACAACACCTGCTGATGAGACTGCTGATGCTGAGAAAGCTAAGGATGCTACAGGAGGTGGTGGGCAAGACGGACACGGTACTAGTACAACGGGTCGTGGTACTGCTGAGACCGCCACCGCTTCCGCTAGTGCTCAGCCTCAGGGTGAAGAAGTAGTAGAGGATCCCCCCAAGAAGTTGTTCGACGGTCGTGTGATGGAGAAAGCTCGAGAATTGAGCTCAAAAGCGCTGTTTGTTTTGGAAGGCGAAGTAAGGTCAGCCCAGAAACTTTTGAGAAGGATACTGGATTCTGAGGAGAGCAAAAATAATACTGCTGCAACAGGTAGCACGCGGCCTGCACAGGAACTACATTCACACTTACCACCCAATAATGTCGTGGAGGAAGTGGATTGGGTAGAAGTATAGTTTGATTTTGACAAAAAGAGGAATCAATTACAACGAAGGACATGTCATGCACAGCGCGTTTTTTCCTTTTCTCTGCATTGTAGCAGCTGCAAGTCCAAGTGTCTTGTCTCGGCTTTATGTTTGGTTTTATTTCACTCGTTTCTCGTGAACAGCAAATAATGGAGCTGGTGCATCTACTTCAATGTGCCGTATCGGACTCGGAGAGACCTTCCGCGCGACAGAAAGTATAGTAAGAGAACTTTCGCTCGAAAATTCGCCGCGACTACGTCGAGTGAGAAATAAAGCGATAAGTATCTATTAGTATGAAGACAAAAGAGGAATACGACGAGGAAATAGCATGAACATCATTTCGGTACTGCTCAGTCTTATTTATCAAAACGAACACAAGTGATTACAACCTAAAATTCATCAGCCGTGAAATTCTGATACTAGGAGCGTTTTCATCAATGTTCAGAAAACGAAAAGGAGGAGTCAAACTTAAACATTAACTGCACTGGTCTGCTAAACGTACTACACGTACTACAAGGTCAAGGTCTTGCTCCACCACAACCTCTACGTCGAAAAAAAGTCGAAAAAAATGGCCGTCACGACCTCTTCCACAAAGTCCTTCAGGACTACATCCGTTAAAGGTCGCGCCGGACGCTCTTCCTCTTGTGACACCCTATTGAGAAAAGCGAAAAAAGTGAAAAAGGTCTCTTCGATTAGCCAGCGGGTGAAGTCGACAAGATCGGCGATGAATGCTAGCCTAGAAAAAGGACGAAGGGTTGGGAGGCGGTGATATTTTTACGAGAACATCAGCAGAATGACACCTCGAAGATGTTTACGTTTAGCACGTGGTTGATCTTCATTTTTGAGGAACCAACAGATGGAGAAAAAGTTGGATGCTGAGCTTTGATATTTCTTTTTGCGATTTTGAAGATTTTGTGCATTTTAGTGTACAGTGCAAGTAGAAATGCAAGTGTGGTAGGTGGTACTAAAAGGAGACACAGGCTGTTTCCTCTAAATCGTCTGTCACTTTGGAAAGAATCGGTTCCCATCGATCTGTGTTCATCTACACGCATGATCGGTGTTAGGAAGTGGAAAAACAACAAGAAGGACCCAATTAATAATCACATCAGTGATAAACAGTGCATCACCTCAAGCTAGGCGAATTCATTCATTCATTCACGGCTATGTGACCCCGGACACCAAGTAGACGAGTCATCCTAAATTTCTAGTCTTCATGGAAAGCAATCTTCTTCATGTTCATGCATAATTTTGAGTCCTTGTAGTATCTTCATCAATGAGAATCTCATTCTCAAGACCACTCACATTTTTCTCTTCGGTAGAACTCGACACGACACACTCGGTAGATAACTTGCTAGACCGTTGTTGAGCAAGTAGATGAATTAGAAGTTGTAGAACGATTATAACAACGACGTCGAATAAAGATGTCGCTCATTGCTGGTGATCTTTTCTATGGTCTCTTTTTTGGAGAGGAGGACGAAGCAGCTCCGCTGCCTGATGCACAAGGCACCATGACAACTGCCAACATCGAAGACACTAGTGGAGTTGGAGTAGGTGTTGTAAGGAGGTCATCATCATCTTCTTTAAGAATGGCAGCACCTGCTCCGGGACCAGTTCAGAGAAGTAGTTCGACTTCTTCTGGAGCCAGAAACAGATGGGCAACTTCTACGGCGAAAAAGGGTTTAGGGCTTGGGGCCAAGACGCGTGTTAGTAATAGTTCATCACCCGAACGACATGAACTTGGAGGACTTCGAGGAATACTTCCTCGAGACGTAGGAGACATAGTTCTATCAGGATCAGAACAACTACACCAGCAACATGTTGAAACAACTATGAGTGTAGCTGCAAGTAGTCCAGTTTTAGTCTTTGGTCCTCCACCAATACTGGATTTTCATCGTGGAGGTTTTGTCGGTGGCTTCACTGCAAATGCACAAACGAAGTCTCCTGGTCTTCAAGCCTATCAAGGACACGGACAGCAAAGCAACTATAATCATCATCCTGCTTCTAGGAGACGAGTAGGCCCAAATAAAGGTGCTCCTTCTGAGGGAGAAGCCGCACCACCAAAGATGAATAGAAGCAATAGAAATGCTGGGCTTGCATCTGGAGGCGCTTCGCGAGTGTACATCAAGAAGAGTACAGACCTGGGCAAAAATTACATCAATCCTCCTAGTGATGACTATCCGTATCCCCAAGACGATCCTGCTTATGGTAATTATGCTGCTCCTCGAGCAGGAACGTCAACAGTAGATTACAGACGAGGTTCAAGAGCATCTTCTGCAACCACTACGCCAGTAGGCTTACGTCGTACCAGACGTGCTGCTGCATCAACATCAGCGTCTTCCGCAAGCGTGCCGTATCTACCGGCTACAACTTCTGCTTCTGCAGGAGGTGCACATCTTCCAGTTCCAGCTTCATCAGATAAAAACAACTTCGGGATATTACCGTTCACTCCACCAGCACCGGTTCGGTTCAACCAGATGAAGCCTGTCATAGGACACTTGGATGCGTCAGGTCCTCGTGACCAAGTACTAGAAGATTTTGATGAAGATGAAGGAGTAGAAGAGCGGAGGAGTGGAGGGCCTCGTGGCCGAGGAGGAGGCGCATCTTCTTCTACTTCAGAACTACAAGGTGCGGGACGAGGAGGTCTTCTACCTAAAGATGATGCAGTGCTACCTCCTAGTCGCAGTCACTCGCTAAACAATCGGAGTTCCACAACTACCCCTCGATCGGCAGGCATCTCAGCTGAGGATGCGAAACCTTTTGGTACAAGAACTAGTTGTAAGAGTCACGAGGACTACAAGAAGTACAATTACAAAGCGACAACCCCTCATGCTGCTGTTGGGACAGATGATTTTCAGAAAGCGTTGTTCTTGAAGCGAGAGATCATTGGGACGAAAGAGACATCTGAAGAAAGCGAAGGTGCAACTACTAACAAAGAAGTCCTCGCCCTCCGACAACTTCTCACTGCATGGCAGAAGGCGTACAAAGAACTCGAAGCTGCTTACGAAAAAGCGGAATTGGACAAAAAGATCCTCAAAGAGGAAAAAGCGCACATGGCCAAGTCGCATGAGCAATCGAAACGAGCTGCCGTCCAATCCGCGATAGAGGAGACTGAACAGCTTATGCTCCAAGAGTCCGAGGAGAAGACGAAGCAAGTCAAGTCGACTGAACGCGCGAGGCATGGGGCAGTACAGCAGGACTACTTGGGAACAGTTGGGCACATGCAAACCGAGATGGATAGGGTGCATCGGGAGGTACTGGCTTGAATGTGTTTAAAAGAAAAACAGAAATGGACAGAGTGCATCGGGAGGTACTAGCTTGAATGGGTTTAAAAGAAAAGCAGAAATGGATAGAGTTGTGCATGAGGTGGTAAAAATAGCTGTTCTTATATACTTAGTGGTTGGTCCTCTACTTAGTCTACTAACTTGGACTTGGTTTAACTTCATTCAACCTTTTGCTCCTCTGTTTCACTCTATCTCTAGCTACAAGGCTGATGTCTATCATCCGGACCGTTCTATTCAAGGATGATCATGATCACATCCTCATCATCTTCTATCATCAACCTCAACGTTCTACTCAAGCATGATGATCACATCCTCATCGTCTTTTTTTATCATCAACCTCAAACAAAAAAACAAAAACCTTACTTCAACAGCTCCAAGAGCAGCTCAACCTCAAACAAAAAAACACCTTCCACCCTACTTCAACAGCTCCAAGAGCAGCTCAACCTCAAACAAAAAAACACCCTACTTCAACAGCTCCAAGAGCAGCAAGCTGTCGCTAAGCAATCGGAGGATGCGAGACGACGTTTAGTTCGTGAGAATCGAGAACTAGTGGAGATTCTTAGAACGACGCGGCGCGACTTAGACCGAGTCTTTGAGGAGTTCGGCTTGGCGGAGGCTACCTTAGGCTCAGTCGCGGAACGTGCTGACCGAGAGGTTAGGGAAGAACAAATGCTAGCTAGACTAAGAGGCGGAGTAGAAGAAGGCGATTTGGAAATGGGGGAGGTGGAGGATTACGAGTTTCTACAGGCAGGTGAGCAGAAACAAGAACAAGCAAGAAACGCAAATGAAGGAGAAGGAGATGAAGCGGACGACCAAGTACATTAAGGGTTGGATGTTGGCATCTCTATGAGCATCTCTATGGTCTCTTCAAGTAGGAAAGCCATTATAGATATCTAGAGCGGTCAACTTTCAACCCCTAAGATGTACAGCTACAGGCAGGTGAGGAGAAACAACAAGCAAGTAGAAAGGCAAATCAGCAAGGGCCGCCCTCTTCAACATCTTCTTGGTGGAATCCTTTTTCTCAAGGCATTGGTGCAACGTATGGACTGCAAGAAGACGAAGGGGAAGACGGTCGTCGAGGGGATGAAAGAACTATGGACAGAAGTTTACCAAAAAATGCAAATGCTGGAGAGGTGGAAGATGAGATCTTAGCTTCATTAGATGACGTGGAAGATGAACCCGCAGTACCTTTAGAAGGTGCTCAGGGGTATGAAGTTGTAGAGGAGGATGATGTGGAAGCAGAAGAAGTCCCTCATAAAAAAAGTAGCTCGTCCAGCGCAGACGGAGAAGAAGAGCCTGATGCAGGTCGTGGTGATCAAGCCTTCTACTCCAAAAATATCCCTACAATGATCAAGAACATATCCAAGTCCTTTAGAGCAAGTACAGAGGAAAGTGCTTACGCTGAAGATGAGCCCCCAGGCGTCGATGGAGTTCACGAAAACTTACTTACCTCGTCAAGCAGATCCTCAATGTCGAAGAAGAGCAAGAGCAGTAGCTCTTCCTCTGCCCACTTCAGAAGTGAGCATCAAGTTGATGGTGACGTGACCCCGCCTCTAGGTTCAGAAAGACGCCAGCCTACTTTGCACGGATCTTCTATCTTCTATCCGGAACAAGTAGAAGAACAAACAGTTCGCGGAGGTCGTCTTTGGAAAAGTACTAGAGGCAGCGGTTTTCAATTCTACTCTGAGCAAAGCACTGTCTGCGTCAGGGATCATCATGAAGATGGTAGTGCTGCTACTGGTAGGACACGACACGGCACCTCCTCTTCGTGGTCCTGGAGAGGAGCTTGTTTGGAAGGACAAGAAGATGAAGATGATATGAAGGCGAACCAAAAGAACGTTGACAAGATGCAACACGACGAACTACATGCACATGCACATCATGGGCACGACAGGAATAATCCTTCATCATCTATTTCGTCCTCAAACACCTTCTTTGTTTCCAAAAATAGAAGAGCTACGGCAGCTACGAGAACGAGAAATAGGACCAGAAGCTTTGACATAGCTGTGACACGACCTCTTCAACCAGGACCAGGACTATCTCACATACATCCTACCGCGGATAGTGCTGCTGGAGGAACCGCAGCGGCCCGCCACGATCCTCATGAAGAAGATAGCTTGATACTGAAATCACCTCCTGCTCAAGTCTCGTCTGTTTCATCTGGAGGTGGTCTCAAACTCAACAACACATATGGACAAAAAGCATCTCACTGTCAGGAAGGAGCAACGCCCAGACTGGTAGAAATGGATAGCATCTATCAAGAAGCACGTCAGGAAGCAACACCCAGACTCGTAGAGCATTTTTTCTCTGCGTCGTCGTCGAGTAGTTCAAAGCAAACACATAAGAGCACTTCTTCTAGGTCGAGCAGTAAAATGACCACGAGCAATTATGCTGGTAATTCTAGCAGCAACAGCAAATCTTCGAGGAGTGCTGATGTTGCAGCTACCTCAAGTTCCAGTTCATCTAATAGCAGTAGTAGTTGTAGCAGCAGCAGGCCGAGCAGGACTACCAGTAAGACGAATAGTTCTATAGCTACTTCAAAGCCCACAAGAACTTTGACACCGACGCAGGCTGCCACTATATCAACATCATCTTCTTCAACATCAACAGCAAGAGAAACAGAAAGTGCGGCCTCGTCCACATCAAGAACTTTGACACAGCAAGGGACAGCGGCACAACATCCCCTCTCCCCCTCAAACATGGTATTCACCCGTGGTCGAAACCGTGGATCGGGTGGACGGCGGTCAAAGCTACTCTTAGACCTCGCTGGAGCATCTAGAGAGAGGCCGACTCGACGGAGATGACGCTTTATTTGATATTTTCCTCGAGCTGTCATGATCTTGTTCAAATACCGAACGGGAACCGAATCAATATGATCAAAGTTGTTGTGAACTCATTTTTTGCTTCTAGTTCTCCGTTCTTCTTTCTCATTGCTCTTTCCAAACCCGTTCCTACATTATTCATCTTCCCAGATGCGTCATCGTCACTTGTATTCGTTCAGCTGTCACCAGTCTGCAAATGTTGATCACTCTACTACAATTTGCCTACACTAATTTCGAAGAAGCAACTCTTGACGGACGCTGCTCTACTTAAAGAGTAGAGCTAGAGTGGAGTTGTTTTCTCAGAGCCAGAAGTGGATTTGTCCTCTGAAGAGATAGTGCATTAGAGATGGTGGCGCATTATAGGACAGCGGAAAAGACTAGTGCGATAGGAGGGAAGACGGATGGTCCGAGGACCATCGAAAAGATTGCAGCTCTTCAGCGTCATTGCAGTCTCGGTTGTTTCTTTTTTTTCGGCGCTGTAACAGACTCTCAGGATTTTTTCAATAAAAACTGTGGTAGCATGGCATACGAGAGAGAAATGCGAGACCACACACTTTTGGGGCGATAGCACCCTCCACCAAGATGCAAAAGAAAAACGAAGCCAAGAAGTGACAAAAATGATTGTTGATGCTGTCAGCCCACGAGAGACCATGCATATCACTTTTAACCACGAAGTAGATTACTTGATCATCAAAAATTGCCATAGCAATGAATGAGACAGATCTCCACGACATTGCTTTCATCACGGTGACAAAGCACACATTACCACTAATACAAAGCATTGATCTTTCCTTACTAGAATTGCGCAAGAATGTGTTTCAACCAAGCATGCAGCTTTTTCTCTATGTTCTTAATCTGAATGCACCAGCATATTAAAAGATAATGAGCGCAAAGAAATTAACGTTTCCGTAGCCGTACTAGCAGGATTTCTCTGTGCAACTCGTTCTGCTCCATGCGCAGCACCGTTCACGCAATATGACGACATCAAGCAGCCGTCCAGGACCAGGTGGCGTAAGAGTCGACTTGCAGAATCCGTCTACCTCCTCATCATCTCTCCTGCAAAATTGCAGCAACAAATCAAATCCCATTTACCACTATTCACCGTCGCAAACCGAGGCTGAGTGGATCCATCGCAAGAACAAAAAGTTGATCGAGGACATTTTAGCAGACACAGATGACGAAATCAGGCTGTCATTATCACGACCACGTTCGAAGGGGTCATCTCCTGTGGAGCCATCGCCGGAAGATGACGCCGTTGTAGCTGGAGGAGATGAGGGAAACGCGCACCACACGATGGGTGCTGTTGGAGTGATTAGGAGTCGTGGAGGTTCTGGTAGCAGTGGTGCAACTCCCACTGAAGCTGGTGCAGCGTACCGGACTAGTAGTACCAAATTACCAGTCCCGCCAGAAACATCCTCCTCGTCCAGCTCTACTCCTATAACCGGAGATGGAGGCAGTTCCTCAAGTTCTTCCCCACTGTTCAACGTCGCTGTCTCGTTGCCAGTTCCGGATTTGAATTTTGAGTTTTATTCCAGCGCAATAGAGCCTCCACCTCCTTCTAAACCTGCTTCTTCTTCTACGATCCAACGAGGGCAAGAAGATGCTCTTGAAGCTGCTTCTAGGAATAATAACGAATCTAGTACAAGAACTAGTTCTAGTCATGAAGATCTCGCACCAGCCGCAGCAAGCACTCCGTGTTTTCCTTCTGTCTTCTCAAACCCAATACTTCGGACCCGATTGGAGACTGCTATCAAATTTGGCGATGTAGGAGAAGCAGGAGGAGGACAAGGTCCTCCATCAAGAACAGCCGCGTCAAATAACTCAAAAGAACATCTTCAGGGGGAAATAGATCTTGCTTCCACGCGTTGCGGCTCGAAAGAATCTAGTACTCAAGAAGGAGCCTCGACGCGATGTGCCTCGAAGGAGTCAACATCTGGTACTGGAGAAGGTCAATCACGACCTCAGAGGATAGCGGTGGCTGCAGAGTGGGACAACAATGTTGAGACTAGGACCAGCACTGGTGCTCTACTACAACTACAGAACAAGATGAAGCCTGCTGGTTCTGGGTCGTTCAGCAACTCAGTGGCTGAGGAAGTGCACGACCTACGCAACGAAATCTTAGACACCATTGTGAACAACAAGAAGAAAATAGAGGGACAACACGAAGTAGAAGGAGAAAAAAGGAAAATCGACTTGCTCTCCAGTCCAGTTGCAGCAGCACCACCGTCAACTGCGTCCTCATCGTGCTTTTATCTCTCTTCCTCCGCTGCAAAGTGGATGCAAAACAGCGGTTCTTGTTACCCGGAGGAGTTGGCGGATCTTGGTATAACTGGTGTAACAGCTGCTGCGGAGCCTCCGGAGGTACTAGTAGGAGCGGGACGAGGAGGTACTGATAAGGCGGAGGCGACAAGTGCACTAGGAGGACCAGGCCATGCAGCAGCAGCTGTACAAATGCCTCCTTCATCTCCTGGTGGCGGTTTTATCAGAAAAGATAGCCTAGACCAAGAGCCGCGCCAACGTCCAGTGATGCCTTCTCCTGCCGTCATTCTAGCTTCACCACCTTCCAGGGTCGTCGAACAAGACCAGTTCTTTGATTTCGAGGAACAACGTCCTCGGGCGTCACATATTAGACCACCAGGTGGCCTACCGGATCAACATGAGTGTTCTTCTTCTACAACTGGTGCTAGAAGTAAGATACCATTTCAATTCAACAAGAACCAAACTACTTCCGAAGAGGACCAGGATTTCGGTTCACCAGCAAAGCGCAAATTGAATAGTGCTTTTGACTCGCCTGTGAAGAAAGGTAGACCAGAACCAGATGCAAGACAACCACAGGAGGAACAACAGCAGCAAGTACACCCGAAGCAAGAGCAAGACACTACACCGACTCGATGGCGCCTTTTAGAACCTTTCCCTGAACTTCCTGCCAGCCGACATCTTACTCCACGTTTGAATGCGAAAATAACCACGTCCTCACAGACGACGGCGCAGTCACTAGAGAACAACAATCAACAAGAAGAGACTCAGACGAAGCCTCACACAGCCTCCTCAACGGAGCAGTTATCTCCTCGCATCCGAGTTGGTACCTCTCGTGCGTCTGGAAGCCGTGGTGGTCTCAATACTAGCAGAAGTCATATCTTCAACAACAGCCACTGCCACAGTCAGATCATCAACAGTAGCCGACTTAGCCAGCAAAACTTCCTTCACAACGCGAATGCCAGCACGATGTCTGCAGAAGCACGTCTTGAAGAGGATCCGGCTTTGCTCGAGCTTGCGCACCCGAAGTTGCTGGAAAAGCTAGAGAAGTCTAACGCCTTGACAGCAAGACTGCAGAAAGACCTAGAACAGATGCTTGAGAGGTTTTTAGAGCTAGAAAAAGATACGGAGACGATCGAAAACGATAGGGATCGGCTGCAGCATCGCTATAATCTGCAAGATCACGAGTTGGAGGTAGTGAAGAGGCGATTGGGTAGTTTTCGAGGAAAATTGGAGCGCTTGCAAGAATCCGCAGAGTATCACGAAGCGTTGTTGAAGCTGTTGTATGCAGCGTCACCACCGGAAGTTGCGGACATGGGTACAACACTGGCGTATTTTTGATGACCATAATATCCATTTTTACTTGTTGCACCAAGAAAGTTTTTAATTATCATCTTTTTTGCATATGCTTGAAGCCTAGTACTTGAGTCATCTTTTGCTCCACCCAGCATTCGTCCTTCTCTCTTCAGCCGCCAAGCAACCGCAGTTACCTTCACCCGACCACAACGCGAGCAACGGCATCAATCTCGCAGCTACAGCTACTGGTAGTCCTCTTTGTGCTTCGCCTAACGACGTCCGAAGGAATGTTGCCCAATCAGAAGCGAAAAAACGCGCCGCCTTCATGATCCAGTGTCTTCATCAGCGAAAAGTGCGCTTAAAATGGTCCTCGAAGTTTGTCATTGGGAGCTGCAAGTCTTCAGAACGTGGTCCTCTGGCACGCGATTTCGTCCACCTCCTCCAACATAAAAATGGAGAACAAGAATTATGGCTCAGCTTTCAATGGTCATTGGGGTTGGTCACTGACATCGAAGAGGCGACCCCTTGAGAGAACAGGGGAAAACGAAGGGAAAGGGGAGGGCTTTGAAGGGGGTCCCTTCCGTTCAGAGTCATGATGACCATTGAAGGCTGAGCTTTAAAAGAAGGAGGCGATCATTACTACGACGTCTACGGTGATGAAGAGGATGAGAGGAAGATCAAAGTCCTTTCTCAAGAACTGCTCAAACAGAAGACCGAGAATGAAAAAATCAGGAGAAGCTATAACCACGTCTTAGACGAAGTGTCGAAGCTGAAGGACCAGGTTCAGGAATTGAAAGGGAATATATTAAGGCTCAGCATTTTCATTGGGGTCACCATTTAGATTGGTGTATGGTTCTGGTATTTGGTAACCTGAATTTGATCCTAAGGGTTCTCTTCTTGTTTTCCCTTATGATCAAACTCAGGTTACCAAATACCGGGCCCATTCATTCATTGGGGTTGGTCACTGAGATCGAAGAGGCGACCCCTTCTTGAGAGAACCAACAGGGGAAATAAATGAAGGGAACAAAGGGGAGAGCTTTGAAGGGGGTCCCTTCCGTTCAGAGTCATGATGACCATTGTGAAGGCTGAGCTTTAAATATACGGGTCTTTTGTAGGCTGCTGCCCTATCCGGGAGACATAGCGGTGCGGCCGAAAGGGAGTCCAGAGAATTTGGTGGGGAGGGAGATGATGGAAGCAGGTAGTACGATTATTCAGTCAACCAAGATTTCCATTGTGTGGAAGTTCTTGAATATTTTTGATAATGCACCTGATTTCTGATACAACTGATTCCGCAATGATGTTGTTGAAACAAATAGAAAGACAAATAAATATTCGATACAAGAACTTTGCCTCTCACCATCAACTCCCACGACAGGTAACCCACCCGACCAAGAACAAGCCACTTCTTCCTCGAGCAACATTCCCGGGATCGCTACTTCCTCAACCCGTACATCTGGTCCACCTTCCAGAAGCACCTCCACAAGGACCAACTCGACCGCAAGGGTTTCCTCTCTGATCCTTCGCTCCTCTGAGAATTTTGGTGGGAGAGAAGTGGAGTTTTCCTTCGACCGCATTTTCACGATGAACGATAGGCAACAAACGGTTTATGAGGAAGTTGGGCCTCTGTTGGATGCGATCTCCAGAGGGTTTCACTTGGCAATATTTGCCTATGGGCAAACGGGATCCGGAAAAACGTACACTCTGGATGGAACGGCGCAAGAACCTGGGATTTTGAGGAGTGCAGTTCAGGATTTGCTGCTGTTGTTATGGTTCTTCAAGGTCATCAGATTTGGAACTTGTGAAGCTACAAGACCTGAAGATTCTTTGATTCTTAATCTTGTTCATAAGGATCAGTACAACGTCCTGCTGATCCTTCTAATCATCGCAGAAAACAAGACCGCGAACTCTGGCTCTGCGCCGTCTTCATCTGGTGCAGGCAATCCCAGGGATAATTCATCTTCCGGAACAAATTCGACTACTTGTAAGTACACTCTCGTGATGTCCGTCGTTGAGATTTACAACGAAAACGTGAGGGATCTGCTTCAATCCAACACTCTAGAGGAGGAAAATATCTGGCGGATTGCTGCCGAAAACAATGGGGGAGGCGACACTTCCAGTATGAGTGCTGGAATGCCCTTAACAAGAGATATCACGCCAATCTCTGCTAGAGGATCTGACGCCGGTTCTTTTGCGCCAGTGTCTAGGGTGTCTCCTAGAAAAGCACAATATCAGGGTGTTTCTCCGAGAAAATCCTCTGCGGGTGTTAGTCCAAGAAAACCGCGTGGATTGGTGGATTACTATGGCGGTGGCGGCAGTGGTGCTGGCGTCGTCGCCTCTTCATCCGGAAGTAGGGATCGGACACCAACAAGGGGCGGTGGTGGTGGGGGATCCTTTCCATCGACTGCTTCGCGTGGTGGATTTGTGAACTTACAAAACCAGATCCAAGCAAATCACAACTTTTCAACCAACGTAGCCAATGGGAACAACAATAACAATAACAACATGAATCAATCTTTCCAATCACAAAACAGCGGACCACACGGAGGCACAGCATCAGCATCTAGTAGTCGAAGATCCAGTTTCCACGCGGGACAAAATCTCGAAGTCAGAGGTTGCTGCGAAAGCGATTCTTGGAATAGTACCCACCAATCAGAACAAGCGCGAAACTTTAGTTCCTCGCTTTTTGGTGGCATTTACGTGGATGGCTTGACCACGAAGGTGATCTCATCGTGGGCTGACGCAGAAGCGATCTTAAATAGAGCAAAACAGACTCGCGTGACTGCGGGAACCGCGTTGAACGACGTGAGCTCGCGCAGCCACTGCATCTACTCGATCGGGATGCTGCGGACGGGAGGCGGAGGAGGCAAGGGGAAGAATGCGGGTGCTGGAGGGGCAGGTAGTGGACGAGAATGCTATAATAAAAATATCATCGAGTGATCCTGTTCCTGATAGTTGCTAGTACAAGGACAACTTTCAACACATACCCTCTGAAAGTCTCCTTCTCCTATAGTACATCAAAACCATTCCTCTAGTACGTCAAAACCATTCCTCTAGTACGTCAAAACCATTCCTCCAAGGTTACGTCGGTGCTCTGCATGTGATCGATTTAGCGGGATCGGAGAGGACAAAGATAAGCCGCGCCGAAGGCCAACGGTTGACAGAAGCAAAACAAATAAACAAATCCCTATCTGCTCTAGGCGATACCCTCTTCGCTTTGGAAGCAAAACAAGCGCATATACCGTACTTCCTTTAAGTGGTCTTGTTTCTTTGTCGTATCAAAAGAATAGTAGTCCGCTCTTTCATGCTTTATTTCATCTCTAGCAATAACATCAACCTGTTGAATGATCATATTCTTGAGACTCATCCTCATGTTCTTGTGGATCATCATCTCCTCCTCACTCCCCCTCCCGCATCACCCCATCACAGGTTCCGAAACAGCAAGTTATCTTACCTCCTATCGGACGTTTTGTCCCAGTCCTGGTCTAAAGTGCTGCTTTTCGCGACAGTCCATCCAGGAAGCGAGAATGTGAATGAAAGCTTCTCAACTCTCTCCTTCGCAAGGCGGATAGGAAACATTGAGAAGGGAAGGCTGAGGGGAAGAGGGGATTGAATTTGATGTTGAAGATGCTCATCATCGAAAGTGCAAATCATGGTATTCTTGGTAAAAAATGATCGCAAGGTCGTTAAGTAGAACTCAATCTTCAGTTAAATACAACTTGTAGATCTTCTACTCTACCAGCTCTAGTACGTCGTGGACGGTACATTATATATTTATAATGTATGACCGCTCTAGTACGTGGATACATTATAATGAGGAAAATCTCCTAAGTCAAATCAGCTGCGAATGCGAAGACGCGCATGTGACATCTTCATCTTGTTCAAGGTAACCGCTAGGCATGCGAATTTTAGCCTCTGGCAATAGACAGAATAAGACGGGTAACAAACTAGTAAGAAAAAGAGCACGAAGTAGACTTGTTCTTGATCATGTCATTCGTGTCCTGGTCGATACGTCGTGTTCACATGGTTGACTTTGGCCCGTTCGGCGAGCTCAGGAGAAAGGCTGATGATGAGGATGTTGATGATCGGTCACGGACAAGTAGGACAGAGCACGGGAAGAAGAAGCTCGGACGACTCCAAATCCAACATGATCAAAGAGAACTGTAACTGGGGCAATCTTCGTTGATGTGGGCACACTTCGTTGATGTGGTATGACTTCGGTTAATGCTCGTACTGTGTGAGAGGTGCTTACTCTCCCTCACGACCACCTGCAGAACATGAAGAACACTTCTAAGAAGACGTAGTTCCCGGTCTGTCGTGGTCCGTCGTTTGTTCACGATCTGATGTTTTAACTTTTTGCCAAAGACCAAGATAGATCTTCTCTGTAATGCCCCTTTGCTAGTAGCAACACGCGATTCCTATTTTTCACCCCAATGGCTGTTGACATCTTCAGGAGTTTTTTTACATCGACGCTGACTTTACAGGCCGCTTTAATACTGCATGCAGGACGTTCAGGAAGGAGTCCTTTTCCCAGTCTTTGCTCATCCCCGAAAGACTGTTAGTTTTCCTTTTCTCAATTGAAAATATAACAAGAAGCATGGAATAAAAAGCTTTAGGTGTTGTAGTGACTTTTTGGATGCTTACTTAAAAATAGTGGATGCGAAACCTAAACTCTCTTGCTGAACTAAAAGTCCAACAACTTTTTTCATCCATTCCACATACATACAATGAGCTACACTGTGTATAATCGAAAAAAAGAGAATGTTGGTCCTGTACTAACTGTATAATGATCAAAATGAATTCCATGCTCGAGGACGTCTCTCTTCCCGTGTCTGATGGCCTCCCTCTAGCGGGTGCGCCGTCGAAGGAGCGCATCTATTGAAGATGACGGGCAACAAGATGTAGGACAAGCAGATTAGCAGGTGCTTCGTGTCGGCGGGACGAACAGCGAACAGAATCAGGTGAAGACCCTGTGTTTCGAGGAGTTTAATCAGGTGAAATCCCTTTGTTTCGGGCATTCTATTCAAGTCGCAAACTCCTGTGGTTTAGCCAGAATCGCACTGTTGGACTGGGCAAAGGCTACTGTAGTAACTACATCATCTCATATCCAGCACATCACTCGTAAAAGACGATGCCGTCCACTAGCACGACCACTGCTTCGATTTTGAGGGACATGAGCAGGGGCCGCTCAAAGTCGAGAATACTCAACAAGCTATCCAAGAGTGGGCAGCACAAGAAAGATGTCAGCCTGGAGCGGAAGGAGGTAACATCTGATTTCGTGTACAACTCAGAAGTCGCACTGAACTTACAATTACTTACTTATGTTGAAGACGAACAGCTCTAGCGCTACGTCTACTCGTGGGCTTTTTTAGAACGTATCTCACCTTAGACATCCACTTTTTTAGATGTAGAAGTAGAAGCGAGATTCACCTCACCTTCCAGGTACGCCGTAATAAGAGCCGTCATTCGTCGGTTGCGCTTGCGCCAGCTGACAAAAACGCAAAAGAAAAGAAGGCTCGTAAGTCTAAGAGCAGCACAAGGACGGCGACGAGCACTGAAGAACAAGAAAAAGATCGAACGAGTAGAAGCAGGAAAAGCAAGAGGGAGAGCAAGAGAAGTGGGAGCACCACTGCTGAAGTCAAGAAGACCACTAGCAGCACAAAGAGCACGAGTGGGAGCACCACTGCTGAAGTCAAGAAGACCACTAGCAGCACAAAGAGCACGAGTGGGAGTGCGACTGCAGATGGAAGTAAGGCGGTTACCAGGAGTGAAAAGAGCTGCAAAAGTGGTAGTAGGATCGCGCCTACGCTACACGAGCTTATCGCGGCAAAAAAGAATCATCAACAGACGAGTATTTCAACACGAGGAGCTACGACCACTTCTGGCGACTTTTTTTTTGCTCCGACGACCAGAGTCAACAGAGTAGATCAAGTGGAAGAAGTCAATGGCGTTCGTACGACTGGCAGAGTCAACAGCGGGGTAGTTCTTCAAGAAGTCAATGGCTTTCGTACGACTGGTGGAACTGTCGATGTTCCGAGGAACAGAGGAGAGCTTTATTTTGCACAGAAACTCTACGGGAAGGAGACTTTTCTGGATTTGTTGCCACCTGATCCAGCTACAGAAGCAGCTAAAAGACATAGGAGTGCGAAAGTATTTTTAACTCGCTAGAAGACCTTCTTCATCTAAGAATTTAATTCAAATGTTCATCTTCATCAAAAATCAGCACAACAAGAAGTTAATATTTCTTCAGGCAGCCGAACGGGATTCGAAGTCTACGGCAATCTTCCAAATTCCATCGTCGAGAACGAGAATTGGCGAAGTGTCGAAACTTGCACAAGAACACTGGAAAGAGCATGTGGTTGGAAAGAAGAGAAGGGAATTGCCAACCGACCTGAAGGGTATTGCGACATTTTCTGCATACTTCAACTTGGTGATAAACCATCCGAAAAACCAAAAGTGGTGGGAGAGACAACAACGGACTGTGAGGAGGACTCTGGGGGACCGAGGGAATGAAGAGGACCCTGCAGCTGGTAGAGAAAATGAAAATGTTCTTGAGAGGAAAGAAAAAGACCACAGCCAGCAATGTAACGCAGCATCTGCTGTGCGTGGAGTAGAGGAGCCTCGTCGACCGAAGATGCATACCACAACAGGAGATGCGCCAAGACAACAAGAGAGGCCTCCAGCATCTCCGCGTCAACTACCTCAAGAAGTGGAACCCATTCGTTCAACAAGAGAAATTATGCAAGAAGGACGAAGTAAGAGTAATCGCAAGCGGTATCAATATCTTGAAACGACGACCACCACGAAAGGAGCGAACAATAATCCCATCAACAAGAACTACAGGAACTTCTTCTATACTTCTCAGTCAACAGACAAGAGTACAGCTGCTCCTGCAACGACTGCTCCTTCGAGGTCGAGAAGGTTTAGCTTCGTCTCTATATCTTCGAGTGGGATCAGCGAGGAACAAGGCGGTTCGGCGTCCTCGTCGAGTTGCTCGCCAGACGTACCGAGGAAAAGAATAGAAGCGGACAAGCGTGGTGTTTGTAGTAAAGATCCACCAGTCAGTAGTACGACGTCCATATTAAGAGCGTCAACCTCACAGATGTCTCAGAAGAAGATGACTACCTCCACTGCCCCACCGTCTTCTGCCGCACCAAGTATGCGTGGAGTGCAGCTACAGACGTCGTTGGCAAGTCGTGGCCTGCTACCACCGAGACGTAAAGTGTCGGGTGCGCAATATGGATGAGTTGCGAGTACTTATCATCAAGGACACTCTGCTGACTCGTCCTCGCACAATAAAGGTCACAAATCATAATTGACGAATCGGTCTACGCTTTTTTTCCGCCGGTATGAGGAATAATTGTAGTGAAGATCCCCAGCGCCAACAATCTACTTCATGTGAGTCAGGAGTTTATTTTTTTGTGTCCAGGGTGTTCTTTTCGATTTCGCGCGATCCCTCCATCTTGAACAATAAAAGATGTTTCTTCTGTGAAGAACACTCACATCCACTTATTCTGTGAAGCTACCAGAGATTGAGATCCATTCCGGTCAACGCGGCTGACCTCCGCAACATTATTTGTGACCAACAAAAGCACCGGTGGTCGGTCAAGCCCCATTTACTTATACACGATACAACAAGGACATCGATGATCCTTTGTTGAGGTTGAATCAGGAGTAACAAGAACAAGTGAACAAGGACAGTGATGTGTTCAACGCAGCATGGAAATGATGTTATTGCGGCATTGAAAATAGAACTTCATCTTCAATTTGTTCAGAAACGGATAACATGAAAAAAATATGCGCCTGCAAAGCATGATCACATGAAGCGTTTTTTTAATTTGTCGGCTCAACATGCAGTTGCCGTGCGAAGTTTTTTCCATCTTGCTTCGGTCATCCGTGCAGCGCTTCTGGGTGTTGCCAGAACTCTTCAGTAGTTGATGTTGGGTTATTTTTTGTTGTTGTATGAATGTTTGGTTTTGACATGCTGCTGGAAATGTTTTGGCCCGCCGATAGGTCTCAAGTGCTATATGGGACACCATGATGATGTATTGGTTTTTTCACAGCAGGACGAGGCACTATTCATCGGACCACAAGCAGTGGTGGACCTCCAAGCATATGATAGTATACACATGCTTGGAGGTCCACCACTAGTTGTAATTCCTTCATACACAAACACTACTTGTAATTCCAACATCTTCATTCTTGCTATTCAACCAGGACCGCTTCGTTTCCTCCTCTCACGCATTTGAGGAATCACCAACCCTTCATAATCATCCATCTACCCAAAATACGTAGGACGAGATTACCTAAAAATCCTCACACGACCACGACCTACTTCATCAACAAGAAGCACGATTGCATTTTTTGCAAGTTGCTTAAATTTGAACGTTCTTTTATAAGATCAACTCGTCCAACTCCAACTCCGAAAAAATGGGTTGCGGTGCCTCTACTCAAGCTCGCATTGACGCGGCTGAACAGCCAAACGCGCCAACTCTGTTGAAACCGGAAGCTGTCATTTCGATTAAGGAAGGTACCACTTATCTGATCATTCTTTTTTTGTAACCTAAGTAAACGAACCTAGAGCTACATGTTGAACCTTTGATTCTGCTCTAGAGTGAAGAAGTATCGATGATGTCTGGTTACTTGTTCATACATATTTATACTTCTCACTTCTACAACAACAACTACTTCATGTTCATTCATCTCTGAGTATGACGCATCACGAACAGACTCATCTAAGACTCCTCATCTTGATTCTTCTGAAGACTCCTGATCCTACCTGTCTCCATTACGACGATCGAATCGATGTCATCCTCTCACCGCCGTCCCCAGATGCTCCATCTTCTGCCGCGGTCGAAAAGGGAACGAGCTGCGTCACTCTGCAGGGTGATGTAAGCACCACGGATGCGGAGGACTCGGATTCGAAGAACGGCACTGAATCCAAGAACGGTACTCTGGAGGACAAGGATGCTCCTGTTGTCGAGGCTCCTGTCGTGGCAAAGGAAGCTGTCCCTGAGGCCGCAGAGGAAGCAGTCACCGAAGACCCTGCTGTGGTAACTGAGGAGGCACCGGTCGTCGAGGCAGAAGTGCCGGTCGTCGAGGCAATGATCCCTGAGGAGGCAGCGGCTGTCGTAGAACAAGAAGCAGTTGTCGCTGAGGAGGTGCCAGCTGTCACTGAAGTCGTCGAGGAGCCGGCTGTCGTAGAAGCAGTCGCTGAGGAGGTGCCAGCTGTCACTGAAGTCGTCGAGGAGCTGGCTGTCGTAGAAGCAGTCGCAGCTGAAGAACCTGCAGAAGCCGTCGCTGAAGAGGCACCAGCTGAGGTCGAGGCCGCTCCGGCAGAAGCCGTCGCTGAAGAGGCACCAGCTGAGGTCGAGGCCGCTCCGGCAGAAGCGGCAGTCGTCGCTGAAGAGGAGCCCGCTGCGGTCGAGGCCGCTCCGGCAGAACCGGCAGTCGTCGCTGAAGAGGAGCCCGGTGCGGTCGTGGAGGCTCCGAGAGAACCGGCAGTCGTCGCTGAAGAGGAGCCCGCTGCGGTCGTGGAGGCTCCGAGAGAACCGGCAGTCGTCGCTGAAGAGGAGCCCGCTGCGGTCGTGGAGGCTGAGCAGGCAGAGGCCGTGGATGAACCCGTCGCAGAGGAACCTGTTGCGCCAGCCGCCGAAGACCCAGCTGTCGTAGAAGTCGAGGCCGAGGCAACTCAGGAAGCACCAGCTGCAGTAGAGGCGGCAGAAGAAGCAGCTCCTGCCGAAGCAGAAGTCGCCGAACAGGAGGCTGCTGCAGTAGAAGCTGAGGCAGACGAGGCCCAAGTAGAAGCAGAAGTCGCAGAACAGGAGGCTGCTGCAGTAGAAGCTGAGGCAGAGGCCCTAGCAGAAGCAGAAGTCGCAGAACAGGAGGCTGCTGCAGTAGAAGCTGAGGCAGACGAGGCCCAAGTAGAAGCAGAAGTCGCAGAACAGGAGGCTGCTGCAGTAGAAGCTGAGGCAGAGGCCCTAGCAGAAGCAGAAGTCGCAGAACAGGAGGCTGCTGCAGTAGAAGCTGAGGCAGACGAGGCCCAAGTAGAAGCAGAAGTCGCAGAACAGGAGGCTGCTGCAGTAGAAGCTGAGGCAGAGGCCCAAGTAGAAGCAGAAGTCGCAGAACAGGAGGCTTCACCAGTTGAGGCTGAGGAGCCAGCGGCCGCTGAGGCCGAGACCGAAGAGTAATCTCGGTTGTTTACATGCCAATGGTATTACACCATAGTATCGTGATACAACTAAATAAGATAGGTCGTTTCTAAAATGTATGTTCATTGTTCAACATCAAGCAAGCAGTAATCATATGAACCCGAATCGTCCCAGCCGGTGCGGCCTGGCCGCGGTGCGGTGGACCCTCAACCTTAACTTCATCAACCAAGCGGTAAACACACCAAAAATTTTCTTTCGATTAGTAACCACAAACCACTTAGTACGCTTTTGAAATTCAATGTATTTCACTCTAATTGTTGACATCAGTGGTCATGAATGATAGTTCTCTTGAGCAAAAACAAGTCAGAAATATTGAGATAATACTATTAAATAGACGTCATCATTTTTCCATATTATCGATATCCACATTTCAATCATTAGTTACACGCACCGAGGATAGTTTTTTTTGTACAACTGCCTGCAGGGAGAAGAAATGTTCAAGGAAGCTAGTTTTCCACTTATGTACAACAACCAACAAGAAAAATGTAGTTGATGATACCATAGATTTGCTTTTCGGGGTCTGGGTGAAAATTGAAATTGATTTCATTTCAATGCAGTAGGGATTATTTTTAGGAGTGGGGGCCTCACAACAAGTGTTAGAAATAGAACAAGTTCTTAATGTGCTGTGAAGTCCACGAACCACAACGAAATGATCCATCGGGGAAACAGCAGCCTGCAGCTTTTTATAACAACTGCAGGCTAAGCTCAAGAACGACCGCGGGTGAAGATGGAAAATCAAAACCTAACATTCGTTTCGGGGGAGTACATGGTTGATACAGTTTTCGCAAGCTGCTTATGATCACAACATACACCAAAAAAAGGGAAAAGAACACTGTATCCAACATCAGAATGCACCGGGACAATCATCGCTTTTTCAGACTTTGACATGTACAGTAGATCGACGACGCGTAAAAAGCCTTAATTATATGGTCGCTCTTGCGACTGATTCGCGTTCTGCTTTCATACGCACTGTGCACGTATAATTGCAAATAATTCCAGAATGACGACCCCCAGACTAATGCAAATTATGGAGCATATAAGACTTTCGTTACTCTGAAGTCACCTTGAGAGAAACTCCAAGAGGAAATAGGGAAAAGAAAAAAGTTTCAGTTTGACGCAGTAGAGAGAGGAACTCCACCACAGTACCACCTACCTATAATAGAAAGAGAAATTCTTAATCCTATCCAAAACTACTACGTAGGTAAAACAAGAAAGAGAAAGTAAAACTAGTAGTAGTAATAGTATCCTGTGGAAGTGGATTCCACCAGCAACTACACATACAATAAGAATAAGAAAGAGAAATTATCTAGTAATAGTATCCTGGATCATTCCACCAGCACCATAACAATAGAATGACTGACGCACGTGTCATCAACCGAGATGAATTCGTGCATGCGAATTGCGCACAGTTTGAACAAGTCCCACCAGGCGTCTTCGAATCGCAAATGGCTCCCAGTGTGATATCTGCGGTTTCCGAAGTGATAGGTACTACAACTACAGCATCAGTAGGGGGATGTTGATAAGAACATCAAGAGAATTTCAGCTTGTTCAGGGATCCGAGAAATTCGAACTACACGAAGAACTCGAAGGAGATTGAAAAGACTCCCGATTCAACATCATCTTCGTTATCAGGCACCCTTGGTGGCGAGATTCCGACTCAGTCGGAATCTCGCCACCAAGGGTGCCTGATAACGAACCATCCAACTCCACCAAGGATAATTGTTCTTGGCCCCACTTTGAATCATGATGCATTTATTTATAATTCTTTTTTTTAATATGTCGATCATAACGTAAAGGAGTCTTCAACTACATGATTCTTCTGCTCTCTAAGTGAAAGAACGCGAGCAAAGCCTGGATAAGGTGATTCAACATCATCTTCGTTATCAGGCACCCTTGGTGGCGAGATTCCGACTGGTCCAGATGGCATAGCGGGAATACCGGACCCTCTGAAAAAAGTCCAGGCCTTGAATGCCTTTCTATTTAATCTCCTCTCGGATGGAAAGCCGGTTCTTTCAGAAGACGAGTACGAAGAGAAGCGGTTGCGTTTATGAAGATAAGGTGGGTACTATATTAGGAGAAGCACGACTTCTTGTTATGGGTAGTACTTGTAATGTGGCTTCATCTATAGAGGAACTGCTTCAATGAAGCAAGTACTCGTAGAAGTAGAAGAGCAGGTGTTGATGATGTACTTACTACTGCTAGTAGAAGATGAAGGTGGTGGACCTACTACTTCTTTCTGATATATTCCGATCATCAAGGGAATAAATAATGAAGTTGAGACAACTACATGCAGTTTGAGTCGTTTGACTTCCCAAACGTGTTTGACATAGTAGTCTATGGTGCTGGCACTGATTGAGAACGAAGGAGTCGTGGGAATGTTGACTGGGGCCTCTTTCGAGGCTCTTCGCCTTAGGAAGGGTAAGGGTCGGCATTCCCTTGCAGCTTCCATTGGCTTAATCAGTGGTGTCATTCTTAAGGGTTTCTAAATTACATCCCCCACTACCGTCCTTGACCTATTCTCAAGTAGAAAAAAGGCCAAGGATGTTCTGAGGAATGTAATTACGCAACCTCTAAAATTCACTTAATCGAGCTCCACCTCTAGTGCTAGTATCTCCTGTCCCTACTTATTTCGTACCTCCTTGAGCTGCGCAAAAATATGCGTTTCTTCCCTAGTACCTCCTACTTTCGCTAGTACAACTCAACAGAGTACTAGCGCACTACCTCTAATATCCTTCCCTTCCCTACCCCCATTCGGCGAACTGTATGAAGCAGCCAAAAGCAAGTTGGATTTGCCCAGTGATGAAGAGGCTGCGGAGTCCAAAAAAATGGGCGACGGTCCACGCCTTTTTATAAAGGTGGACGAATTTGTGCATGCGAATTGTGCGCCGTTCAAGCAAGTTCCTCCCGAAGTCTTCGAGTCGCAAATTGCTCCTAGCGTAATCGGTTCCATTAGCGAAGTGATCGCTACGCTTGGCGGCGAAATCCCTACCGGACCTGATGGTATCACTGATATCCAAGATCCTTTGAAAAAAATCCAGGCTTTGAATGCCTTGCTATTCAATCTATTCTCCGATGGAAAGCCGGTTCTTTCGGAAAAAGAGTACGAGGAAAGGCGACTGAAGAGTTTAAGGCACGAAGCACAAGTAGTTGTCGTGTTGTATAGAAGGGCTACTAGGTCCTACTAGGACTACTTGTAATTTGGTACTTATGTAGTTTGTGTACTTTTTGTGTACTTACTACTGGTAGATCTAGTCTTGTAATTGTATGTTTGTGTACTAGTAGATCTAGTAGAATTAGAAAGGACATCATATTATTACGGATATGATCAGAAGATCCCCGAAGTCTGATGGTGTTGGCGAATTTCATAAATATGAAAATCTAATTATTAGAATCTAATATCCGTTCCGTCCCTACCTCCTTTCGGCGAACTGTATGAAGCAGCCAAAAGCAAGTTGGATTTGGCCAGTGATGAAGAGGATCATTGACCACATGGAGGGTGGGAAAATAAGGAATATGAATATCCTATAAAACTTATTATATATAGATCTAAAAGATATCTTGTTGTCCTTCTGTCAGAAATTAGCTCTCTTTTCGCCTTAATTCAAATTCGTTTACCAGTCCCAACTAATAATAATTTCTGTGGATTGAGAGAGGTGCTGGCCATGGATTGAGAGAGGTGACAGGACGACGATAGCGCCGGCGCTTAGTTAGTTTTAGCAGTTAGCAGGATACTTTAGGATACTTGTTGATAGTTACCCTTTTCTCTTTTATATCTTCCTCTGGTCTGTCTTTTTTCTAGTTCGGTCGGCTCCACCACAAAAAATATCCTAGAAAACTTATTATAGATCTAAAAGATATTAATAAAGATAAGGAGCGCGGGTTGATATGATCGATGACTGTCTGTGGCGAGTCTGTGTCTGAACATCAACAGGCTGATTTTATTGGTACACTGAAAGCAGAGAGGTGCTGGCCACGTTTGAATAGAAGCAGAGTTTGAGGGGAAGAGATACCCAGAGAGATCTACTATAATTCCCAGAGAAAAGTTCCAAGCAGTCCAAGCACCTCCTGGAGAGTCCAGCAACTAATATGTGCTATAATCAGCTCTGAGAAGATAGCCTGGAGAGAGAGGGAGCGTTAATGAATCTTGGACTAAGATCGGGCTTGGCAGCACTAAGCGGCGATGTTGAGTTCTTCGAGAAACCGGTACAAGAATGTTGGGCGGAAAGTTACCACATAAACATATTAAGTAAAAGAAAAACTAACGGAAGAGGAAGACGAGCCTGCAATAGTTTTGGCTTGTAGTCTACTAGACTATTGCATTTTTCTTCTTCTTCTTCATATTTTTGAGATGCAACAAACTCGACTACGACTAAGTAAGGAATATTATCAACCAAAAATCTGAATCATACACAATATGACCCTCTGCGCGACGGGTGTTGTCCCGTCCACCCTGTCGAGGGAGCACGACGAGAACGACAAGGATGAACAACAAGAGACTCCCGAAGCTCCTGAAAAACCGGTGGTTCGATCATCAAGGGGAGCAACATTAAACTATATGGCTAGGAAACTTGGATCCCTCGACTTCTTATCTGTTCCAAGGGGATCCACGACACTTTGGGGGTCCAAAGTCAAGGGGAACCACGACACACCGATCAAGAAGCAACGGCTTCTAGGAAACCTGGATCACTCTTCTACGAATGGTTCAAAAAATCTGATCTACTGTATTTTGAACCATTCAATCATAGACAGGAGAGCCAGTCCACAGGAGAAGCAACGGATCCAGTATTTTGAGCCATTCATAGACGGCGGTGTTATCTGGGTTTTTTTCCTGATTTTCCTGTGTGGATTGGAAACCGTCTTCTACCTGGTCTTTCAGGTCTGGATTATGGCTACTGGACATTCCTTCAACAATACGAAGTAGAGTTTTATTCTTTCTGTTTACCCTTTCCCTTTATTCTGCTCTTCTAATTCTATGTACTTCTTACAACAAACTTCTTGAAGATCATGGTCCTCGGGCACCAAACATGGTTCTTCTTGTCGTACTTCTTCTTCCCCACATTCTTCTAATCCAAATACGGCCGTTGCCAAAGATCCAGAAGGTTCGCGCTTTAGAGGAGTGGCCAACGAGGCAGTCGCAAGTCTACAGCTGACCTGCTTCATCGCAGATTTTCACATTATCACTCGATTCTGGCCTACTCTTTTTGGGTTGATATTACGGCTGCTGCTTCAAACTGAGAACATGGGTTTATAAGTAGGTTCTTTACTGTAGTGTACTGTACTGTTACCTCAAATCAAGAAGTAGAGCATGCTAGTACTGTTACCTCAAGTTGTAAGAGTAACGGGACAACATTCTGTTCGTTCTGGACGCATGTGTACGACTTCGACAGCGATGAACAAAATGATGCACGACATGAATTAGGTGGAGCGACTACATCGCTAAGAGTGGGCTTGGGCTATGCTTGCTATCTTTCGGTACGCTTGGCGAAGAAAGGGGTGAACAATTTTATCAGTGGTTCGGCGAAGGCGAAGAACAAGGGTGGTAAATCGTCGGTCATCTTCAAGGTCAGAAGTAAACGACATGAAGATCATGAAGATGAACATCAGAGCACTTCTAGTAGTGCAGGAGACATTACACCAAAAAAATCTTCGACCAAGAACACCACGCAGATGGACAAGACTAGTGAGGAGAAAAGTGGTACGCCAACAACTGCTGGCTCGGGTGGTTCCGGCATTTATTTTACAAAGAGTCCTATTAACACATCCCCCGGCATAGTGGAGCTAGAAAGCCCAACTACCTCTACCATTACCACTAGTGGAGAAGGAGAGCAATCTTACATCCTAGTCGAGAAAATCCGTGAAGTCGCTCAGCAAACACTGAGACGACGAAGACAGGGAGAGGAAGCTTCCTCAACGTCAATGGTCGAGGGAGAAGGGGAAGGAGATCATGATGAAGACAGGGAAGGGGAAGGAGATCATGATGAAGACAATAAGTTAGATGCCGTCTGCAGAGTGGAAGGACAACGGCAGATGTGGTATCTTGTGCTTATGACTGAAACTATAGAAGTAAAAACTATTGATCAATAATCGCACGAGGAATACATAGTAAATATTGATCAATAATCATGAGTCTCGCTGACGAGAGGGTTCATTCTTTTTGAGTTTGTTTTGTTGTTGAGTTTGTTCATTTCCTAGCACATGCTAGCATGCTCTTCATCGAAGAAGATGTTGGCTATTCGTAAAGTTCTAAGTGCCTGATCTTCATTATTTCAATAATGAAAACAAAAACATCAAACCATTTCACCACTACCACGTAGTTCTTGATCTATAATGCCTATGACGCTGATTTCTAATATTTTCGGCGGGGCCGCTTGCATGGCATTTCTGCTTTATCTGTTACTTCTCGTGCTCCTCAACTACCGGACGCATGTGCTTTGCCGGCAACTGACCAAGAACGAAGACAAATACGACAGAGCTGTTATGACAGAAGAATATGAATAAACTACATACGATGAGCTGCATAAATACGACGTCGACGAGGAAAGGGCGTTTAATATTTGAGTAAGTATCAGTACGATCATGCTAGGGCTGTTATAACAGAAAAAGAATAAGAAAAACATAATGTGAGTATATTTTTAAAACTGAAAATGAGCGAGTTAGTGACCACTGCAATGGGAGAGTTCGCTTTATTGCAAGGCTACTCTCATTTCAGTCCTATCTTCTGCGTCATTCTAGTCATTTACTGCCTTATTTCAGTTTTTCAAAAGCATAATGTGAGTACTATACAAATATAACCTACTACTTGAAAAATTAAAATTATATGGTTTTTCCTAGTTGAGGGCTCCGTCACTAGAAGTATCTTCTAATCTTTCGCCAATAACTGAGTATGAGATAGGTGGACCACCGGATTATGGAAAGCCTGCAGTTATGGATCCTCTTGGAGAGAGTGCGTCTTCTGGTGAATACCCTTTGGACGTCGAGCCGGACGCTGTCTACGTGGACCTGAAAATGTATCGTTATGAAAGATGAAGCAGTGCTGTATAAGTCTAGTTGTACACCTAGAGAAGTCGTAGGTCCAATCTGAATCGACTGAGTAACAGCAACATCTACTGCGTCATTGTAATATTTAAGTCTAGCGCTACTAGTGCTTCTATTTTTACTACGTTGGTCGGATTAGAAGCTAGGTCGTCTCTACAACTACAGATATGATAGAAAGAACGACGCGAATGCTTGACGTTGAACTCCTCGATCATGATTTGTTCTAGATCAAGATGATGACTTCCTGCATCTTCTATCCAATTCGTGACCTTTAATATGAAGAAGATACAAGTACAACTCATTCACATACGTCTCTTCTATTCACAACTCATATTCCTCGTCAAACAGGAGCTCCTTCTAACCTGTCCTCTCAAACGATATGGTTGCAAAGATCATCAGTCGCAGTCCTAAGGAGGCCAGCGCCTTAGTCAAAGCAGGCAAGAAAATGCGATGTGCCCAGTTAGTCTTTCTTGTATGATGCCAGTCAACATTGAGAGCGAAGATATAATGGGAATATCGTTCCACCTAAATAAGATGGGACTAAAAACTGAGAGGAACGACATTCCCCTGTAATCGACATTCTCAATGAGTGGAAGCAGTCACTTCGCGGGATGAGCCTGGTGCTAAGTTTGGCTACGGTTTTTTTCTAAGAGGATGGAAAAGATAGTTAGAGGGAGGACGATAGGAGGATAGTACTAGAACAAGAAGAACTGACTGATTCCCACTTAAAGTGTCCGAGCAGCACGTGGCGGGTGTATGAGGGAGGATCATGGGTACGTAGGTGAACCAGATTGTAGGAGATGGAAGAGCTAGAACACTTGGGTGGGCAGCGAACATAAAAACAATAATAACTCGGGCGGGCAGTAGAAGAGGGGATGAGGGCGGATAGAAGAACCAACTACGAGGTGGAAGGAGGGTAGAAGAATCAAGTACAGGTACAAGGAACGCGAAGGAACAAGTATGTATCAAGGAACAAGATAGAGCCATCTTCATCTTCTTCTAGGAGATCATCTTCAACTTCATGCAAAAAGGTAAGGAGTTGCTCTAGTTCGTCAAGAAGCGACTGGTCCGAGAAGGTGGATTTCCGAGAAGGTTCGCCTAGAAGCTCTAGTTCGTCGAGAAGGTGGAGACAGTCCAAGAAGGTTCGCCTAGAAGCTCTAGTTCGTCGAGAACGTGGTGGTAAAAAGAAGAGGCTGGTCCGTCCTGAGGGACTACAGGTGTTCGTTTGAGAACAAGCTAGGAAAAGCATAGATCAAGGAGATGGAAGGCAGACACTTGTTCGTCTGAGAACAGGGGAGGACACGACAAGGAGGCTAGTGGAAGACCAAGACAAACACAAAAGACAATACGCTGATGTCCACAATTTTGAGTTCTTTGGATGTGATTTTGCATGATGGATTGAATTTGAAAACAGCGCTACAGTTTCATAGATTTTATTTTTATCAAAATTTATTATCTAGAACCTCGATCATAACAGTAGACTTATCCCGTGCAACAAATTATCTAGAACTTTCACTACGGATCCTCGCAGAAGGTTCAATTCAACAAAGTTTTGAAATTCACAGCTCAGGAGAAAATAAATAGAGAACAACATGAATTTTGATTGTAGTAGATGCCCACCTAATTTCTGAATCAGTAGCAGTGTTGAGTGGGTAAGGCTACCAGCAAGAGCATGATTATGATGAATTTTTTAATGGAACAACATTGTTTTTGTTGATGAACAAAAAATTGAGGATCCTAGTACTCCATGTTGTCTTCAGTGTTGTACTTGTAACAAGTCTGCCAAGTAGTAGATACAAAAACACGATCTTTAAATCTGTCAGTGAAAATGCGACCCCTTTCGGGGAATATTGTCATACTGCTCATTAAGACCACATGACCAGGAAAAGGACTACGACTAGGACATCAGGGAGCCACTGGTCACTACGTACTACATCGGTCGATGCGCATGTGTTAGCGGCGCAAGTGCAAGGGAAAGAATCAAACTTCTCCTGCAGCCTGTTTGACGATAGAAGTCAGTGTTTGGTTTTGGTAATAGTCCCTCTGAGGCTAGTACGCACGTCCGCTCGAGTATGCAAGTAAAACTGTGGACGGCGGATGATCAATTCCTATCTTATCCTAGTAGCGCAAGTGCAGGAGAAAGAAAACCTCTCCTGCGAGCGCCTGTTTGAGTATGGCTTGGTGCTGAGACCACATGGACACTCGCGAAGATCTTGATATGACCACAGTGAGTTCTTGTTCTTGAAAGCTTAAACTAACAGTAGATGATCTTCTGTAAGGACGAAAGATCCAGTTCCAAACGAGAGCTGTTGTACTGAAGGAGACAGAGGAGCGAAGCTGAGATGAGATCATGAATGTAGGGTTTTTTTCGATCCTTCATGAGTTCTTCCGCAATCTTCTTTACTTCTAGGAACTGGGACAGTCAGAAGAGCGGGCAGCTGCGTCTCATTATACAGCTTAACACAACTGCTGGGGAGCTTCCACCGACACGAGCAAAGAGCTACAACTTATTCTGTTGTATACTACGACAGTCTTGATCAAATTCAAAAGATGCGTTGCTTGCTTCTTCTCGTTCCTTTTGTCGCACCTTGCCTGGTCCTAGGACGCATCTTGGAGGTGGACGAGTATGGCAATAGCAAAGTAGTCAACTACTACAACCTTGGAAATGCGAATGCCGGAGGACGTAACAGGTATGGCTAGAAGAAGGATGCCTGGATCCCCCTTCTGATCTGAGGTCGTGGTGCTGGTGGCCATTATAATTTCATCAAGTGGACGAACCACCTCCACGACACCAGATCCAGAAGCGACAGCATATCCAGTACTAACTTTGAACAACATTCATAACAACAGCAGCAGTACACCACGCAACCAGATGTTTGAATCGCCCTTCTTGACACCTGTTCAATCCTCCCTACCAGAAGGTGACGCTGCTCCTGTGACCGGCGGTGGTGACCTCGAAGATCTTGACGGTCTCGACATGGTTGACGAAGCGGGCACCAAGATCGATGAGGGCAACTCTTTGGCGGTTGATGCTGAGGGTCCAGTTGGTGGCGTCGAACATGCTCCTGGTGTTGCAGCTGGTGGGGAGCCTATCGTGGGCTCGTTCGTCCAAACATCGAAGACAACTGAGTCGAAGATGCAGGCGGCGGTAATGATTTTTTGTAGTATTTTGTTCAAGGTTCATCTTCATGATTATGGAGTAACACTATTCCAAAAGCGGATCCTTGGGCTTTACGTACGCTTTTTGGCTAAAAAATCACTTTTCTACGTTCGCTTTTGGCATAGTGTTACTCCATAAGGTTCGCGTTTGATATGATACAAAGTTTTCAATCAATATTTCTTCTGTTGTTCTGATGCTATTGCGATGCCAATAGGTGGTACTGTGAAGACGACTTTTCTTATTTTTTTTCACGTGGCTGTGGCTCGCGTATCCAGTATCATGTTGATCTCCAACGCCTTTATCACTATCACTATCCGTACTCTCTATTTCACATACTGCCCGGCACTCAGCACGACTCCCACAACTCTCATCTTCACTTCATCAGGTTCAGGGCTTTCACACATCGGAAACCTTCAAACTTGATCAGGTACTGGACGACGCCGAGGTGGTAGCGCTGCGCGAGTTTGTGAAACTAATAGGCGTAAATAGTCAAACCATGCGTAGCCTCGGAAGTGGTTTGATCGCTTTGGCTAATTTCGTGGAGAAGGAAGGATATGAGCAAAAAGTCACTGGTACAGCTAGCGAAGACGGCGGACCAGCACCAGGCAAAGTGCTGAAGGGGTAAAAAATTCTTAGTGATCCAAAATTCTTACAATTACAGAATGAATGTAGATGTTTGCATCTTTACGCGCCCTGAATTTGTCACACATGTTTTTGTTGTCCTAGCGTCGTGCTTGAAATCCTCAAAGTAAGCAAATTGTACTCAAGCATGAAGGAGCTGTTTGGAAGAAATACTGAAACTGATGAACTTTTTCGTTTCAAAAAGTAACAGACATCATCATTATTATCATCATCATCATCATCATCATCATCATCATGACGCGAGGGGCGACAGCGAAGAAGAAATAAAGCAAACGCCAAGACAGCGTCTCATCGAGAACGAACTAAAAGGACGAGTAGAGGAAGTTATTGGAAGAGATGCCGACGAGGCCCAGAGAAGCGACACCGCGGCTATGACGTCATCGGAAAGCGACGACGGGGAGCAAAGAGGCACCGACCAACTGGGAGCGAAATCCGGAACTCCACCTCCAGTAGCATTCAGGTAGTCCTTTCCTCTTGGGCCAAGAGGCTAGCAATTGTAGAAGGTAGATGTTCGCAATCGCATGTTCACGCGTCCTTAATGTCTTACATCTGGTGGTCTTTGTTGTGTCTCAGCTTTGTGACTCAATCCTTCATAACAAACTACTGCAACACTGTCTTATTGTTGCAAAATTATTGAGATCGAAATGAGATACTGAAACTGAATTTTTTCGTTTTCAATTTCAAACAGACGAGAAGAGACGCAAGCCACAGCTACAGCGCCCGCTCGAAGCGGTGATCTGGTATCGGCCACGCCCAGGATGAAGTACACTCGGCTATTACAGCCTGGTGTATATGCATCAATGAAAAATTTTTATGAGCAAGGGATGTATATAAGATATGGCGACACGATCCTGAAAGACCAGGTCAAGAAGGGCCTTATGTCGGGTCTGTCGGCGTATGAGCTATTCTTGCAGCACAGGAGCAGGACCAGGAGTCCTCAAGAACAAGAAGATCGACCGAAACCGAAGATAACGAGTGACGAAAAAGTTCATCTGCTGAGCATAATCGATGTCCTTTACAGTGCTGAGTTCCGTGAGGGGCTGTGTAAGGCACACCTGTTTGAGGGGCCTTATGGATGGGATCTATTCTACATAACATCAATGAACGTCAATGAAAGATGGTGCGAACGATGCTCCTGGAATAATAGTGACGCTATTACTTCTTCGATTTCATAAATTTAAATGATAGATAATGACCCTCACCATCATATCTTTTTATCAAGGGCCTCGACGGACCGAGTGTCTTAAAAACCCTCTTCATACCCACAATTCATTTCAACATTAACGAACCGGGGGTGATCAAGCTAGGCAGGATCACGATGAGCACTTGCGAGTGGGTAGGACAATCCGTATTCAGCCAACCAGGGGATGGGATTAAGATTCACGATGGCTGCCACGCACAAAAAACGCGCTTCGATGCTGTTATAACGGCGATCGACGGGAACACGATCGGCAAGAGCGACGACAAATTCAATCCGAGGTCAGGCGAATCTTCTTTTTCTCCTGGTGCTAGCCAATTCGAAAGGTGGCTGCGACTGCCACACCAGCAAGATGAATCTTATCAAGATACTGCCAATGATGTCAGGGAACTCATTCGAATCGAAGGGAAACTGTTAGAACTTAAAGAGGACCAAAACAATCTACCTTCAGGTAGAGAAGAAGACAAGAAGGAGAATAAAAAATTTATTAAATCGTATTTTATTCGATTCTACGACAGCACAACTGACACAACAAGTACCTCGCTGGAAAGCAAAGTACTAGCTCTCATGTTGGTGAGGTTCGTGAATATAAACAGACTTTGGGGTTGGAATAACGACCCGAAATCATGGGTACTTCAGGTTAGGGCTTT